GATATATTATGAGCAAGTAGCCGTTATTGTGGTGGATATTGAAGGAATGAGTTCGCGCCCCCCCCCCCCCCCGCCAATGGGATATTACCACAACGGCCTACTAGCGCCAGGTCCCTGCTAGTCCTAATCCGGGGGGGTGTGGTGTTACATGTCCTTGACCGCTGCTCCTTGACGGTTGCAAGAATAGCAATTTCTCCTCAAGCCTCTCAATGTCCGAGTTCAATGCAAGGAGGATATCTAGATATGAAAGGCAGCTTAGCTCCCGCTAGTTTACCGTGGCTATGGCTGCCGTAAGATTCATTAATTCATTTACGTTTTTGGAGAAGTGCGTATGAAAGATCCGAGAGTGGGAATTCTCCGGCCAGCTGAGCAGATTTCCCAGTCGAGCACATGCTTCACAGACTGACTCCCTCATCTACCGACTGCCGTTCGGATCAGTAATTTCCTGCTGCTGGCAACTTACTGTCCGAGTTCCAGCTCTGATACCTTCACCGAGCGAACTTTGCCTGGGCATGTTGTAAGGAGTGAAAAGTCGATCAAGGATGAACAACCCAGTTCCTATACACCACCACCACATGCATGTGCAAAGCCACTATCTGATCGCCCCCAGGGGCCCATAGAACAAAAGAAGAATCACACTTGGCAACAGCTTGAGCTGTGACACTAAGATGGCTCGGTACCCTGGCCCTAAACCAACCTTGTTATTGGCATCTGCCGCGCCACGCCTTCGACGGTTCCCGCCCAAGCTCTCCACAGCGTAGCAGACCCAACTTTTGATTTCCATATCCAAAAAGCTACTCAATCGCGAACATCCGCACTTCGCCGTAGGTAATATTCAAGAATAAGGCTCATGGAATTTTGAAACTAGAGTTTTGCAGTTCTATACTAGTCTCAAAATTGGGAGCGTGGGACGTGGCGGTGATGTTTTATGGAAATAATGGGATCGATGATTGCTGTGTTACCCTCAACGGCTTTGATTCGCCCCTCTCAATCAATCATCCCTATCACATTTTCTCTTTCTCGAATCATGTATCACATTGCACGCTGTTGGCGCCACATGTCCAACACCGAACTTTCCTTTATCGGCACCTGCGGCCCGGGAATTCGATGATTATGACACGTTCCACCAAGAAAAAATAAAACGAAAGAAAAGAAAAGAAAAGAAAAAAGAAAGAAACACTTGCAATCGTGTTTGTTTGATGTTATGCGGGTGTTCGTTCCACTCCTCGCTGTCCTTATTCTTGAACTTTGCTATTGGCGAGTGTGGATTGGAAGCAAAATCCGGTGCAACTATCATTCAGTGTTGCACATCGCCCATCTCAGTCATATGCACATCAAAAATATTCCGAACAATCATGCATGTTTATGCAAGCTGAGAATGGCTTGAATTTAGCCAAGCGATGCCAAGCGCATACAGATCAATTCAGCAATTCACATTCAAGTGTCAGATATGCATGCACCGAAAACAGTTTTTCTGTCCCGACTAGCAGAAAGTATGAGCTAAGATCGATCCTATTATAAGTGGTTATTCTCCAAGGTTAGAGCTGATAGTGTTAGGAGAATACCAACCATGTAGGATATATAATTCAATATCTAGGAGCCTGAGCCCAGAGTGAGTTACAATCACTCAGGTTACCAGTTGAATTTTTGTACAGCCTGGAAACACCGCTGAACGATGCATAAAACATACTGAGATACTCCGCGTCTTGAGGATACCTTGATGCATCCCAATGGTTGTCATATGGAGCTTAGCCGTCTGTAAAGTGCTAGCAAAACAGAGGCGGGAACCCTCAACTTCGAGATCCAATCCGCTCTGTTGGCTCCCCCACTTAGAAAGCCGAGACCCCCCCCGTGCAACACATTTCGCCCCCCCATCGAGCCGCTATCGCCGGCGTTTGATATGTTGGAAGATCGCAATAATAGTTAACGAATTCCAGCTCTGTGGACATGACCACTTCTGAGGACAATAATAAGCTTCCGGGGAAGCATAGATGTAATTGACGGATGTTTTACCTTGGCCGTCGTCATGCCTGGGAGGCGGGGGGCGATACACCCAAACGTTGTAAAAATTCGGGTGGTTCAAATGTGCCAGTCCACCGTCATGGGACAAGATGTTGTGTAAAACCATCCGCATTTACAAACAAATGTCTGCATGCGTCTGCCGTATACCATACCGTCGCGGCAACAGCATTGTCGCATCATGATAAATTCTCCTCCTGGGGCATGAGTGGCCAGCAGGGCCTCATGGGAGAAGCAGGTTGAATTACCAATACCGAAATGTGAAACACGAAACCGCGCCAGTGCTCACTCAATACGCCGTAATTTATCTGTCAGGCGCATTCAAATACGAGAGAGGCTGTGCTAACAGATCGAGATAAAGGGGTCTTGGTGCAGATTGTTTGTATTTATCCAACAACGGGGCATTGCAGGAGCCCTTGTCTTTCGCGAATGCACGGTATCGTCACAATCTCAGGTCAATTTCGCCAGAGCGGGTGGATAAAAAAATACAAGAGATTTTCTTGTTCTCTGCTGGAGATGATTCGTATCAAAAGTGGAAGAAAGATAATCAGCTCGTTATGTATGTAACTAACTTACATTCCCAAACCACAGGCTAGTATTATTGTTCATAAATTCGCAATATTCTTTCAATAATCGCTGACAGTTCCCCAATAATACGTTTCACGGGTGTCAGGTAACCCAAGAAAAACAGAACGGTGGGTCTTTTTGTTCTATTTTAAGCATCTATCACTAGTGGAGATCTTGCAAAGTAAGGGCCGAGGTGGAGCAGGTATGTTTCGTTCGGAGATGAGATCTCGTCTTCTAGAACTCTAAAAGAACTTAAAAGGTTTGGTAACTTTCAAGAGGTACCAAGTAACTTAAAAGCAAGCAACACATGGCTTTAACCCTCCATATAATAGGTATTATGTTATGAGCGGAGATTTATTTATGATCGCTGATACACACCTGCTTTTTTATAAAGTCTTCCAAGAAGACCTTCTCTTTTGTCAGGAACGGAATATAGGTGCAATACAAGTTAAAAAGCAGAAGCTACTAGCGCCTCTAGACATTCAAGTTGACGCTATTCTATTCACAAAATTTGCCTTAAAAAAAGAAAGTAGGAGCTCCGAGTGAAATTGGCATGTTCCCACAAAGATGGGCTTTTGTTTCCGTTACTGAGTATTCCGCAGCCTGTATGCTACAACATGTTCATAATAATAATAATAATAATAATAATAATAATACAAGTGTCAGATAGTATCAGACATTTATCATTCCCGACTCCACTGAGAGGAAAAAGGGTTCAGAACCCGCCAACCGCAAAATTGTGAGCCACAGCAACGCAGAAAACCACTCCCGTTTATTGGTTGAATAATTCCCGCGTCGAGGATCTGCAGTACGCTTCACGCGGGAAGTATCCCCATGTGAGGCGCAGCCGTTCGTGGTGGGGCCAGAATTTCAGAAGGTCATGGATGGTTTTACGCCTGCACTGAGCCGGGTCAGGCGAAATATTTAACTTACTTTAACTTTTGCTGGTTTCAAGATTATGATTGCGATCGTAATTTAAGCCAACAAAATCAGACAATTCCTGGTAAGACAAATGGAAAAGAGCGTGAACATGGTCCTGCGTTGGTTGGACAGTACGGATTACTCAGTAGGATAGTTTTTAGATTCCTCATGAAAAGGAGATCTAAGTTTTCGGAGGAGCAGTGAACAAGGACCAAAGTTTGCTTCTCAGAATCTCAAGCCGCATTGCTGTGGTCCATTTTCTGCAGCATCCCGCGCCCTCAAGTTATTGTGACTTTAGTGCAAGTCATTGTACGGAGTAGTTACTGAAGTGTGAGCTTGCTTCACCCTTTGCACTTGTGCCAGAGTTACTGTGCGTAAGGCATTTAGATACTTGTTATCAACTTGTCCAAGCTTTCCCAACGCCTCTAGATATGTTTGTGCACGCATATATCTTTTTATGTCGTTGCTCCTCTTAAAGTCGGGCCTGATTTGTGGTAGGGGCATGTCGACTGCGTTATTTCTTCAAGTGTGTGTACAGTACTCCGTACATGAAACAGCGACGTGCATACAACTTGAGGCAGGTATCTCACACATTCATTCCATGCCCATTTAATTGCGATATTCCGACCGGAAATCACTAGGGAGCAAAGTAATCTGAAAAACCGAAGCGCCACAGGACGTGGAAAGAAGATTAAACCGTAGCCAGTCATTCACCGGAACCAAGTATTTCCGCCCTGGTTTAAGTTTTTTTCCGTCAATTATCATTCCCTCCCTCCCCTGGGCCCTCCTACAACAAGCAGCGAGATGAGGGGTCAGACAAAGGCAAAATCCCATCCTTCTGAGAATACCTGTGATAGTGGGCCATAGAAAGTCAACGAGGATTTGGAGCGGCCATAATCGGACCAATCCAAATCCTGAAAAGCCCAGGAGAAACCACCATCGATCCACTCCAGATAAATGGGGAAGATCAGCAATTTTCAAAAACCTCACAACTTCACAAGGGGCCGTTGCTGGTGAGATCGTGGACGCGTGCGTGGGGATCAAGCAAATCCCGAAACTTTAACCACGAAATCTCTTCTGAGTTCTCGGTACTCTGGGGCCAGTGTCTGGGGCCCCTGGCGCCCTGGCCCCTGGGAAGAGAACGGGCTTGGTATGGATGGTGAGCCCCACCTCAGCCTGTCGTCTCGACCTCACTTCTGAGTCCAAGGAAGAGAGGGATCTGGGTGGGGGGGGAGATTCCTTGGTCCTGCTAGGGTTGCAAACGAAGATTTAGTGCCGAAATCGCGTTTGTGTCATGGCCAAAATCTCACTCCTATCAAGCAGCAGAGTGCATAAGCTAATTATAACATTGCTGAAGCTTGTTCCGGTTTCCCTCCCGCGGTTAGGAATTCTCCCTAGGATATTTAGGGGAAAAAAAAAGAGGTCCCACTTCATTAAGTTCCTCACAGTTCTGGGATGGTCATGACAAGATCTCGACCATGCCCCATTAGGATGGAGTAACCTCTTGTTTCCGCGGGGGACATACATGATATTTCCCTTGTTCAGCCTTCTTTATTTCGCTGTCAGAACGTCTTCAATCTTGGGAGGAGACAAGTCTAGGTTGTCCTGAAAGGAGCGAAGTACGGAGTACATGAATATGATAGGAAAGTGGACAATGCTTTATGCTTTCGGGAGATGATTATCTCACTCCTGCCGGGCTACGTTGACCTAATTTGGCTAGGTTGTTGGTCCTGTCAGATATGGGTGCTCTCAGGGAACTTTTGCACCCGATTTTCTCTCTTCAGATAAAAGCCAAAGGGAGCTAGCTATTTGTTGTTCTGCTACACATGTGAGGTACTTCTCCCATCATGATTGATGATTGTTGCAAGGGATATCTGCTCCTCATGAAATTGCACATCACATCAAAGCTGAGCGGTGCCGAGCACATTTCGGTCCCCGTCCCGTCCAGCCCACACTCCAGCTCGGTTGGGGACGTACAGCTCCTCGAAGAACAAAAAATCGCCGAATAATCCGAGACTATCAGCCCTACGCTATTCTTAACGCGACAGTCAACTTCCCGGACTGTATTTTCTTCTCCTACTTCTTTCCCCTTGGACGCTGATAAAATACACTATGCCATTTCAATCCTGCAAACTCGTCATGGTTTTCTGCCAGGGCCCTTACCTAAATGGTCAAATTTCCCGCGCTCTTGCTTCTTCTTGACGGGGTTTGTTGTGTCAGGGTCGGGGTGTGTGCGCTCAAAAGTAGGTGGCGTGGCACCTCCTGGAAACTTGATATTTTTCTTGCCAAGATCGCTATCCTACAACGTAATGTCACAGCCGTTCATCGTAATCATGCAGATTTCAGTCGTATCGCCATGCATGCGGCATTACCTCAGTATTATTACACAGCGGCCCGTCGTCATAATTAATTACACGATACTCCGTACTGCGCATGCCAAGGCAAAAACGAGCGAGTTTCTCTCGATTGTTTTTTACATAGGAACTTGTCTGAAGGAGGGATGGGCCAGCTTCCACAACCTGAATCCCCGGCATTAATGATGATTCAGCCTGAGACTTGGCAAGAATATCTTGACTTCCGTACTTGTGTAAGAGCGTGCTAAAATGATCTATGCATGCTGCACATGCAGAACCTGACAGCAAGACCGTTAGCAAACAAGAAAGCTTTTTGTATAAAATACAAGCTTTCAAACGGCGTAGATGCTTAGGATGCACAGGTACAGCATATGGTGAAATTGCATTAACTTCCCAATGATTTCCGTGTTGAGATACATTAGAGGATTCCTACATAGTAATGTATGTACATGTACATTTCATGTACAGTACATATATACGATCATCCTTGCCCAGCGTATGCTCCTGGACACGGTTTCAAAAAGCCGAATCGTGCCACGCAGCCCCATCGATCGCCAAGCGTATCTGTCGTCGTCCCTGGCCGCCACGACCGTTGGCGCTCTTCTTTTCTTTTCCCCCACTATTTCTCGTAGTTATTGATTGGAAGCTTGTGAGCGTCGTTTATATTGCGTATGGCTGTAAAAAAATATAAATAAATACATAAATAAAAAATTATGTGAGGGGCGCCGGGTTGCGATAGATCTGGAATCAGAGTGAGCACATTCTTACGTCCATAAACGAGGTGATACACTACTCAGCCCTTGGAGGCCTGTGGCCCGATATTTTCAATAGTCCAACTAGGTGAAAGCATCGGGAAATTCTTTGTCTCGATCAGTGTTTCCTGAGTATAGGAAGGTGTAAGTAAGACAAATAAACAGAGGAGGAAGCATACCGAGGAGAATCCATCCAACCCACTAACGCTATTTGTTACGGACTTGATAAATCATCCTTGTGATCCTGCTGCTGATGAAAGCCAGCCCGAAGTGTCACAAACTATCTCGTTCATGAAACTGATATTAGTAATTACGAATTGGTTTTCTGCCCTCTGCATACCATACAGAATGAACGAATGTTTAGATCCGCCCTATATTTTGACATCCCAGACAGGACGACATGGAGGTCTCCAAGGATTCAATCTGACAGAAACAGCAAAATTAGGTTAATCTCATCGGCGACTTCTTATCTGATTAAAGTCACATTTCGGCCACAAACACTATTGAGGCATTGATTGATAAGAATTGCAACCGGGATGGGTACATCCCTATTTAATTCAATGAAATCAAAGGGACCTGAAAGAACTTGCGGACCTGACCTGGCAGGTCAAATCTGTCCCGTAGCTACTGACGAGCCACGATTATTGAAAGATTTGAAGGGAAGAGCTTCGAAGACCCCGGCCGTTTCGTTCTCTTTCTCGCGATACAAAGCTGAAGAAGTCAGGACATTCGCTCTCGAACCCAATTATCCTTCGAGAGTATGAATTCTGAGACAGTAATCTCTGAAAATTACTGCCACAATAGCGTAAACGGGACCAAACCAGGACCTCTTGACATGGAGGAAATATGAATTAAGCTAGATAATAAAGCTCCATGTCCTCTTCGAGAGCTCTCTTTTGGCCTTCTGGATGGCCGGGATATTGTCGGTGAGTTGGGACAAGGAAGGATCAAGGATCCGTTGTAATCCTTGCCCCCTGATAGTCAGAAAAATGTAACGAGGACCATCTGTTCGATCTCTATGGAGATCGGCTTGCTGCAGCTGAGCACTTTTTCCTTCGGATCTTCAAAAGCTCGAACTCTTGAACTAGATTCATTCTTCTCATGTATCCGATTGGCTGTCATCAACACTTCATGGACAGGTGAGATAAACGGCATTGTTTCCAAGGATCTCTCTGAGAGTCCACCCATCAGGTTGTATCCAAGATTAAAATCTCGCTAACATATTGGTTGTGTTTATGCTAACTAGAATCAGTGAAGGTGGACAAGGAAGTTTAATGCGTAACTGCAGAAATTTGCCCACTTAGACCATGAGCAAGTCAGGCCGTTATGCGCTGCTCTAGAATCTTATTTCCTCCCCAAACTCCATTCCATGTCCGGCGAGATACTGCGATTTGGGCGGCTCACGGAAATAATGAACCAACCAAAGAAGACCCTGTCGGCTCCTGCTAGCTAGCAAATATTCCGAGACAGATGGACGAAGGAGGAGATTTAAAAATAACATCACATTGGCAACCAGTAATTCGTAGTGGTGCATGTATTCCTCAGCATTGGGGAAGTGCACTCCATTTGATGCAATTTGTTCGCGACGGTAATATGGCTTCACATATTCCGCTTTTTAGGAGGCGCTTCTAACATAGTAAAAATGACAGTTCATTGACACTAAGCCTGGACTGGAAAATTATTGGCTGAGATTCCAGTTCATATCTCATGACGTGCAGATCAGCCCTTGAGGACAAGCTACCTGTCGCCGCGAAGTGCTAGATTCTTTCCCTTAATTATTTGGATTGCAAAATAGTCAGAGAATAAATACCCCAAACGTTGTCGCATGTATCCGGAAAACGTGGGGCGGCGAGATGAAAACAGCTTCCAGAAGCTAATTCGGCAATGGAAGATTTCGGTTTCCAAAGACAAAATTCTTTGCCAAATATTTAGGAACGTGCGTGCTGCGGGGATTGGAGCCGATCCTCTCATCCCGCTTTCTCCACAATGTCGCGCTGTCCAGAGCCTTTCAACCTCAAACGCACCGACCCTGCTTGCAAGTAAAATGTTTATTGGTGAATTCTCTTTGTGATAAGTCATTTTGCCGAATTATTAACGCACGCCGCCGTTTCAAGATAAAAGGCCGTCCCGCCACGATCGTCGAGCCGCCTTCCAGTGAGGGGATGCCACCTCACACAACGTATCCGATGGTTAGAGCCGAGGGCCAACCTCTTCCCATCATTCATGCGCCCTCCTCTTCAGGATTGCAGCGGGGACCGCGGAAGCCTGCCTTGGGTGGTTGGTGGGCTAAACTTGAATGATGACCCTGGTAGCTTTTCATTTCAGTGAGTGCGACTAGACTGGGAGAGGTCTGGCAGCAGAAGGTCCCTGACAAACGCTCTGTCTTGGATGACTGACCTATTATTTATTTAAAGTTCCTCAGATCATCATGCTAATCTCAGTGGTGTCATGCTTGGGCTGTTACCCTGCGTTGTAACCCTGCTTTGGACACATTCCGATTCGCACTATCCAATGCGCCCTTCAGACGGGACAAGTGGGAGAGACAATGTACTGTGCATGCTTGGAAGAACGGCCAGGCGCAGCTCTTCTCTTCTTGGGTAACGATTAAGATGCGTGGGTAGTTAAATATCCAAACGAAAGCAATGAGTTAATTACATCACCATTCCTGATCAAGAAATTTTCCATGAAGGCAATAGATCTGTCAGGTATTCTGCCTTGTATTCTCCAATGAAATATATTGGAAGATGAGCCCAAGGTTAGGGACCTTTTGGGAGTTCAATGGAGGAATAGTCGAATTTTCGCCAGCGGTTTTAGTCTCAAGGTTGATTTATCATCCAGCACTCTCCTTTATGATTTAGTTTCCCCCTGTGAAGCCGGTTCACGATCCCGTGGCCTACTGGCCCATATTTGCCTTGTCGGCTGTGCAAATTGCAAATTTCTATGTAATCCCTTTTCTCTGTCGTGGTGGGAACCGGAGGAATTCGAAACCTGTGAGTTGGCAAATCATTAATTGGAAGTCAACTATGGCGCTCGGTGGAAAGCTTTAATGGCCCCCAATTTGATATGACAGGCTTGTGCTTGGAGGGCATGATGCTAGGTGGAAAGCCCACAACTGTGGATTCGACTGTATGGCCGTTCGATCTACTGGCCACCACTTATCACTATCATTTTGTCCCGTCACTATTAAATGAACGGAATTTATCTTTCTATATATAATAATGGCGAAGAAGGTTCGAATAGAAGTAGTTAGAAAGTTACCTTGAATGTTAATTCGATAATCTTAAATTCTCCACCAGCCGTGGATGCGACTCAATAGGAGTGCGAAGAGCAAGAAATGGTCTTTTCCAGCTTCGTAGAACAAATGCTGAGTAACAAGTCCAGCCACCTTAGCCTTTCCTTCCGCGATTTCCACGTTACTTCCTCGTTTCTAGCAGATGCTGGCTGAAATGCGACCAAACACTAGCTCGGTTGGCAACGAACATTATAGGGTGTATTGAAGATATATTGTGTCGATCCTAGAGCGTAGATGTATCAGTGGAAAAGAGGATGACAGAGATGAATGAGTTCTATATATAAAGTTGTGGCTCAATCCACAATTGAAATTAGAGTATCAAAGAAGGAATATCATCCGACAGAAGCAAATATGACAGAAGGGGGAGGGACAAACTCACCATTTACCATATTTGAAGCCAACTTCTTTCATCCTTCCTCTTTCTACAAATCCCCTTTGAACATACCAGTCTCTTAAACCTTCGCCTCCATTTTTACCTTCAGGATTGACTGTCATAATAGCAAGTATGCTCTTCACCTTCGCTTCTGCATGCACACGTGCTTCAGAGCCTGCATGCCCGGTGACTTGGTAGGAGAGATGTTTTGCCTCTTGCAAAGCTTCTATCAGCGACGAGAGAAGAGTACTTCCTATCCCTCGCGAGTGGTACTCGGGGTGGACGAAGAGGGACATCTCAACTGTGGGTGCGTAGGAGAGCATGTAGCCCCTGAAGGGTGAAGCCAGAGTATATCCACAGACTTTTTCTGCCATATTTCCTCCATGGCAGGTGTCATCCTGCTCAAGCTGCTCAACGGCAACAAGGAAAGGCAAGCCACGCTCCTGCGTTTCGTGGAATCTTTTGGTCATGTATGAGAAAGGAGGTGTATTGGCGAAGAGCGTTATGACAGTATTGCGAACATAGTGGGTAAATATGGAGTAGATTTGGGGAATGTCTGACTCTGTTGCGGTGCGGACCTTGAGATGCATTTGGAAAAGTACTCTTGGTCTTTCAGTAAGGACAAGTGGAATTCTGGAGGATGTTGTTGCGTATCTCTAAGAAGGTTAATGCTTCTCAAAGGGGAGACGTTGATACATGAATGTAGGGGGGAGTGTTAAGATGCTTTCCCCGCAGCCAACGTACGTTTAGTTAAATGATATCATCGCCATGGATCACGTGCCATCTCACAGTTGCCCAAACTCACCACCTCCAGTAACTAGTGGATGTTACGATCCAACATCATCTTTTTATCCAAATTGCTGCTCAGCATGTACGGTATTAGTTGTTCTTATTTAGTCAAGGATTGGATCGGTGATATTATTTATTTATTTTCTCTTCCGCAGACTCTTCTAAACCCTTCTTAGTCCCAGATCCCCGCACTCAGCCTACGAAAGGCTCTATTTCTTTCCCTTAACCTTCTTCCCCATTTCGCATCTGTACGCTGGTGCTTTAGATTTCACAGGAGGGCCATTATGACGTCGTCTCGAATAACAATATCAGAAATTCCCAATTTATCTCTCCTCTACAAGCTTAAACATTTGATCCCCGCCTCAAGTCCCCGGGTTTCCAATCCCTCTCAACTCCTCAACAACTCGATCTGTCTGATTGCGAGCGATATCACAAAACTTGAAGTCGACTGCATAGTAAATGCAGCTAACAAGTCATTGCTAGGAGGTGGCGGTGTTGATGGGGCAATCCACCGTGCAGCTGGTCGCGGCCTTCTTCAGGAATGTCGTGCGTTGGGAGGTTGCGCTACAGGAGATGCCAAAATAACCAACGCTTATAACCTTCCCTGTCGAAAGGTCATTCACACTGTCGGTCCCATGTTTTGGGCAGATGAGGGCAGGGAATCGCTTTTACGCAATTGTTATATGCGCAGTTTAGCACTCGCTGCAGAAAGTGGTTTGAAAAGCATTGCGTTCTCATCAATCAGCACAGGTGTCTACGGGTATCCGAGTCTGCAGGCAGCAGAGGTCGCCATTTCTGCAGTAAAGCAATTTCTAGAAACAAGTTCCAAGCGTCTAGAACGGGTGATATTTTGCACTTTTGAACAAAAGGACACAGATGCTTACCACACGCTTCTCCCGTGAGTGACCTAGCTACGTTTTTCTCCATTGGCATTCTGGAGTATACCAGGCCACTAACTGTGAATTTTATAGAGAATATTTCCCACCAACAGAGCAAGATCTATCAACGGAGACAGAGAAAGACCGTAAAGAGTCATCCCACCCGTCATCCTCACCAGCGACACTCGCAGCTAGCCTGCCTGATGCCCCTACCACAGAGCCTACCTTGGAAGGTCAGCGAGATGCTAAGAAGCCCAGGGTTGGTACCAATGTTTCAGGGAGTCGAGTTCTTGACAAGGATGGCGAGAGAAGTGAGGATGACTGGGAGAAGGTTGAGCAAGCCGAAGTGACAAACACATCGGCGGAGCGCCTCGATGATGAGCCTGTTGAACTGGACGATGCCCCTACTTCGGCAGATGTCCAAAGCGTCGTGTCCAGCACTGTGGACCTCAAGGAAAGCAACTCTGCGGAAGGGAAGAAATGAGAATATTAATGAAAAAGAGCCATAGATAGTTATAGCCTTCGTTTCTTTTCTTTTCTTTGCTTCTCTCTCTCTCTCTCTCTCTCTCTTTTTTTTTTTTTTTTTTTTTTTTTTTTTTTTTTTTTTTTTTTTTTTTTGGCGTTCATTTCTTTTATATTTCTACCTTATTTTCATCTCGCTACTCGCCAACCGCCGTCCTTTCACCGTCACCGTCCCGCTGCCAATTTTCAGTTGATTTACCAGAATTCGAATTGTCGTTATGTGGGAAGCTAAAATGAGATATTGACACCCGACTGATAACTATATCACTAGGCATTGCCACATGCATTACTCATCGTCTCTTTATATACTGATTTTCTTTTAGCCATGTCTTTCACCATTAACTTTTTTACTTTAACAGAGGGTGGAAGAACAATTCAGTTTATGGGATTGGAGCAATGCTGGCACAGGAAGTTAGGAGTTTTCATATGTTGATATTGTGCTTCTATTTTCATGTTCAGAATCTAATCCGCAGGGCTTTATTTCCCTGTAACTAGGAACGACCATCATGAGCTGTTAAAATAAGACGCTGTTAAAAGTAGCGTATCCCCCCTTCCCATGCCTAAAATTAAGGGCGCTGCTTTTTTAGAGGATTTATTCCAATCACCCTCCCTTTATACTCCGTACCTTTACCTAGGTAGCTGGCTATGTTTGTCCTGCTGTGTGATGTCATCTGATCGACCCTTCAGCCCTATCGACGTCGTTTGGCTTGGAGCAGATCCAACAGAACAAACAGAACAAACAGAACAAACATTGCGGAACCCAACTTCCTGCTCCGCCAGAAAACGCATCGCGATGTTGGCGCATTGCGCATGATCAAGGGGTCGCCCCTCAACTTCAAATACTGTCTAACTAACCCTCTTCAATTGGCTGCTGACTTCTCCAATAACCCAACCCATGAACTGAGGAAGCAGGAAAGGAACACCGGTCGTCTGTGATCTCCCCCGGCGGGCGTCTCTAGTAGCCATGCTCCCCAAACAGGGCCCTGCTCCAGTTAAACCCCCTCCGGCTCGCAAAGGCACAATTATAAAGCCACACAAAGAGTCAGCACCGCCTACCCCTTCCCCTTCTACCGCCTCCACCACTCCTCACCCTACATACGACGCCCCTTCAGCAGAAACGCACGTAAAGACCAACCTCGTAAACCGCAAATTGGAAGCCGCAGAGTATACGAAAATCATTGAACGGTTATCCCACAAAGCCGCTCCGTCTCACTCCTCTAATAATGGGAAATCCTTCGCTTCATCTTCAGAAATCCCGTCGGCATCAGCCACAGCTTCATCTTCGTCCAGCTTCTTCCGCTCACCCAGATTCCGCAGGGCCGCTCTCCGCTTTGGAGGCTACAGCTTACTCGCAATGGGCGGCCTTGTTCTTCTCTCAGACCACCTCGTGCAGGTGATGTGGGTGAGTGGCCCGTCAATGACACCCTGCTTGAACGAGGGGTATGGCGAGACACATCTTGTCAAGGACATGATATTAGTAAAAAAGTGGGAACCGGCGAAGAATCTTAGGAGGGGGATGGTTGTTACGTTCCCGTGAGTATTTTGAATGTAAACAAATATATTTTGTCATTCATGTAAATTTATAATTAAATGTGCCAACGAACCAAAATAGCTCCCACCTCAACCCCTCCCAAACCACCGTTAAACGCATAATAGCTCTTGCAGGAGACCGCGTGACACCGCGCAATCAATCGGACGGCAGCGCGCAAATCGTCCCCTGGAATCACGTTTGGGTGGAAGGTGATGTAGCCGACGCAAAGAAGACTATGGACAGTAATACGTACGGGCCTGTATCGATGAGCTTAATATCAGGACGGGTAATGTGTGTGCTGTGGCCGCGGATGAGATTGTTGAAGTGGGACGATTGGGCAAGAGAGGGAGGAGAGCCAGCCGCGAAGAGATCGAGGGTTGAGGAGGATGCGGTTAAGGTTGAGAAGCCGTATATTGGCGCATAGTAATGGCTGGAATTCTCAAAGCTTTTTCAGTTTGGTTACTGTATATTGTATATTATACCATTTATCTGTATATATATGTTGTTGTTATGAGAAAGAGAGCATCTGGACGGCTCTCTACTATGCATGAAGTTGGGGCTTGCATTTGGCATTCAAGATTTTGGTGGCTTATAGATATTCCTCATTGGAGATGTAATGATAGAATTGGCACATCGAGCCAGCCCCTGCACGGTTTAGATATATAACCCATGCAGTTAGTTGTCTGGTAATTATCATATAGGGGAGAAAGGAATTATGAAATGAACAGAATCTTTCTGAACATGCACCTCCTTAAGAAGAAAAAACAAAAGCTGAACTATTCCCCTGCGATGCATTCGCTATTAAAAGAACGGGACACAAAGAGAACCAAAAATATACTGTACAATTGCCCTCATGAACCAGCCGGATACAGGGAACCCTGAAGAAACAGAAACACGATGGATTGAGAACGGATCATTGGTCTTTAGGGACAATTCGAAGGTCCTCCAACTGCTGCAGCCGGTCAATCTCCGTTTCAATGGCCAACACCCACATATCTCGCTCAGCCCGACTTCTCGTCTTAAACACGATGGACCTACCGGGGACACCCAAGGTGGATACCCTCTTCCATTTTCTCGCCCTCGCACCATCCTCTCGTTCCTCCTGACTGCGAAACACGGTCTTCCGTGCATTTTGCCAAAGCACGAAGCACGTTGCTACATCTTCATCAGACGATGTCCATCCGTCATTGAGATACAAACGAGGCGAAGCATGCTGACTTGGTAAGTTGGTATCGATGGTATGGTTTTGGTAAAGAAGATCAGAGTCCGTTATTAGACCACTGTATATATAGCAGTCGTGGAGATCTAGTACCCATTCACGTTCGTGATGGGTATGTGGTGTCTCTTCGCCGGAGAGTTTACGGATAAGGCTCTGGAAGGTAAGAATTTGGCCTTCAGTGAGGATCACATCGCAGGCAGTAAATGTTGACCGTCGTCGGGGCTTGCAATATAGCGTGCCAGACATCTAGGTTGATAGTCAGTTTGATAGTCAAAAATTCGCATTGATACATCAGATAGGATGCTATGATCCTTACCCTAACGGCTCGACAACCCGACATCCCACAAATATTGAACAGCTCTGGGGATGTCTGTGCTTTAGATACCTCCCAAGCAGATGCAAATTGTCCAAACATGAACTCTTGGTCTTCAGTTATATTTAGTTGTTCAAGGTTTTGCCGCCGAATTGATTTCATAATACCTACATCTTCCCGCCTTCGCGCAGTCCAGTATCGAACAAGGTTCGAGAGCCGCTGAACCCACTCATCTCTTGTTTGCATATTGTAGGCCCGAAACTTTACAACAAGTCCCCCACTCATCACTAGCTCAAATGACCTGTTGGCTTGGGATTGATGATCGTTTCCTGGCCCACCTCGTGCTGTACTATCTCTCGCTTCTTCATGGAAATCAACATCGCCCCCATTGACATGTGATTCTTCGGGAAAATGGTGTTTATTTGCAACTTGGACTTTTGACACCTGGCAGAGATTAAAATAACCTTCAGCTCTTTCGAGATTTTCTAGGTTTCTTCTGTTTTCACGGTAGGCTTCAGCATCATGTTGTTCTCGCTTGTTCTGCGCTACTCTAGAAAGCCACGAGATTGCCCCATCCTGCAGGGGATATGGATTGATAGAATAGATAATAGGAGTATCCTTGGAAAGTTGAGACGCAGTTGGGATATCAGATCCCACAATCGTTGTTGGCCGTGGCAGAGGGGGAGGGATAGCTCTCGCTGGTCGACAAAAACATAGATACTGGTCATGAACGTTGAAGTATAACCGCCGAGAATACGCCTTTCCTAGTCTTTGGCGTTTGCCTTTTTGTGAAGTAAGCAATATGAGGAATCCTTCAACTGGAGGGGGTTCCTCAGTTACTTCTTCCTCCCCAGCGTGCTTTATAGTCGTCGGATAATGGCGCTTTGGTCGTAGTTCGAGCTCATGGGAGGTCCTCATCGCTATTGTTCCATACATTCGTTCCTCATTGGCGCCATGAACCCACTCTAGCCTGTCATACCTTCGCCAGGCCAAACCCATTTTCTCGGAACCCGGCCATACTTTTAGTATAGAGGCCCATTCTGGGCATTCCGATAACGTACTCATACAGGTTTTAACTATGCCAGCTGCAACGGCCCGTTCCTCGGCCATTGTTTTGAGAAGTGTCGAGCATTCCTCATTGTCGTCTTGGTCTACTGGAGTGGGATAATTCTGTAGGTGAGAAAAAGGGTGCTTGAGAAGCACAGCAATATCGAGGTCGGGAACACGAACTATAAGGTCTGTGGGACGTTGCCATCCAAGCGTCGTACGAAGAAAAGTGTACCATTCCATTGAATGGGTCCATGATTTTGCTCGCATAATAAACAAAACAGATCCTTCATGATCAGGGTGCCAAATAACAATGGTTTTATCCAGGGAGGAAAATAGATTAACCTTCGTAAATCCTAGAGTAAGAGGAATATCGCGGGTTGAACTTTTCTTCACCTGTGAAACTTGTACCTGGGGGATCACTCTGGTTTTGTAGAGATGAAGAGTGATAGGAGTCTCCTCATTAGTTCCTTGACGACACACAACGAGATATTCCCTCCACTTTTCGGCAATTCGGGTTTCTATTTTAATACTGTTGTTTTCACTAAAATCATTTGGAAGTGACTGCATTTTCGTGGTGTCAATTCGGACTAGCATCCGCTCTGCTCTAATGATTTCACCATCGCGACCTGGAAGTAATTTGCGATGTCGGCCTTTTGCTCTCTGGCGAGTCCGTCGTTTCCGTGGTTGCATATTTACCCTAGTTGAACCATCTTGTTGGAATCGAACCATTCCCGAGGAAACAGTACTCAATAATGCCTGGTCCGTTGGAGGCTGATTGGGGCACCCCTCCCCAGCTACAGCAGTTTCAGCACGGGATACTTCTACTTGAAGGCGTCTTGAGGACTCCTTGGATATTAGTTTTGCTGAGGCTTGCCGTTTATGGGGTATTAAAGATGAGGTAGATTCGGTTTCATCCGTTCTAGATGTGCTCTCGTGGGTTGCTGCTAGTTGTAATGGTTCATCTAGTGGGTTTGGTATCGAACTATAGTCCCGGGTATGTCGACGAGGAACGTCCTGGTTTGAATTCGAAGATCCCCGATGCCGAATTTGGTGGTCCACTGACTCAAAAGACCCGGGCCTGCTCCTCATCTCCAGCGACTCACTTGGTGTAAAATACTCCTCCACAGTCGCAAGATCCGTCGAGGACGTTCTCATGGCTGGACGTGGTTGATCCGACGGATTCGCCATTTGATCCAAGTCGCCATGGTGTCCACTTTCAGCGTGGCTCGACTGTTGGTCCGCCGTCGCAGGCTCCTCTTGGGAAGTATCAACAGGCGCTACGGGTGTAGTCTTCACCGGTCCCTGGCTTTCATCCACGTCTTCAGGTTGAGGGAAACTTGGTTTATAAATTCGTTCATTTGGAGCTTTAATAAATCCTGTCAATTGGCGCGTGTTTATATTGAAAGAAGTGTCTTCGGAGAAGGTAGCCTGCCGGGACGAGTAGTCCTTCAGCCCAAACCATTTTTTATACCACGATTTACGATGAGACTGTAGCCAACTTCGAGGTATAGGGCCAATAAACGTCCGTCGAGTGGTGGTGTGAAGATGTTCTGGAGAGGCATGTTGCTGGCACCAGTGATTATGAAGTTAGCACAAACTGCTGCAAAACACACAAGGTAGTCCGACAAAATAAGAACCAACCAATTTCTGGGCTGTGTATGAATCGGGACTCAAACCAAAATTGCCTTCGTCGATTTCGGCCTCGATTTCAGTCTCTGCACTCGCTTGGGGGCGCTGGGTGCGGTCCGGAGAAGTGCTCATCTCGCCATCTTGCGGGTTTAACTAGAACCTAGGTGCGTCTTAGAGATGTTACAGCAAGGGCTGATTGTAAGTAAAGAGGGATAGGAAGTAAAACATCGATAAAGTAACTAGCCACTGAGTACTGTGTCAGGAGCTTTGTGCAGTGGTAAATCGGCGGCTCGTTATTGAAGATGGTCTGGGGTGAAGCCAAGCTAACTGCTTCCTAGTTTCGTTCTTCAACGACAAAAAAACAATGACGTCGGTGGCTGCAAAATCAGAGAGCTGTTTGTATTATTTGCACTGTTTGCAAGCTAACTAGTGTTTGCGCAGTTTGCGCAGTTTGATCCTTTGCTGTGTATCAAGAGCGGGGGACAATTGCTTGCGCGGAGTGACTTTCTAATACATCAACATCCATCTACTCTCACTGCTGCTGTTGTCGGACTGGCCCCTTTCATTTGGAATAGAATACCTCCCTAGAGTATATTTAAAGAAGCCATGGCCAATACCCAAGTCATTCCCCCAGGCGGAACCTGGTTCGATACTCTCCAAAGAGGCTTTGATGCAGTCCCCGTTTCTGACGACAACGCCATAACAACCTCCGAGTTCCTCGAAGCTGCTGAGGCTCTGACGACGCTCTTTGGTATATCTACCTTTCATATGAACATGTATTAGCTTATCGAAGCTAATACTTGATGCTACCGCTAGATCTCCTTGGTTCTGTTGCTTTTACTCCAGTCAAAAATGACCTGCTGGGTAACATCAAGGTACCGAAACCCCCCCAACCCCGCCTTTCTTTCCCTAGCCTTTACTGGTGCTAATTACACCATCCCTTTTCAGAAAATCAGAGATAGACAGCTTGCTGCGCCCGCAGAATCAGAGACTCTCCAAGCGCTCGTTCTTAATGAATTAAAAGCTAAAAAAAACACTGCCAGCGGTGGCTTGCTCTGGCTTCTCCGGTACGTTGTGTACGGCAATGGAAAATAGAATACAAACCTATTTCCACCCCTTAATTACCCGCCTCGAGGAATCAAGATAAGTAGTTACTAACTACTGCTATAAAAAAATTTATGAAGGGGCCTTGACTTTACTGCCAAAGCCCTTCGTCACAATATCTCCCACCCCAACGAAGAATTGTCTGCCTCATTCCGTGCGGCCTACGGCGATACCCTGAAACCCCACCACAATTTCCTTGTGAAACCCATTTTTGTCGCCGCAATGGGAGCAACCCCTTACCGCAAGGATTTCTACAGGAAGCTGGGTGATGATCCGGCCAAGTGCCAGGCAGCTCTGGAACTGTCCACGGCTTCTTTGGAGAAGATAGTGTCCATCCTCAAGGACTTCCTGGAGACGCCAGAGGTGAAGAAAGCGATATCATAGTAGCGTGGGATAGATTGATGCCTTCTTCTTTGTCCGGTTTTCTTTGTTGTGTTCTCGATTTCCCTCAATATTTCTCATTGTTTCAAATATAGGGAACGATTTCATTTTGTGGCTGGATCAAACCGATCCCCCTTTTCCACAATAGATATTCGATTATATATATGACATCACACGGCTGCCTTTTGGGCCACAATTTCAACTGCGAAAACCCCAATATATGCGCACTGCCAATGAATCGTGTTGAAGAACGGTTACATATATACGGAGCAGTGTGCAAAACCTGTGTAAATAGATATTGGGGAGATTAAACCTCCTCATATGCTACAGAAAATAAGGAAGTAAACCCAATAGCTGATCTAGTCAATTCTACTCCAGTCATCATAGAGCATATCTCAGGCCTTTCAAGGCCGATATAGACATTTTGCGCACTCGCTCTTGTACTCTACAATGTCAGTAGCAGAAAGACAAGTACAGGACAGTAAAGAAGTATATCTATTTGTCAGAGAGATGTTGTACATGTACATGATTCCATGCCATAATATTCACATCAGACATATTATTTTATTTATAAAAAGCCAAAACTAAAACAAAAAAAGGAAAAGAAAGTAAATCATTATCAAACTCGGGAAATAGAGTAGAAGAAAATTGTTAATTAAACCCCCCCAACCCCAAATATCTATCACAAACTCACATCTCTATAAAAATCAAACCTTCCTCGTCGATTCTTTCTCATCCTCCTCCGCCTCCGCCTCTTTCCTCTTCCTCTCCTCTTCCTTCGCCAACTGATCCGGCCTCCGAACAGCGATATCCTTCGGTCTATAGTCACTGAAATACCTCTTCAATAGATTCTCGATGAGCCAGCAGCCAGCGTAGTCTGCCAACATCAGCGCTGTCAGCGTGACTTTGAACCCAGTGCTGAATGGAACAAGGCGGAGCTTCTCGTTGAGCTCCGGGATGAACTCCGTCGCACAGGAAAAAGCGACACCGGATGTCAAAATGAGACCCCAGTACATGCCGCGATTTTCGCGAATGGATTCGCGGAATGGGCGGCCTTGGTAGTTTATGGAGAAGGTGGAGATTTGTTGGATTAGTTGGAGGAGGTAGATGGCGCTGTTAAGGAGGGAAGGTTCGAATTCGCCTTCTAGATCGATTTCTTCTTTTTTACTGTAGGATTTAAAGAACGTTAGTCAGATCTATGGGGTATGGTATTTTATAGCGTGCGATTTAAAAGAGGGGACTTACGGCTCAATAGTATAAACGTAGCTGGACAGATATATCAAGGTTGCGACGTGAATGGCAAATTGGCCCAGGACGGACCCCATAATGTACATGTTGAAAATGTTAGGTTGTGGCCGTTCCTTAGAGAGGCCTTCGACAGACTATTTGAAGTTCGGTTTGTGTGAGATCTCCTGTTGACACAATACCAAAATCAATGATGGGTTGGAGGTATGTACATACCTTCGCACGAGAAATTGACAAAAAGCATACACTCATGAGTATGCCACTGATAGTCGCCTGGCCATCTCCAAATCTAATACCGTCAAGATATATGACACTTAAGCTGTATGCACTAATTAGACAGTTAAGCGCTAGGATCTTATACATTTGGATAGTTGCAACTAGCGTGCACCGGCCTTGGCGGATGATATTCGGGATTGCGATCACGTTTGCAAGCTTGCTAGTGAAAGGTGCTGCAACCGAAGCATCGCCAAGTTTGATAGTGGGTGGCTCGCTGTCATCTAATTCTTGCTCCATCATTGTGGCCGTCAGCTTATCGGCAAATCCGGCCGCGGCGAGTGACGCCTGCTGTTGTTGACGTTGCTGAGGCGTTAGGTTCGCGTTCGATTGTTGTATCGCCTGGGCGCCTGGAGAGGTAACAGTTGGGACCCCATTTCCTTCAGTCGCAGCGGGGCCAGTGATTCCCTTCCTTTGTGCCTCACGAATCATTGCTTTTTCGTAGTGCGGATTGTTTGGCCCGGGAGGATACAGATGCGCCACGTTTGCGGGAACTGGGGGAGCGGGTTGGTTAAACCTTTGCATCAATGAAACTTGTTTCTCGTAGATCTCTTTCATCTTGTTGTTCCTCCAGTGCTCCGCAATCTTATTGAGATCATCCTGAGAGCCATTCAACAAGGCAACACCAACGTGAGCTTGTTTAAGTGCACCAACATCATTGGTACCATCGCCACACATAAGAGTCGTGTATCCAGCATCCTTCATACCCAGCAGAATATCTTCCTTCTGTTTCGGGGAGACGCGAGCATATACCCAAGTATGTCGGAGAAGATCGGAAAAACCCTTCTGGTTCTTGAACTTCGCTAGTGCATAGCCAGTAACGCAAAGATCCTTGGTTGCCAGAATTTCACGGTCCAAAGGTTGGGTGGGGTCAACATCAACACTGAAAGTATCGTCGATAGTCCGCCATACTAGCTTTGTCCCAGAGTTGTCGTTCTCTGGTGCATCAAGAATCAGGACTTCTCTGTCAACTATTTCTACCTGACGAGCAACATGAGCTGCAGTGAGAGGGTTATCACCAGTGATCATAACAACACGGTGACTGCTCTCATTGAGCATGCGAAGTGCCTTTACAGCATCATCTTTCAAAGGACATTGCAAAACGAGAAATCCGGCAAAGTGCAGGTCCGATTCCACATCCTCTCTTTTCAGATTATTAATTCGTCCTTGGCCGAGTTCCGACTCGGTAGAGAGGTACTTGTAGCCAAGAGCGAGAACACGAGCACCGTTGCGAGTAAAGTATTTGAACGTTTCTTCATAATGGGGAGGGGTGGAAACCAGCATGGCTCTGATGGTTTCAGGGGCACCTTTGACACCAACAAATGTCCCTTTGAGCTTTTTTGATGTCTGTCGATCAGTGCTAACAACGGTCGCAATGGCACTTTGGCGTTTTAGAGCAGAAGAAAATTGGAATCTTCGTTTGATTTGAACGGAATCGAGAGCCCGGCCCGGTTGTCGTGATACTCCGGTGGCCTTGCTTGTCAAAATATCATTACGACCCAGGACCCATCCAAGAGAAGTCAACGTTGCTTTTTCCATCGGGTCACCAACAATCTCCCCTTCATCCAATTTCACAAGGGCGTGTGCTGTGGCGAGGACAAGGGTTGTCTCATTCGCGACTTTTTCAACGGGAGTAATATCAGTGTGGGCTCCATGTTTGTCAGTTTTTGCACCTGCATGTCCCAAGGTAAGGCCAGCAATTCCATCTACCAAGAGATCTTCACCGGTGAGGGTTCCAGTTTTATCGAAGCATGCAATATCAATTCGTCCGGCATAGGGAATTCGGAATGGTTCAGTACAGAAAATGGCAAACTTGCTGAGCGCAGCCAGGCTGGTGTTGACCGCTAGGCTCAACTCCATTGGGAGTTCAGGAGGAACCACACTAGTGATGATCAAAACGCAGTCCAACAGTAACTTGGATCGCTTTCGGTCCCTCGCGACACCCTCCTGCCAGACATACCAAGAGGCAGCAATAGCAAACATTAAGAGGAACAAAATAAACAACAAGGCTTCCACATTGTTCGCAGAAACACGCTCCGTGGAGTAAATCATGGTGCGCACTAGACTGCCTTGGCTGGTTTCAAAGCCAGTTTTCACAACGACACCCAGAGCACCATTGTCAGGAGGAGTCGGAAGACCATTGGGAAGCGAATCTGAAGAATTGGGATGCGTAATTTGTAGAACCTTTGTCCCGCCATATAAGAAGGAGTTCTTGTCCAAGCCCTCGGAATCAATCTGATCGTCGCCCGGTCGAAGCTGGATGGAGTCTTTGAGCAGAGGGGTACTTTCGCCAGAAAGCATAGCTTCATTAACAATTACACTGCCTTCAATCATGAGAATATCGCATGCCACGCCGCTGTCTTCTTTCGTCCGATTGACAGATAGAACGTCGCCTGGGAGTAATTTATCGCTCGTGATCTCGGTCCATGCGTTCTTTCGGTAAACCCAAACGTCGTATGGTTTTATGCTCATGCCTCGGAATTCATTAAGCGTCCTTTGCCGTTGCCATACAACCGTGCTTTCGAAAGTCACCAACATAAAGAGAGTGAATAGCGAGTAATACCAGTATTCATCCAACATCCAGAGCCCGACGCAAAAGACTTGGAACACGAAGAAAGGCGCGACAGCATGTTCCTTGAATAGTTCGGTAAAGGTAGGAACAGGAATATCGAACGTATTGTCCCCATAGTGGTTTTGAGTCTCATCAATTTCCCTATCTGTCTTCAACCCTTGGCTGTGTTGGAAAGTCTTGAGGAGAGGTTTCGGTTCTGCGTCAATAGCGTACGAAAGTGGTGCGAAACATTTTCTATCCGGATAATACAAGAATCGGCGCTTCTGGAATAGAAAAGAGATATCATCCTTTCCGCCATATTTTTCTCGAACCAATGGGCAAATTTCCGCAGATCCGGCGTTGACCACCGGCGAAACCTTGATAAGTTTTGCTGAATGTACCGATTTTGCCGTAGTCGTGGTGAACAAAGCGTCGACATTAACGTTCCATTTCGTCGATAGCCATACTAATGCCTGTAAGGAAAATATTCCTCCTGCCCATAGGAATGTCCACTCTGAACCCTGGATATAGGTATCATAACGTTCGGGGGAGAGGTAGACGGCAAGGAACGCTGGCCAGATGATCAGGAATGGCCACACATAGGTATGGAGCTGAAGCGGAAGTGGGTTATGTAACGACGCAGACTGTATCTGAGTGTTATCAACAAGGCGCGGCCTTTGTGCCAATGTTAGCTCGGAATTATACTCAAGGCTCACTCCAGTTTATGTCGACAGACACTTACATGATGCCGGAGCTGGCTTTGGAAGCGCGCAATCAGGGAGGTGGAGAGGATATGCGGAAACCAAGTCCCATGAGGAGAGTCTATATCAAGATGACAGCTATACCAAGCGCAGGACCCAGGAGCTCAAGGAGAAAAAAGAATGTCTCGCAGCTGTTGATTGAATGTGCCGTCTTTGTAAACCAGCTTCGATCTTGACCTTGTTGGAAATTCATTTTCTGGCATGTTGGTCTTTATGACGCTTATGTAATCGAACCCAGATCCACGGGTTTAGGCGCGGCCGGATTAAAGTATTCGTCGAACCGTGGACGTCTGCGGCAAGCGTCCAAGGACTTGTCAAAGATATCAACAGACATTCTCTGGGTTCACAAAAGTGAGTTCGTGGACATAATACTACACAGCAATCACGAAAGATTGCCTTGAGAATATCATTTTAAAATCGGAACTTGTTTGAAAACTACGGGTTTTTGAGCAAAGCGTCGGCAGAGCGCTTGTATATCGCTTTTCTACGAAACTTCCTCAGCGTCCCCGATGACCTCCTTGAAAATCTCTGGCAATACTTCTTCCGCACCGCCCCTAAACCACCAATTTCCTTCATCCATGCCCCCGACTTTTTGCGCGGACTCCCGATCAGGATTTACAACGCAGACCTTGGCACCCTTCTTTCTGGCTTGGGTAACTAAAGACAAAACCGGATGAACCGTAGCAGCTGTACCGATTACAAGCACCAAGTCTATGTGGCCATTGCTCTCAGGGTCTCTATCAATTTGCTGCAGCCAGTCATGAACCCTCTTAGTCTGGGCAGGAGGCATGGTTTCTCCAAACCACGTCACGCCGGGGCGGAGTAAAGAAGAACAGCTAGGACAGCGAGGAAGCGATTCCTCTGGAACGTGAGGCAAGGGGAAATCTGGATCGGAGATGGAATGAGTGCTGGGAAGCGTGAGGGCGGGCACGATTGGGTCGTTATCGTCCGCGCGGCTATATGTGCAGCTCTCTGAGCTACATTTGATCGTGAAGTAATCGCCATGCAGATAGACAGTAGAAGTTTCAGGTTGTCCAGCGCGGGGGCAAAGTCCTACGTTATTGTGGCTGTTAAATCCCGCTTCGAAAAATCAAGGCCTCCTGCCGCCTGGTTGAGTATAGCTTACTATCAATGTTTTGACACACGGTCAGCATCCCATTTCCCAATTTCCTAGCCAGCTTGGCCAGGGCGTAATGTGCCTTGTTGGGTTCTGCCTTCATCGCCCCTCTTCGCCTATCGCTATAGAACCACCATACCCGGCTTGGGTCCTCGCGAAATGCACCGTATGTACATAACCGCCGAACATTGTGAGTTCTCCAGAATCTGCCTTCATCCACATATGTTCCGATCCCGGAAGCAGCAGATAGTCCAGCCCCAAGAAGCGTGAGGATACGCTTCGATGACTTCACATGTGTTTTGAACGAGTCGCACGAGGCACTGTCAATGACGAAAGTAGCAGCCGGCGTCCTCTCGGCACGTAAATGAGCTCTCTGTCGAGCAACATAGGTAGCTTCGATTTGGCTTGCCAAGGCACGGTCGATTCCTTGCCAGACTGTGGCGGGGGGACTCGCTGGCTTAGACATTTTTGTCACGGCAAATAGCAAACAACACAATCGTTATTGCCTGTTGCCAGGTGAGTTTAGAGGGACGAAAGGACGCTGTTGCAACCGGAAGGTTGCCATGTTTGTTGTGCTTGCTATGTATCCCGCAGTTGTTTGCCTTGGTTTCGGCCTATCAGCATTAGTTACACATAAATACTCCGTAGTTAATCGAGCGTTGTGCTCTTTGTTTATTTCTCTACCCTTGTTTGACTCAATATCCAGTATTTAACAAAAACAACTAAACTAAATATAGGGGGCTGAGACCAAAGTTCCGGGGGTCCCGACAGCCATTGACCATACACTTGTGGATATTTATTCCAATCCTTCACAAAGTATCTTATCTTAACATATAACTACCATATACAGCGGCTTTACCCTTGGTACTTACCCCGTCGCCCAAACCTGAGTGGCAGAAGCCCGGACATTAATTGACTAGGAAACCCTTGATCTAGTCGAAACATTTGAGAACTTACTTAGCAGCGCACACCATATCTTCCCAACGAAATATTGCCGCTGATTTTTCAGAAGGCTCTTGACGGCATCCGATTTGAAGGGATGTATGCGCATAAAGTTCATGAGTTTGAACACGATGAACTCCGCCGTCTCAGGGTCTGTTGCGGTTGAGATATGTATGCAGTAACAATAAATTGCTTAAGTGACATAGTTAATGTAGTCACATACCCGGATAGTTGACTTTGCAGCTAACACTTTCTTGTAGGGAGGTTTGACGCCCATGTTCTGAGCGTGTTTGTTGAGCGCATAATAACAGATACGTCGCCGGGACTTTTTGGCTTCTTGCAGCTGTATCCAACATTTATGACTCGGGTGACTATCTAGTTATCTCTTAAGGCCTCTTTTCTGGGATCTTGCGCGCTCGTTGATGCCGTACGTTCAACAGCGGACTACATGGTTGCGAATCTTCCCATGATAATCAGAAAAGCCAGGATGTACCGCGCGAGAGCTATGAAGCCTCTCTGTGGGGCGACATTCATATATCTTACCGATTCGAGGATGTCCAGAAAGTTACGACGGAGATACAAAAGGTCGTATCCTCCAAAAGGCGTTCTAGACAGAGCTTTAACGGCAGCCTCGTACGAGAATGATGTTGACCTTCTTAAAATTCTCCTGGCAAAGGGAGCAAACGTTGACCATGAGGATATGTTCTTTGGGAATGCGTTATACACCGCTATTTTCCTAAAGAACATTGAAGCAACGACCCTCCTCTCTTATTAGAAAACGACGCAACTTTAGCATGCTGCGATATGTTAGGGAGGACGGCTCTACACATCGCTACCATAAAGGGGTACACCGATTGTGTACAGCTAATACTCAATCGAGTACCGCCAGCCGTCATTCATTGTCTGGACTATGAGCTCCTTGCACCACTGTCAAAGGCAGCGGAACTTGGCCATGTGGAGATTGTTAATCTTCTCTTGCAACAGAGCAATGTATATTCCCATACACGAGATTCTAGAAACGTCACGCCGTTGCAATATGCTGCTGCCCAAGGCAATTACGATGTTATGGACCTGCTACAAATTTGGCCCGAGGAAACCACCATCCCGAATGGGAATTAAGAGCTCATGGCAGTGTAAGTGCAGACTGGACGGGTAATTTTGATGTAGAGGGCCGTTACTCTTGCAATCTCCGACCTTCACTGGCAGAGTTATATTTTACCTGTGCCGCGAGACTGCTTTCAATGGCGCCCCGTGGAAGCTTCACTCTCCAGTTTGTAAACGGCAAAAGCTACAGCATACAAACTGCCCTGCAATGCACAGGCTAACATTCACTGATTAGCTTTCTCAACTTTACACACACTGGCTTGACGGCGCATATTTGGTTCCTGGAATGAATGTTTCAGTTTTGCTGATAATATAATGAATGCCCTTAGAGCAAATAAATCATCCTTCATAAAACGCCATTCATATTCCGTTTGTTCACTCTCTTTGCATGGATATGTCACTGATTATACCTGGGCCATTAAGGAAAGACCTAACTTTATATATAAGCACATGAATCAGTTTTCTCGTTTCCAACTCTCCACTTTCCACTATCACCACCTTCAGGCTACCCTATTCTTACTGAATTTGATCCTCGCCAAGCAACCTGTTTATTCCTCTTCTCACGCCTCGCCAGCATCAAATATACCCCAACGATAAACCGGCTCTCAGCCACATAGCATATCCTATAACAATCTTCCTACCCATCTGCCGAGCTACCCCACTCATACGAGCTCGTGACAGACTTTGCCATCCCTTTACAAACAGCCTTCCCCTTAACTCCTCCCTCCCCCCATTTCCTTCCAAGTGTCTTATATTCACAATTGCGAAACCACTAAAAACCACAATGGGACAAGCTTTCTCTTCTCCCGCCAAGATTCAATGCCCAGATTTTGCTACAGATCGAGAACCAAGCAGCTTTGCTTCCACTTCTAAATCATATCGATCCCCTAAACCGCAATACGCTTTCCGCTGCTGCCAATGCAGGCAACCATCATTTAATGGGTTGGAATGTGACGGTTGTGGTCATCCTCAATGCCGTCGTTGTAAGTAGAGAACCGGTGGAAACCAAACTTTCCCAATGTTTGTCTGTGGTACTACTGTTTCCACGATCAGGGGCTACAACTGCTTGGATATATCTATGTCATTCTGTTGCGGTATTGCCTATGGGAGTGCGTGGCTTCATGAGGTGACTTATGAGTTGCACCCTTGGTTTTCTTGGTTGCGCTGTTAGCAGTCAGTATCAGAAAAGTCATTTATCTGCAAATATTCTTGTGATCGGCGCATGGTTAATGGGTATTTCGAGGTTGACCTTGCAGCTATATAGCTGCATGCCTAAACTGTGATAGCTGCTTCACCATTCCAATCACGCACTTACTTCGTTTCTTAAATTACAAATGAAAAACTATGTGTCTTGAATCCTCACCTGTTGCAACTGCTACTTCCTGGCTGTGGAAAGTTGTTCACGGATTTTTGCAGTTTTGATGAATTCTACGGCGAGTATCTGGAATTGGAATCTCTAGAATATATTTAAGCTTGTCCTGACATAATTCACAGTCTGAAGCGACCCCGTAGTTTCTGCAATAGTAAATGTCCCAATATTAAATATTACTTGTTACTGCTTCCGCTCGTCGCGGCTAACTAAGCGCTCTCGCCAAGCAGCCGCTAATTAACCGATCTCCACCGCCAAGCAAAAAGTATCCCGCCGGCCCCCAGAACTAACCTCCGAACGCCGGTCATACTTCGACACACACACTCTCTCCGGGCGGGATATCTACAACATCCCTACTCAGCTCAGTGCTCACGAGCCTCCCTCTCCCTGCGAAAATTATGCCGAAGAGGACTCTGGGAGGAGGCCGAGTCTTGGGCAGTGGAAGGTCTTTAACTCCTACTGTCCCAACACCTTCGCCGCGGAAGGACTCCCGCTTCCACTCCCCATCGCCCAGCAGCGTTTCTCTCAATTCCCAAGGTGCTGCCTCTCATATCTCAGTAGATACGCAGGACATAGTGTCTCGAATATCACTGGAAAATGGAGATTCATCTATATCGCGGGCTTCGGCGGCGGCAGGAAGCTCCCGGCTCGCTTGCCCCATTTGCAACGAAGAGATGGTAAGTTTACATCCGCCTTATTTGGTGCTTGGACAACAACCTTTTGTGTCCATTTTACTTTATGTTATTTTTTTGGGAAAGACTCATTATGATGCTAACTAGCTTTTCTCAGCTTACATTGCTGCAACTGAATAGGTAATAATATGGGCCGCGTTTAGTACATCCCCCAGCCTCATCGCTAATGTTTGGGCTAGACACCTTGACGATACACACGCGAATCTCGAGGACGACCGGCAAGTTGAAGTGAAGGACTGGTTTCAGATACAGGTGGAGAAGGCGAAACGATTCCAGCCGTTAGCTGTCCTGAATCAGAAACTAAAAGGGCTCGATGTCTTCGAATCAAATCACAATGCGGCAGTGTCCGTTTCCGTCCCCACCCGAACCCCGTTAGGTCAGGCAGGTCCTGAGCTATCAAGGATACCGGATCCAGATGAAGTGGTTACAAGAGAACATTGGCAACCTCGTGGAATGTACGATGTATGTTTAGAACCTATGTGCCAGAAGCGGCTTACAGTTACCAGCGGTAGCGTCAACTGCCGCAAGTGCGGGAAGCTTTTTTGCGAGGAGCATACAATGTATCAAATGAAGCTGTCCCGATCTGCTCAACATGAACCAGTTCGCGGCTTCTGGTGCAGAGTATGTGAGACTTGCTATAAGTCGAGGGAGGGGTATAAGAGCCATAACGGTAAGCTTCAAAGCTTTTTGAGGGATAGGGCGTTTTTACTAATCCGTTGAAAAGGCCAGGAGCGTGACCACACTGCGCTATTTACCGACTTACGGAGGCAAAAAGTAGACAAGGCATTTTTGGAAGTCTCGCGCCTGGAAAAGCGGCTCACTCGACTTACTCAACTCCTCTCTACACTTCCAGCAGATCAGATTCAATCAGGGGCCAATAGACGATGGTCTATAGCGTGGCAGAATGATCAAAGGAAAAAACTTGAACAATCCGTCGTTAGCTGGCAAGACGATGCAAGCGTTCCAAGATGTCCATTCTGCCAACAAGATTTTACTAGTTACACATTTAGGAGGCATCACTGTCGAACATGTGGGAGGGTGGTCTGCGGCGATCCAATAACAGGATGCTCTTCCGAAGTTGGCTTAGAAATTTCTCCAAGTATGTTTAATGATCCCAGCTTTGTTTCACTCGTACTGATCAGTGGAAGACATTCAAGTTTCAGAGAAACCGCCGACGACCCACGAAAAAATCAACATTGACGTTCGTCTTTGTAAAGAGTGTAAATCTACTATATTTGACCGAAGAGATGTTGCCCAAGACCTCATTAAAGAGCCCCCGGATCTTCGGGCATATAAGAATCTGGTACAATTTGAGAAAGGCATTCGGTTGCTATTGCCAAGATTCCAAAAATTGCTTTCCGCATTACAGTTAGTTTTAGCCCACCACTCCAAGGCCTTCCCAGTAGTCTCATCACTTAATTTCCCAATACAGAGACCCGGACAAAACCCCGTCCCCTACCCAGCTTTCCGATGCCTCCAAAGTTCGTAGGCGCCTGATGGATTCCTTCGCTCAGTATGACGTTGCCGCCAGACGAATACGCGACCTGCCAACACAATCTCCAACACAGGCCAAGCTCCAGAAAGCTATCTACCATCAAGCCACGAATTTCCTACATCTCCATATGCTTCCCTTAAAATCACTCCCCAAAGTCCTTAAACATGCCACTCCCCACGGTAGCAAGCTTCTCCCTAATACCAACACCGGAACGATGAACGGCGGCACCAGCGCTCTCGCCGCAATAAGATACGGCAACCGAGATAGTGTAAATAGCACTACTAGTCTAGCTAGCGACAATAGCAGCGCGATCTCCGCACTTGAAACGGAAGAAAAATCTCTCCGCGAACGCCTCATCGTGCTTGAGGAGCAGAAGTTCTTCGTAACTGAAATGATCGCTGACGCCAACCGCAGACGCAAATACGATGAGGCAAGCAGCCTTGCTCAAAATGCCGAGGACCTCAGTAAAGAGATTGATCGCGTTAATGGAATGATTGGCCAGTTGGACTTTGAAGGACTATATTCCGGCCAAATTTCCTGAAGCGAGACCGTACCTCATTTTTATATATACCTTTTCTGCTGCACACCTCAAGAAACCGCAAGTTTTCCTTTTTTGAAGTGGATGACTTGATTTATATCAACTCAATTGTCAAATTTTAATATAATCCCCGACTCAACCTAGGCTCAATGCCACTATCGCCGGACAGCACAACGCCCTCATCCACCATCCGTCCCGATCGACCGTATTTATTCTCGAGACTCTTTTCCTATCCTCCAAATTGATGAAACGACGCGAACGCAACGACTTTTCTTATTTCTGAGTTTTATGACATCTTTGGCGCAAATTCCACGACAACATCAAAGCGATGCCATCCTTTGCCTATTTTAGCCTGGTTTTGTTATCATACCATTTGTTTCCCATCAGTCTTACGTCCTTTTTGGATTACCTTCTTTTTCCTTTTTTTTTTTTTTTTTTTTTTTTTTTTTGGATATATAGACACGGTGCCGGAGGTTGCGCATTCCGTTGAAGGGAACCAATGGCGTTCTTCTTTCGTCTACTTATTTTTGGACAAGGAGGCTAGCTATTGCTTGTCATATATGTATCTGCCTTTTTTTTCCATTCTTGGGCGCATCGACCTAGCGGGAGTTACTTATCGGTGTTACTATATATGTGTATTCTGATTTCCCCTTCCATACCTATGCACATACATATCACTTAATATGAAATTGATGTCTGTAGCATGAATATTGGCTCTGCGGGATAGTGTGATTCGCCATTCGCTGTGTGTAGAAGAGTCCCACACGCGGGGGTATACTCAGGCTGGTGTATATGGGATCAACACCACACCAAACCCCCGGCCCCTAGCGAAGCATATATTGAACCAATAGGAAGAAAGGAAGGGACAAAAGCCAAAGCAAGCAGACTGATAGCATATGCGGAGCCCAAATGACGATAAAAACATAATCATTGGCCATGCCGGAGGGGCCGACAAGGAGAGAGCCACCCCGTATCCAAACAAATTGGGCATACAACAAGTCATAATAGAAAATCCGGAAAGACAAAATCCGCCTCAAGGCCACCTCGGAGAGCAAAAAGACGACAAATAATTAACGCAGTTAAAGGCAGAACACATCCAACGGCTTCTTCAGATACGGTGTACCGTGGCAGGTGTAGGGAAGAGGGCAACAAGTCTTTCCGAGTAGTGCAGTGAAGTCAAGATCATTCTTGTGGTTCCCCTGTTGTATCCCCTCCTGTCTCTGCCGCGGTCCCTTCCTCCCCATTAACCACCTCCGTATCTCCTCCATTTCCATCCACGCTACTCCCCTCGTTTCCACCCACCTCATCAACCCCATTAACAACTGCCCCACCGCCGCCACCACCACCACGTCTAACCCCTTCCACCTCTTCCTTCAACCTCTTAACCACACCCATCAACTCAGCAACCTGCCCTTTCAACTCCCTAACCTCCAACACGCACGGGTCAAGCTCGACATTCGGCTTCGTCTCCGAAACCTTCAGATCCCAATTCTCCGCCTGGAAATCCATAAGCAGGTCCTGTGCCGCTTCTTCCCATTCCTGGACCGTGTCGTCATCTTCTTCGCCCAGGCGGCGGTTGAGGCGGATACGTCTGGCGTTCAGCGTCTCGACCAGGGCGGTGATGAGGAGCAAGGGAGAGTAGATCACGCCCATTACGTAGTGGTTTAGGCGCTCGTAGCGGGCTGTGGGGAGCCACCATTCGAAGGGGATGATGAGGAGGAAGATTTCGATTAAGTTGAAAGCTGATTAAGGGGGTGGTTTTGTTAGTGGCAAAACAGTGATGATCAGTTTTGTTGATGAGAGAGAAGAGAGGTAGTGGAATCAGTGGGAGACGTACGTGCTATGAAAACGTTTTCATCAGGGGCGCGGACGAATTGCAGAGTTCTGTGTGCGAATAGGGCCATGTATTCGTCTATAGCGTTGCCGGTGATATCCTCGTATGCGCTGTTATATAGAGCAATGAGGATGTTAAGGAGGACTAGATGGACGGTGGTCAGACATTGCTGTATATCTACAATACGCAGGCAGAATCGATATGGCGTGAGGGTTTCGGGAGGATTACTTACTGACCATCACCACGAAGGTGAAGAAGTAATATAGTAGAATACCAAAGGGGGCCGAGAATTCCTGGAAAACGCCAAAATCCGGGCTTTGCATGACACTGTTTGCCATTCCCTGGAGAATAATCGAAGGGGTCATGGCGTTCTGGGGGTCAGCTTGGTCCATTCCCATGAACCCTTGCAAGAATCCAACGATGACGACTCCCAGTAGGGCAAAGAATATCAAACTCTCCTTCATCATGACCTTCAGGACCACGAGCATGGCGCCGAAGAAGCGGAATGTGTCTAGGTAGAGCAATATCCGGCCCCAGAACATCGGGGCTGAGAAGGCTAAGAAGTTATAGCTGAGCGCATTGAACCTCATTCTCTCAGCGTCACTGCTATCTGGCGAGTGTGTGAGGGCGACGACGCGTAGGATGAATGAGACGATAAGCAGAATGTAGAGAGTGGAATTGAAGGCGTTCCAAAAGCCAAAGTAGAAGCGCCCTACTTTCCAAAACTTGGTAATCTCATCGCATACGAAGCCCAGTGTCATGATATAGAGAAGTCCCTCGACGACATCAAGATCACCAGATGGATTGATCGTGTTTATCACGATCGTATATAGGACCAGGTACAACAGAGAGAAGAATATCTGCACCGTATTCTGATAGATTGGGGCTCTCAGTCTATCAGGGTTGACGTGTGACCAGTAATGTGTGTTGACTCTTTCTGGGTATTCGATGAAGGTGGAAGGGTCTTTATCGTCCTGGCACAGCCAACCATGCCAGAGATACTTGATGCATTTCTGGTAGCCAGAGGACCCAATTACTCGTAAGGCATGAAGATCAACCGCCCGTTCGACAGCGTTGACGGGAGGGGTATTTTCTCCATCAATGCACATCGAGTAGCGTTTCAAGAGCACATCGTGCATGAGGTAGTCTTGGTTTTCTTCAGCTTCGATTCTGTGAAATGTAAATAAATATATAAATAAATAAACATATCAACAAAGAGCATGGCCCATTTTCACGCAGGCCAGATGGAGTGTGAGCGGAAGCCATAGAATAAAAATGAACATACATTCTCTTCGCGAGCATTTCGCAGGCCACAGCTCTCAGTTGATGGAGATCTGAGTCCCAGAGTTCTGCTAGTGCTTGCAGCTTGAACCATCGCAGACAGACAAGCAGGCAGTACACCACGCATGCCTTGTGCTCCTCGCCACCCGCTTCGCGTGCGGTCTGGATCACGGCCTTGGTGATAACGTTGCTATTCGCCTTGGTCACAGCATCTTCGTCGAGCTCGCAGGAGATAACCTGTTCGATCTGGTACTTCAAGCGGAGGGCGACCTTGGTGACCTCCTTAGCCGGCAACGCTGGTGGCAAGGCTTCGTTGCGTCGCACAGGGAGCACTATTTACGGCTTCCTGTCAATATTACAATGCACATGTGTAGAGAGTACGACTTTTAGTTTACCAGAGGAAGAGAAATGAAAATAGAGTTGTTTGTAGCAATTGAGAGAGGCATGTAGTCTGAGGACATAAATAAATCACTTACATCTGCGGCCTTCATGGAGCTCCCGATGAGCTCGACGGTGACCGTCAGAACTAAACAGACTGGCCCACCGTACCATTTTGGAGCAGCTATTGCAGCGATATGGTTTTCAAGTGGAAATAGAAGTCGGGTATGGTTATTGCTGACGAGCAGAAGAGTGGATACAGAGAGTAGTTATCTTCAATGGGCAGCCATCTCTTCACTCAGTCATGGTTTGGTGAGACGAGGAGGTTCTGGGGGAGAAGCATTGGGCCAATTGCTGCGGGGAGTGAATCTACATTATTAGTTAACGTTAACTACATTGTTAGCGTCGATCCACACCGCGATCGATTAGTTAAATAGCTCCTAGTAAAACCCAAGGAGAGTTCGACGAAACAATTGCCTCTGAGACGTGGAGAGTTACAGCCAGCCACGAAACGGAGAGATATCTATGGCTTGGTATTTGTTGGCGTGATTTGCCACTGGGCTTGGTGTCAATCCGTCCTGGGATGTTTAGCTATGCAAAACAACAACTTACTTAACAACCGAATCTTCTTCTTCTTCTTCTTCTTCTTATTATTATTACTACAGCGTACGCTGCGTCGGCTAGTTGGTCTTAGGCTGTTGCAGACAGTTAACCATCTCTAGAGTACGGAGTACGTAAGGCTTAGGAGCTATGTCATAGGTGGGGATCCGTACACACAAATACACCGCACAAATTGAAGCTGTCCTGCTTTTGATTTTTGATCTACCGCTATGTCCCCGTTTAAAAAACATTGCCAATACGGCTGGTCATAAATCCCATAGACTCGTGACTCACAAGCTTTTTGGAAAAATCGTATGAAAAAGAAACTGAAAGGAGGAAGAATCAGGGAGGCACAAATTTGACAAATTCTTTCGCTCGTAGAATTTATGCGTCGACAATGCCCTCGTCGCTCTCACTCATATCCTCATCGCCGCTGACTTCCTGGTTCTCCCGCTCTCTCTTCTCCATCAGAGCCTGCAATTCCGCATCATCGTGCTCAGTTACAGCCTTGGGCGCCATCTTGACCACGCAGGCCCCTCCAGAAGCCCGGATCTTGGTGTCGATGCTCTTGATAGCCTCCTCCAGCACAGAGATACCATGGTTCTTGTCCAAGCAGTGGCTGGTCAACACGTATAGTGGTGGAGATACAAGCTTCACTTTGACCTGGGCATCTTGCGTGTTATTTGATTCCGCAGTGCGTAGAGCATCCTTCACAGCATCGATTCCATCGTAGCCGAAACAGGTAACCTCAACGTCCGCACGGACTTTGGTGGGATGCGGGGTGAGTTTCTTGCTGATGTAGGTTTGGAGTTCGTCCTTGACCACTTCGTTGGGGAATGTTACGTCGTCCCACACACTCGGGTTTCTGCATAGGAGTTAAATTTTGTTCTGGTTAGCCGTATGTGTCCTTACTATATTACTATTGAAAATAAACCTCCAGGTGGGTAAAAGTCATACGTGATGGAAAGTTTGAACGCATCGATCGCATGACCGAATTTCTTGTTCAGCGGCCAGCCAATTTGCGAATAAAGCGATTCCATAGGGGTCTTGGTCTTCTCCGCAACGTGGCGCATAATCGAGTGAACCAGCTTGCCCTTGTTGTACCGTTCTTCACATTTGATGACATCTTCGGGAGATACTCTTCGTTTCGACAAATCGATATAGCCTGATTCGCAACGCCGCATACACAAGTATTAGCCCGCGCAGAATCCCCATGAAGTCATGAAGACCCTAGTGCCGTTGACATTGACGTACCCTTCTCTTTATCAACACGAAGTACGACCACGACCTCATTCCTTCCCACTCGAATAAGTTTTTGTATACTTCTGATACGTCGTCTCGACAGCTCCGATAGCAAGATCATTCCATCGATATTGTCGTACTCCAGCAGTTTAACGTATGCGCCCATCTCTGCAATCTGTTGGCGGGATATAGACCGTTAGACTCCCGATTCCGCAACACCACATGTGACTGCAGGTTTTAAATTCTTTTGAGCCGTACCTGCTTCACGTTCACCATCACAAAACTATCAATCTCCGGATACTTCTCCTCATAGAAACGGCAGTTTGTTAACGACATGGTGGGCGGTGTGTGCCTATCGTAGGCGAGCGCACTGTGGGGGAGGGGAAGGAGATGTAATTTGGAACTCTCGTGGGGTTTCGTCCCAAGGGGTCACGCCAGAATAGGGAGGTAAGAACGGTAAGGGAGTAGCTATCGGTTTTTGAAGGTGGCACCGCAACTACAGAGGAATGTACTGGTGTGTTGCGCAAACTGGCGACCTGTACCGTACCGTGACGCTTGACGCATTTGACCCTTCTCCGAGTTTAGTTTTTTGTGGCCGCAGAACCTTGAGAGCGATGCGGGTCAGGTGACTTGACTGCTTATGTCATTGACCGCTTATCGGCCATTCCGCCGCCTGCACCAAGACAATTCGCGACAAACCAACCGAAACCAACCCCCAGCAGCGACGATGACGCTGAGGGATTGGAGCAACCCATAGCTAACTACTGGCTACGTCGGCCCGTGAAAGTGAAGCGTGAAGCCCAATTCATGCTCCCCACGCACCACGTCCCCGCTCACTAGCTGAGCCGTAGGACACCTGCTAGAAAAGTACTATATCACTATAAATCGACCTACAGAGCCATCCGAAATCCCCAGCTTCTTCCTACAGTTCTCCAGGTGCACAAATCCGGGAATAGGCAGTTGACTCGGTTCCATCCCACCAGGGGATTGCCCATCCAAATACTAGGAATACGATGTCTGAATCCGACTCTACCAGAGCCCAACAGGCCTCGTCACTTCGTGACCGTGTGGCGAGTGTCTTTCGGGCGTCACCCGCCCAACGCAGTTCGCCGTCCCCTCCACCCATTGGCGTCAGCCGGCAGGGACGGGGACTGGGTGCAGGCTCTCCGTCTCAGGGTGAGATAACTCCCAGAACAAGACTTCTGGAATCGTATGAAACGTGTGAGCCAGTATGCGGTTCCCGCCCTTGCAATCATGGGACTTTTTCCCCTCGTCCCGGTTCCGCTAGTCAAGAAACGAGCAACAGTCTCGTCCAAAAGAATGGCACTCGTGCATTTCCAGATAGTCCGCGTGGGGGATCTAGTATTCATACCAGCGACAGGGATGATGCTGTACCCTCTCCTCTAGGACTGCCTCCTGGAGCTACGACAAAGCAATTGGCCAAGAGGCATGGCGTGAACCGCCGTAACATGTGCGTGGCTTTTTAGAGACCCTGCCAATTCTGTCGTATATTTATCTTGGGCTTTCTGCTGATTACATTCCTTTTGACTAGGTATATTTCTTACTATGTTCCTTTCTTCAATTGGATAACGCAATACCGCTGGTCCTTCCTCCAAGGCGATTTAATATCAGCAATTACCGTAGCCTCGATATATATCCCAATGTCTCTTTCACTCGCATCAAACGTTGCCCATTCACCCCCTATGAATGGTTTATACTCATTCGTTTTCAATCCCCTCGTCTATGCGGTTCTGGGGAGCAGCCCGCTCATGGTGGTGGGTCCGGAAGCCGCGGGATCCCTTCTCGTAGGGACTGTGATCCGGGGTGCCATTAAGTCCGGCGAGGCTATGGAGGACGATCCTGTCATGATCTCCCAAATAGTTGGTGTCGTCACAGGGCTCTCGGGAGCGATGATATTGATAGGCGGGATCACTCGCCTGGGCTTCCTTGACAATATTCTTAGTCGACCTTTCCTAAGAGGCTTCATTAGCGCCATTGGCTTCATGATATTCGTCGATCAGTTGATCCCGCAACTAGGTCTTACATCACTGGCGAAGCAGAGTGGGTCAGCGAATGGCAGCAGTGTTGAAAAATTAGGATTTCTATTACGAAATATAACTTCTGCCCATAGCCTGACAAGCGCTGTTGCATTTGGTAGCTTCTCAGCCATCATGATTTTCAGGTACAGTTTTATTCCTATCTACATGTTGAATTAAACCGGCGAAAACTTTTTATTAACACTATTTATCTCAGGATTCTAAAAAGGCGTCTAGAACCACGCTTCCCTTCTGTTGTCTTCTTCCCTGATCGGTTTCTGGTGGTCTTCCTCTCCGCCGTGCTCGCATGGAAACTGCAATGGAATAAAAGAGGGTTGGATGTCCTTGGTTCCCTGAAAGAGGAAGGAAATCCAAGTTTTGCGTTTCAATGGCCATTTAAGATGTCACACATGCGGCATCTTCCAAGCGCAATGAGCACGTCTTTCATCGTCGCGTTGCTCGGGTTCTTCGAGTCGTCTATTGCCGCGAAGGGTCTTGGTGACGCAAACAATGACGGGATAAAGGGCATCTCGCTTAGCGCCAATCGCGAGCTAATCGCTCTGGGTGCATCCAATGTAATTGGTGGATGCTTCATGGCACTCCCTGCATTCGGGGGATACGGACGAAGCAAGCTCAATGCTGCCACCGGTGCGAAGTCCCCTATGAGCGGCGTGTTTCTCGGTCTAATAACTCTGGTTTGCATACTCTATCTGCTGCCTTATTTCTATTATTTGCCAGTAAGTGCTACCGTCACTCAACTCAAATGGAGAGTTTCTCGAAAAACAATGCTCCCAACCCTAACACGTGCTCGCACTCCAGATGGCTGTCCTCTCCTCCATGATTTCTGTGGTCGCTATATCTCTTATCGAAGAAGCTCCAGACGACCTGCGCTTCTTCTTCCGTCTCCGTGGTTGGTCCGAGCTAAGCTTAATTTTCATAATCTTCTTCTCAACAATCTTCTACTCGCTCTATCTCGGGATCGCACTAGGCATGGGCCTTTCCATTCTACAAATAATCAGGCACGCAACCAAACCCCGCATCCAAATCCTCGGGAAAATACCCGGCACCCATGACCGCTTCGAGAACGCAGAAAATGTGCAGCCCGAGAAAGTTGAATTCATCGACGGCTGTCTGATCGTCAAGATCCCCGAGCCCCTAACGTTCGCCAACACGGGCGATTTGAAAAATAGACTCCGCCGCCTAGAATTCTACGGCACGACCGCGGCACATCCGGCTCTACCGCGCGTGCGCGCGCCTGAGCATAACAGAAACATGATCTTCGATATACATGGTGTCACGAGCATTGATGGCTCAGGGATCCAGGTGCTTAGTGAAATTGTCCAGGGGTATGTTGATCAGGGGGTACGGGTGTTTTTCTGCAGGTACCCACAGCCCGGGACGGAGATATACCGGATGATGGAGAAGAGTGGAATTGTCGATGCTGTTGGGGGCGTGACACATTTTGTTCGTAGTGTTGACGAGGCCCTACGGTTGACGGAGATGGCGGAGCTGGGTCATCCGTGATGCCACGTTTTCATATAGGGGCGGCATAGCGGAGTGTCTTTGGGGGGATATGAACGAGAAAGACGTAGAAAGGTAAAACAAAGAAGCTATGCATATAAAACGACGTGATGATTTGGGATTTTTAGTTTTTCAAGAACTTTTTGTTTTCATTTTGTTTCATTTTTTGAATGCACGGGCTAGCGTGTCCTTTCCTAACATTGGATTTTGTTTTCACTGGTGTTTTCCTTTTTATTTTCCTTCCCCAAAACACATGGGCATCTATAAATGTTTTAAAATAATTTAATGAAATTAGTGCTGTAGAAAATATTGAGCTTTATTCTTCCATTTTCATACACTGCAAAGTCAAGTATCGTCTCAACTAGAACATGGCAAATGTCAAACACAACACATAGCTATTGTACCTTCGTTCATATATATATAATACAAGTTAAATTTCGCGAATTATGATGCCAGGTGCTGTATGACGAAGGGGCCGCGTCCAAAGTGGACAGGTGAATGGCCATCGGATAATCAAGGCGCGGGGGCATCATATGTCATGTACAAAACAACCTAGCAACCTTAGCCATTTCCAGAAACAATATATCGGTAAATTCAGGAACCCCGGCACACATCTAACAAATGAATGGGGCTGGAAGGGCTAAGGGCGGCCTTCGCGGACGGTTGCTGAAGGGAGCGAGAAGCCAGCTCACACAGCCAGTGATGTCGTAAAATCCGAAATACAAGTAGCTAAATAGTGCCCCCGGACCGGTTTAAATGCAGGGAACCAGTGAATTATCACTGCCACGAGGCAAAATCGCGCGCTTCATGGGTGCCGTTAGCAAGCCTCAAATCAATAAAGTATGTCAAAGGTGCAGAAAGCGCCTGGAACCCCCTATCACATATGTATCCACAAAACAATGAGTCTTACCCATATATATCAGAATGGCCCTCCATACTCAGTCATCACTTTCACCCGTTCAGACCATCTCCCCCACATCCGCACCCGCATCCGCACCCGCACCTCCACTTCTCTCAAACCCTGCGTCTTGTCCTCCCAATTCCAACCGCTGCCTGAACAAGCCCAAAACCGGCACAAGTTGGATATCGAGATCGTTCCTGATCCCACGTAGTTCATCCAGGAGCGGCGCGACGTATTCCGGAGGCGGTGGGTGCGGCCGTAGCCACTCCCAGCCGAATTGGACGGCGAGCCAATGCCAGACCTGTGTCATTGGGGTAGGGGTAAAGATTAGGACAATGACAAGGAGGATTACGAGGCCTTCGAAAGTGTCCATTATATTATACCATTTATGACTTGTCTATGAGCTAGTTCTGGTCTGAGTAGAGGCGGTGGAGTGAAGGATTGGGAGGGAAGACCTGGCGGAGGAGATGCGATATATACTAGGTACCAGGTATCTGACTGAGCAAGCTTTTTACTAAGACACAGCTGAAGATGAGGCTGGAATTGCGCGGGAAGGCGTGAATCCCGAGTGAGTTACTTGGACGTGGAAGGCGCAGATGCTAACCCATACCAATCACTTCTGTGAAGCAGAACGTAACAGCCAAACGATTGCTGGCCCATGTAGGCAAAGAAAGGCACACGATTCACCATCGAACACATCACCGGGAGAACGTCGATGGAGTGCTGAGATTCAGCGGTGATTTAACCAGCCCTTAACCACCCTCTTCCGCCCCCATTCTCGACGGCGAATCCTCCGTCACCGAGCCACAGAGATTGGCGGTTGAATGAAGTGCGTACGGACGAGCAAGCTGCTTGCCATTGCCGTCGGTGAATCGTAATACCAGTGCAGCCTAAAAGCCTGTATAAAGGGGGGAAACGCATGTTTCTACTTCATGGAACATAGAAATCCAGAAAGCCTTTCCACGATATCTGAAGAGCTAGCATGAATAATATGACCAGAGGGTTATTATCAGGGAAGAATGCATGCCCAGTCGCGGTAGAAAGTTTAGATAGAAAAGGAGAGAGAAAAAGGAGGATGTTTGCACTGTTTGTTTTGTCGCCTTACCTCGACTTTTTATCGAACGGTTCAGAGCATCAAAACAACAGCTGGAGGAAATGGTTTAGATGCAGGCACAAACTGATCAATGTTCTGCCATGCCCGATTTCTATAGTTTAGTCAAATCAAAATATGTTTTCTCGTATGCTACCTGATCTTAATTGAGTACTATTTCAGGGCAATGGCACCATCGGGAGACGAGCTATTTACCACCTCCTGGACACTCCATCGCCTGAGCCCTTTATACCATGGAAAGGAATGCGAAACCCTTCTAGGCAACCCACAGAGTCTGGAGTTATATGCAACGCGTTTGCGCGACCTTCTTCGGGGTGATGTGTTTCGTGGTGTGCAGGTTGGGATTGAAGGCCTGGGTGCCGTGGACGACGCCGTCTCCAGAGCAGGACACTTGAAATCGTGCAAGTGGGATGCGCTTCCGACCTGGAGCCACTGGAATGAAGAGGAGTCTCTACTCGAAGACCCCGACCAGGCGGGATTTGTCATTTCTCCAGATGACTCTGCAGGAATTTTGGTTACGCTTGAATATGAGAATATCACATATAAAGCAGCCATGCTAACGGGCCCGGATGGCTACCACGATTCACGGAAAGATGTTACCTTTCTCCCGTTACTTCTAACTCGTCTTCCAAACTCGCTTCGTCAGTCTTTTATTTCGTTTTTGTCGACCAGTTTCGACACGCGCTGTTCAGTTCTTCGGCTGACCTCAAGTTTTCTGTGCGCGACATTTGAAAACTACCTGTCAACTTTGAATCGTGCTGCGTCTGGCCGCAATTCATCTTCTTCACGGGCTTTTGTTGAAAAAGTAATCAAAGAGTCACAACTTACACTCTCCTTCCCCTCGCCAATATCACCCGCATTGAAAAGCTTGGATGTACTTATACCGCGTGAGTCTCTCAGCACATTTTTCACTCACGGCACAAAAATACTTGCGAACAAGACAATAAACCGGCCCCACCAAACACAAGACCGCGGAAAGAAGCGGCCTCATCCCGACACTGCCCCATCTACCGATGAGGGCGACGGCCCTTCTGCTCCATTTTTAGCAGCATTGGGTGCTTACTTCGATTCTAATCTCGCCATGCAATTAGATATTAGCGACTTTGGAAAGGACCCAACCAACGCTCAAAAGAGAAAAGTGAGGCTGAGCAAAGTATCCTGCGGAGCTTTTGTGCTTGGAAGTGAAGGGAGGATGAAACTACTGGCGAATCCCGGACGGGTGATACCGTTCGACGATGCGGATGTTACTGAGGAGAATGACGACCCTAATGGACGGGAGGCCCGATTGGTTTGGAGAGCAAATGAAATCCTTCTACGGACGTTGGTTGCAAGAGCTGTTGGCGGGCAAACCAAGAGGTCCAATGGAGATTTGGTAGGAGGGGAAGGCACTTGATATCCTATCATTTTCATCCTGGTAGTGTCATAGTATATATCTGTTTTCTGCGGCCAGCCGATACGAAACGACTCCAAAAACTCCTCGAAGCCTTCGTTTATTCCAGTGGCTGCCCGGGTGGATATTCCAGCCCTTGGCCAGGTTTCGAAATATTTGAAATTTCCCGTGGTATTTGATATCAGTCATTTCATATCGGGCAGAATCTCCCCATTCTAAATTCCTCTTCAAAAACGAATTCTTCATGGGACAATGAACATGAAATGACTTGCCCATGGTGAAAGATATGCCTGCTCCATTGTCGCCCTGTAAAGAGCAAGCAAAATTTACAATCCAATTAAATGGAGATGTGCGGGTTGGAAACAAGATTCAGTTCAGTTCACATGTTAATTGGCTACAACATTTCATCAAAAAGACGATGTGACAAAATGGACGGTTTGAGCATTCACGTCCAGCAGCATCCATCCCAACGGGAGGGACAAGCGACGACAAAAATGGCGACTATTTCTACACTGTAGCAACTCCCAAGTCAATCATCATGGAAGTCTTAGAAGTACACCTTAGCCCGCCGAATCGCCCATCCGAAAAAAAAAAAAAAAAAAAAAAAAAAAAAAAATTACACAACACAAATGTCACCAACAAATTCAGCTATACACATATCCACAAGCCCAAATTCTACACAATCGCACCCTTCCCCTTCCTCCCCATAATCAAAACATCTCCTGTCCTCCCTTGCGTCTCCGCCCCCATGACCCGCTGATAGTACCTTTCCGCCCTCTCGCCGACCGTCACCATCATTAATCGCCGGAAATACTCTCCCCGGCCATCCACCCACGCATTGACACACTCCAACAGCCAGGAGCCCAGGCCGGTCCCCTGGTATTCAGGAAGAATGTACACATCTGTCAGATAGGCGAAAGTGATGTTATCGGTGATTAGGCGTGCGAAGCCGATTTGGGTGAGGCCTGTGGCATCGACAGTGCCGTTCTGATTATTATTATCATCGGCGCCATTACTGTTATTACATCTGTACACCCCGAAACATAGCGAGCGGTCTATCATATCTTTCAAGACGGGCGCGGGGAGTGGTTTGACCCAGTACATGTGTTCTTGGTTGAAGGCGTCGGTCAGGGCGGAGAGGGAGATGATAGAGGGGTCTGTGGAAATGACATATTTCTCTTTTCCGTCTGTTGCTGCTGCTGCTGTTGTTGTTGTTGTTGTTGCGGTTGCTGTTTTCGCTGAGAAGGACTTTGTCCATTGCTGAACCTGGAAGAGAGGGGGTTGGAATTGGGATTGATATGGTGCTTGGGGTTGTGCCATGATATGGTTTTGTTGTTTGGTTTTCTTTTCTCCGATATTTTGAATTCTTAAAATCTCTCTTCTTCTGACGCTTTTCTCTTCCTTTTCTCCCGTTTCCAGATTCCTGTTTGCCGAGTATACTCAACACAGTATGATATATCTGTTGTTGTGATGAAGGAAGTGAAGAAGACTAACGGATAATCAATCCACCAACAACGCAAACCTCAGATACCGAAGTAACTAGAATCAATCCACAGTTCGTCTTCTAGGAGTTGCTCTGTTTCAATAAGAAAACACGTATCGATCCAGAATAGTCTGTCCACCCCTTGATTGGCCTGTGAGTCACTGCGCGCGGTTGCTTCAGATATGCTTCATGCCGACCCCACATTCTGCTCGTATGGAGACTCCGGCGAATCGCTAGAGGTTTTCGGCACCGACCCATGACATCGGAATGGACCGTTGGCACCAGGTGTGCCGGCGAAAGCTAGCAGGGCTACTAAATGTAATAGAATTACGTGTTTGCTTGGTGCAGCGCGGGATTGGATGTGTTTTTATCAATCCCAAGAATTGAGGAGAGAAGTAAATGAGAAGGAGTAAAATAAAAAACCAAATCTCAACACTCTTGACTAATGGGTACTGAAAGCTAAGCTGTGCATCCTGCCGTCAAATAAGCTGAACCTAGGAGAGGGGCGGAACGGTATCAATGACAGAAACAAGGAGTCTCGATCGTTAAGAGCGGCAGGTAAGGGAATCAGGAATAAGAACGAAGACATGAAAAAAAATATATAGTTAATCCATACACACACGATGGAAAACAACCCCAAACCCCCAAGAACTCCAAATCCCATCCCTTAGTAGTTTGACCCCGTCAAGGCCCCAGAAACTCATTCATTTGAGAGCACTTTCTGCATGCCCGCATCTGTGTTCTCCAATATATCGACATGGTCGCCCAACTCAATGGACCCGAAGTACTCCTCGAAGACCTCGCGCAGCGTCGCATCTGTAAACTGCATATGGGCACCAGGAATAGTCTTAAAATCCAGCTTTCCATTTTGATCCAACTCCCTCAACCCGATCCAATCCTCTTTAAACATCATCCTTCCCTTCAGCGGCGTAACAGTCCCATCTGTCATGTTGACCTCCGCGAAATGCGCCGACTCTTTCGGCACCATCGTCTGATCTTCTTCGAACATGTACATGGCGAATTTATTCAACTTCTCCATGTTCTCCTTGTACGTTAGGTTCTTCGAGGGTCGCTCGTTATTGATATCTGCTAGGAAATTGCTATAGGCAAGGTACTGATCCAGCTCCCTGGGGTCTCGAAAGTACTGCGCAGGGACGAATCTTGTCTGGACGAACGTGGACCACCTGCCCCATCGTAACAGTGCCTCCCCGGTCTTGCATAGCCAATCCCCGGTGGAGTTGCAGGCCTGGAAACTGGCGATGCCGTTATGCTGACTGCCGAAGGTAACGAGGTTGCGGACGGGCGGAAAGTTGCAGCGCTCGATGTATCCGCGGAGAAACTGGCCGCCCTGCGAGAAGCCCAGGGCATTGACGGCGGGCGCGGTACTGAGAATCTGTTCCGTACCCAGCTGTTTGCAGACTTCATCCATCTGGGCGTTGAGGTCGCCCAAGAAGGTGGCTTCGCGGTCTGTGGTAGGCGAGTCACCAAGGGAGATGATGTGGACGTAGGTTCCCGGGTTGACCTCCTGGGCAAGGTTGGCGACGTGTTTGAGGCCGTCGTTGGCGTAGTCATCCCCTAGGCCATGCCATATTACGAGGGGGAGGGGTCCCTTTTCGAGGGTAATTACGTCTGGAGCTGATCGTGGTTTAGGGAGGGCGGCGGCATGTAGGGCTAGTTGGGAGAGGATGGGTATGAGAGGTAATGATATGATGGGGCGCATCCCTGCAAGGAGTATACTATATAAATATATGTCCTATGAAAGGTCAAGTCGTCTCGGAGCTTAGAGGGGTATGATATAGGGGATTGAGGATGAAGAGGTTGAAGGTTGGATGGGGTTTGGAGCTTGGAGCAGTGTCGTAAAATGCGGAGGGGGATTGATAAACAAGCTGACTATTTAACTTAGTTATTTAAATAAATAAGGGAAGCTGCGCGCCATTGGAAGCAGCTTCGATGCAGCAAGATAAATAAATCAGAGAGAAAGAAGCACTGTGGAATATAATTCCAGCCTACATATTTTATATATTTACACAGTATGTTTGGTTTATTTACTTATTATTCATTATTATTTTATTATTCTCCATTATTTAACTAAATACTTCGCGCTCTACCACAAGGAATTCCATTGTTTAACTTAATTAGTTAGTTATCAGGCGCCGATTAAATATTTAAGCAAGCTTGTTCCGTTCAAAAAAAATTAAAAAGAAACATAGAAACATAAAAAGAAAAAAAGAAGAAATACATGATTAGCAGCTTCGTTTCCTCCTTACTAAGATATATATATGTTGATAGCCTGACCTTAAATCTACCTTGATCGCTTGATATATGACTTCAGAAGAGAACGATATTCATACTCACCATTCCTAATCCATTAATTTATCAATCAATCGTCTCCTGGGAATACGCGCTATTGATGTTGTCGTTGGTTGCTCCACATGAAACGATGATTTGCCGTTCGAATACCCTCAGTTTCCGCAGGCTGGACGTCGCTGATGGCATCGTCTTTATCGGTTTCTTGGAATATGGGAGTTTCATTGAGGGTGCCGTTGAATTCAGAAACATTGGTATCTTGTGCAGATACAGAACTGTCGTGAGTGGTACTAACCACGGCATTTTGCGACGAAATTTCACATCCCAATGAATCGGATCCTCTCGCTTCGCTCAGATCGGCTGAATCGCACACAGTCATTGCCTCTGTACCTTCTACATGAGAGACGGCTTCGTTGCTCTCATTATTAGGCTCCGTCAAACTATTTGGGTAGGCCGGCCCGTCAGCAGCATCTAAGTCGCTGCCCTCCACACGTACTGGGGGCAAAAGTGTATAATGGTTGCTCGGTTCTTGACTGGTTGGCCAAACCATGAAAGATTTCCATAAATGATCTCCTCCATCATCGAGGCCAGCCAGGGCATTAATGTTATCAATCGCTTCAGAAGTTGGAACAGGGATTTCCGGCCTTGCTACATTGTCTACGTCCAGGGTTTCCTGCTGCCTCGGATAACATTGTTCTTGGTCGTGAATCTCCGCTTGAGTTGACGGATGCTGCTCGATACTCTTACCTCTATACGGCGACGACGAGTAATCCTGCAGTTCTAAGCTAGCGGACATATTTTGCTCCATCGCCGAATGGCTGACAATAGATCTCGTCTCCCTCCTCCTGAACCCGAGCACTGGCTGATCGTCGGAGATATCCGGATCAGATGTACTACTCGCATTAGGCCCGGTGGGCAATTCATGTGCAGCGTAGGGATTGGGAACCAAATATCTTAGACTATTGTCAGGGAACCTCTCAGGATGCATGTAATACATCGCTTGCATCGCTGCCGGTGGCAGTGGAGGATCGTTTGTTGACGTGGGTGCTGGATTCACTCTATTCACAGCACCCGCTGATCCTTCTCCTGGATATCTCTGAGGCCGAAGGGCTACTCCTTCCGCGATGTTTAGGTTTCTCGGTGACACCATCGTGGAAGGAGACCGATTTGCGGTCGATCGAGTAAGAGTGACCGACTCTCTTTGGTTATTCAACACCAGTGGACTCCGATGCTCACCTCCATAGCGCTTTTCATCTTTATTGCCATTTGAATGAGTGGTGCCTGGGCGATTCGATATGTCATTATTCCTCAAGTCCATCCCAGAGGACATGAAGCCATCCATCTCTTCGATATCGAGCAACATAGATTCTGACTGGTCTTGGCTAGGGTTGGGCGATTCGCTTCCAGCGACAGACCAATAATCGGGTTGTAGTTCGTCATTAGGGCTATCTAGGGTCGTATTGTGATGCTGGATATCCATAGACCTGGGTGGAATAGAAGAATTCCGGTTTCGGCAATTTGACGATGAAAACCACTTACTCGCCCCCTCCCCAAACACAGCTGAACTTTCCGCTTCCGGGCCCTCTCTGTGATCTGGGATTTCCCACAAGACGTTAGCGCGATAGCTCCTTTCCCCAGGGTCGATGTTGCGTGAGTTAGCCATTCTTGTTGTCTCCAGGTCCGTTTCGAATCCTTCTTCTAGGCGTAGATATTCTAGGTCGCTAGGGCTATTACTTCCAATAGTTGAAGGACTTTGGCGCATTTCATCATAGATGTCACCCCTTTTCATATTGGGAAAACCAGGGAGAACCGCATCTAGGCCATTTTGGTCTATATAGCCCCTGGGCAGATCTATCACTTCGCCTATGGCGATGTCTGCATCCACGTAATCTTCGTGGAAGGTTATCCTGTCCTTCATCTTTTGCGGGCGGCGATGTTGTCTTTTTGCTATATTTATTGTATGTCGATCCCTTCTGGGAAATGTGCTTGTTCTTAGTGGGCGAGCGATAGATAAGCTGGCCCAATCTTGTCTTTTGAGCAGTTTTCGTCGGAGCTCTTCAAAGTATTGCGACTCTCCGGTTTCAAGACTCCGTTTACTGGACCGATCTGATGGGATGGTTTGGTTAACTCGTCTCTCACATTCCTCGTGGCTGTCGGTTTTTTTTCGTGTTTGCTGATGGGATAACTGCGTAGTAGGCAGATTTTGGGACCACGAAGATCTAGCAGAAGATGAAGACGGTCCTTGGTGGAGACTTTTCTGAGCTTTCAGTCTTGCTTTTGCAAAGTACTGTTTCTGGGTAACCTTTAGGGATCTATGACTTTTATAAGAGTGGCGTTGCAGGCGGCCCCCCGTCCAGTTCATCGCGAAAGAGTCTATCAGAAATTCTGAGTTGCCAGGAAATATACTTTAGGATTGCTGAACTCAAAGGGCATCATTCCACCGGACGAGATCGCAATAACGTTATTCTTCCTCCACAAGGTTTGTCCCTAGAAGCCGGACACAGCAACGTTTGTGTTAATTTGGGGACAAATGACGTTGAAGGTGTCGGCTGAGGTTAAGGTAAGGCTTGGATGCATGCCTTATTTTTCTGGTGTAGTTTTCTTGTGGGAATCGTACCTATGCAACGCCCCTTTAGGAAATCACGCATGTCCACAGCGAGCAATCTGACACTCATACTATAGAGAGGCTACATAGTATTTGTACAGTACATATGTACTGGCACCAAGATAATCCTGTCACCGGGTTTACTACAGTGCAATACCCTCCTCGCATCTCAAGATTAATGGTTATTGGTTGGGGTAACGTACAGCTAGCTAATATACGCAGTAGTGCGGCCAGCGTTATTTTTCCGAAGTTATTTTGATAAGTGCTATCTTGCTTGATACTGAAAGCTTAAGGAAGCAGAAATAAAATAAAAACTTAGGTAGAATTGCAGTCATCTATCGTAACACAGTCATGTCAACGCGGTTGCTCAAATAAAAGAAGGATACGTAGATATGGACAACTGGCGACATATGAACGAACAGGCACACATTGCCGACACGACCGCACAATTTCAGGTGGAATATCCAACAAGCTAAAAGAGTGTATTCTCTCGCCATTTCAACATCCCTTACGAGGCAGCCCCTAATATCATATCAGTAGATGGAAGGAATGTGACGTTTAAAAATCGTGAAAAGAAGGAGAAATTGTCGCTCTCATGCAAGTCCCAGCTCTCTTCTCTTACATACCCTCCATGATATTGTTTCTATGGTTTCTCCTATAGATTTTCCAGAGGGGCCGTGGAAAGCGAGCAGGTATCAGCCTCTTCGCTCTATACCTCAACCCCTATTTCAAGATAAGTGTTAAAGACATGATAACCAAGATTGCCCCATGTTGTGGGGGATCGTATTCGCGATGAGTAAAGTTTTTGATATTGTCAGTGGAACCACGATGAACCATAATAATGGTTTCGAGTTTAATTTCCGGGAAACCCTCCAGCTGGTCGGACGTGTTCTCTATTATATTTTTAGAGTATTATATCTAAATTGACTTGTGGGTCTTGGTTGGAGTTATAGTTGCTGCGAGCTTCAAAGGTCAACACTGTTGTCATTTTCCTTCGTGGTGAGATTCGGGACTTCATGTAAGAACTGAGCTGCTATGACTAAAAAAATAATCATTTGGGATCACTTGGCTCACATTTTCTTACCTTGTGTCCTCTTACAAGTTTCTCGTGTCGAAATCAGATGCTCACTCCAAGGAATTTGCCAGGCTTGGTCTCCACAACAGGAACTATCATTGGATTTTCGATGATTTGAAGTTCATACAAAATATTGACTCGTAAGTTTCGGATCAGTCAATATAGATCTATCGAATGGATTTTTAATAGTTCTGCGAATGAGGGGGGAAATAAAAATGGGAGATGTTAGGTTCTCGTTAACTTCATATGGTCAAGCAGATAAAATAAAATTTCTTCTGAAAGCCCTTTCTACCGGATATTTTTTACCTAGTAACTACAAAGTTAAAAAAATAACTTTATAACCTGGTGGTAGATAGAGTCGATTCATGAAACTTACCCTGAATTCTCATCCATACCCAGCTCTAGAAATGGTTGACGATGGAAGTTTGACGGGAGCTAATTATAAGCTTAACTTTAATTAATATATCGGGCCAACCGTTGGCTTGACGTCATGTTTCCAGCTTTCTAGTTCGAGCCAGAATACTCTGTTACTGCCATCTCTCCCCGGAAGCTAGGGCAACTGGATTACTGGCCTTCTGTCAGAATAACTGTCATGTAAGCTCGCCTCACGTCTGACAGATATCTCCTCCAGTACAGAGTTCTCGTCAAAGCAATCAGAAAACGCAATAAATAGCACTTTGTCGCGTTACGATCGGACCCGTAGCAGATGTTGTCAGAATGAACCTCTTCCCTGCCCGAACAAGACATGTTGAAAATATAGGGCTACAATCGTTTTCTCTCCTTTTTCCTAGCTGTTGCGTTCTTTTCTTCAAAGGGATCATCCATACATGCATTTGTTAAAAAACAACAACAAGGATAGCTTCTATCAAGCGAAGCAGAAGGAATTATAAGAATACTAGCTGAGCATAGGGCATGTAGGATCAGATAGAGCTTCGGGGTTTCCGTATAATTTCAGAGTACTCCGTAGTTACCAGACAACAGCCCATTCGCCGGCCCGGAATTAGCATAATCCGAGGCATTTGGGTTGGATTAGTCATTCTCGCTTAGCTATCCCGAAGTGGTTACCTCGCTTTTGGCCCTCAGCAAAATCTTTTTCCTCTCCCAGCTGCCAACAAAAATACAACCAGGACGCAACAAAAATATTCTACCGTTTCTGTTGAGCGAGATCTCCAGAATGGACTATTGTTTGGTCGAGATGCTGACCATTTTCATGCCTGAATATTGAGGCATATATGATGTACGTACCGATATTGCTTGCATTCCCTGCAATTCCATTTCTCTGTTTTCATGATGAACCCCAATTCATAAGCATAGTTCAACTGAAGGTCTCCGGATCCTGAACGACAACCTATCCATCTTTCACTTTTTCTGAAAACTCAATCAGTATCATGCCCTCTCTTCTACCAGCAAGACTCAATTCCTAATCCTTGCTAACCCCCTCTGGAACTTAGGACCCTGACCGGACAGAATGAAGCCCATCCTTAGGTTGCTCGCTACTGCACTGCTGCCCAACGCTTCCGAATGAAACCTCACAAGGTTGGCTAGGCAGGTCATGACATCACAGTCGGCGAATGATATTCACAGATAACTTCTCGTTACAAAATCAAAAGAAAACATTTTTGTGTGAACCCGCCGACTGAGGCGTAGATCTATGAACCATGTCAAATTGGCAAAAGATAAAGCAATTTTATACGTATTTTGGATTCAAACAAGCCTCATCGTACTCTGTATCGCCGAATTTGGATTCCGTCCATAATTTTGTGCTTAAGAACAAATCTTGGCTCGTCGTACTGCTGTGTGATTTGCCAGCCTGACGGTTCCGGGAAATCCTATCACATCAAGAATCTCACGCACGATGTGTGATTTGTAAATGCAAGCTACAGCGAGAATTCGCAGGCAAGAGATCTGGTGTCAAATGGAATTGCTGGGAAATGACGTCTCACACCGCTAAGGCTGTTTCCAAACTGCGACCCCACTTTACTCACTGGTGATTTGCGGTGAGATTGGTAAGATTGGTGAGACGGACGGATACGGGGCGGCGCACCAAATGAGTTGAAATGACACGTCAGTCGGAGGAGGTTTGCCCAGAGCCTATGCTCCATCGCCTAGCGTCATGCTGCGCCGGAACCTCTGCTTGTGCAGCCGCCGCGAACTGAGCAGCGAACAACAGCCAGTCATCCCTTTCTCACCCTCGCACACCGGGCAAACTTGGCGAGATATCATGCATGGCGCTCTGCTGGCTCTCCATTGCCCCGCGTCGGCTTTGCAACAGTTCCCACCCACGCCGCAAGGATGCTGCGACTTCTGAGCTGGCCAAACGACAGAGCAGACGTGTTAAAGCCAGGACAAATCCCATCCTCGCTCTTCTCTTGACTTACTTCCGTATTATTTTTCGGGTACTCACAACTGGTATACAATATCTCGTGCTATTCAAGCTCCTTCTCTCTATTGATCCGCTTTGCTCTCAACCTGCTTCTGATCTTACATACTGGACCGGCTGATCCCTTGATGCTCCATTTCAACCCCTCATACCCCCGACAATATCATTACTTCTCTGCTGGTCAACGACATCTCTGTTCCAACCCAACATAGTGCTATTTTTCTTACAATTTTCTTTCTACTGCAACTTGGATCACCATTTTTCCGAAAAGAAAAAACATATCTGGCTGCATTCCCGGGATTAAATCCACACCTAGGACAAGGACTCTTATTTTATTTTTTTATGTTTAAAATTGATCCAATTCATCGACCCGTCTGAGGATACAGTTATTCAATTCAATCCAGCACAGAAATATTAGCAATCGTCGTTTCGAACTCATCAGGTAGTCCCCATTATCTTTCCTTAAATGCATCCCTCTCAATTTTCCTTAAGTTTTCTGGTCATGTACCTTCCAAATATCATGTTTTTCTTGTATTTGGTTTCTTTTGAGCGCCAGAACCGTACGGACCTGCCTGGAGAAGCCCTGGGATTTTACCTGCAGCAATCTGAGTGCCTTTTCGGAAATTTTACTGGATACATCATTGGGTGCCTATGCGAGGGCCCAAACCTTCATGCATCCCGGCGATAGCCATCGCGGGGGGATGTATGTCGGTTCACACCTTTCGGTGCATAATGTTGCATTCTTCGTGAACTGTCATGATAAACCTTGCAAAAACTTTGATGGTGGCCCACTGGTCCTGAACACTAAACGCCTGCAGCTACCAGCATGTCGGTAAAACGTATGTGATGCTGTTAGTCAATGGAGTGTGCGGAAAATAAATGAAAACGCTACTATACCGAAGATCCAGCCTTCAGCAGGTAAAGGTATCCGACCCGGGACACCAGCCGGTTCCTGTCCGTTTTGTACAGCACGGCCTTCTTATCTTCCGGCCCTCAAATGTGATTCCGCTGTTGGGTTTCTATGGTTATACATGGCATGGTGCTACTATATCGCAGCTCACCGTTGCTCGCGGTTGTGCTTGCGCCTGGAATGAAGAGCAAAATGATGTATCACAACTGTTGCGCAAACATATACTATCTGAAATGTTAAGCCATGGATGCCGGATATTCCTTTAGTTAGAATGCTACGACCAACTTCGGAACCAGTCCTTGAATATTGTCCTTTTGAGGCGCCTCCTGCCTGATATATCCCGAGGATGTGATTTTTTTCGTTCTGTTCTTTTCTTTTCTTTTTTTTGTCTCTACTAGGCGGCAAATTCCCTATCTGGACTCATCGGGTCGTGCCGAACGGACTATTCACTTGAAAATGCTCATACTTCGACCCGAAATGGCCTGAACTCCGACTTCTTATCGCCTTGGACATGGAACTCTCATAACATAACTAGCGACAGATGTCTGGTGCGTATTCATGGCTCAGAATTATCAGGGCTCGCAGCTAACACCCTCACAGGTTCTTCCCGAAAATTCTTGGATCCTGGGCCGTCAACTTTCTTTCACCTGTTCATATTTTCTTACCAACTTCTATTTGCATTTTTTAGTGCGGAGTTATGCGATGCTTCAAATTGACGTAATACTAACTTTTTATGTGTACTAGTTCTCGGGAGGATACAACCATGTCCACCAAAACAATAACCAACCCTCCAAGGGTTTCGATAACAAAGAGATCTTACAAAATAAAGACGCCATATGTTCCCAAACTCTCCACAGGACAGGATTGTCCATCTTCTGCCATGCCTCAGGATGACTTCCATTCCCAGGATGCATTTTCTTTCTCTCCTTTATGCGGCTCCAACAGTCTGCCCGGACACAACCAGTGGGCATATATGAGCTCTAATTCCAGTACTACAAGCGATACCACAGATGAATCGTTTGAAACTAGCCCGATGCCAGTGACAGAACCGGATATCAGCAGTTCCCAGGACTATAGTTTTGCCTCTTTTTCACATCCAGTGATCTCAGGTCATGTCAGTTCTTTGGACCAGCCTGCCAGGTATTCCTCACTGTCAGATGTCCATAATTTGCATGATACGACAGATTCAGGAAACAGTCCTCACTTGGCATTCAGTAGTTCCCAGGGATACCAGTCTATCTTATCTTCCGTCTTTGTTTTCCCTTTTGATAATGCCGGGTCCCAGCCCGATGGTGCCCATAGTTGCGACCCAGAAAGCACGAAGCAACTCCAACTTGAGTCCCAGGAAATTGAAAAATCAGAAATGTTTACTAGTGCACGCCCATATGACCACATGCCAGTGGATCCCGATGGTTTCTCCCTGAGTGGCACGAACCAAGTGCCAGATATTTTCAGCCATGGACCAATCACCCCGCCCCTAACCGAGCGTAGCAATGACATTTCTGTATCCTCCACATGCTCAAATGACAGCTACGCTCCATTTTCTGGACACGATGATTCCATGTTCCCCGACATTCCAAGCTCCATCTCTCCCCATCGCTTCAACATCCGTGACCCACTCTGCCGTTATCTTACCCCTACTGAACAGGAGGATATCAACAGGTGAGTCTATAATCATATTTTATCAGTTTATCTGCGTTTCATGTTGTCTACTCTTCCGATGCTAATTTATCTCGCGTCTCAGAACCGTGAGGGCTTCAAAGCAAAACCAGCGACCACTACTATCTGCAGCAGAACCCCAAACACGAAAAGAAGAGCAAGCCGTATATCCTCTTCCTGCAGGCCAAAGTCCAAATTTTAAGGAAACACAGGAGACAAGGAACCCTAGAGACCATCACTATTATTCCCTGCCAACCCAAGCCGATGGAAAATACCACTGTCCCTTTGAGAACGATGAGAAGCCTTGTTCACACCCACCGACAACACAAAAATGCGGTTACCAGTAAGTGCCCCTCGTCTTCCTGCATAAGTGCGTGTTCGTCACTAACGAATATCTCTCAGCAAATACCTTGATTCCCACTTGAAGCCATACCGGTGCAAGGTCAGCCAATGTGTGGATGCCCACTTCTCTTCCAATGCTTGCCTCTTCCGCCATGAACGGGAAGCACATGGAATGCATGGCCATGGAGAGAATCCCCATCTCTGCCACTTCTCCGCCTGCGAACGTTCCGTTCCAGGAAATGGATTTCCCCGTCGCTGGAATCTTCATGACCACATGAAACGAGTCCATGACTATGCTTCGTCAGAGAGAGTTAGCTCGCCCGAGCGGTCTCCAGGTGCTGGTCAACCATCCAAGAAGAAGGATGCTACAGTTCGCAAGAGAAAAGGAACCAAAGCAACAACTATGAAACGAGTCCGATCCTCTCCAACCCAAACATCTAGCCTAGCCAAGACTGCCCAGACGCAAGCTCAGCAAGAACAGCAGCTCCAAAACGCTGAGCGGAACTACTATAACTGCCTTGCGCGCCTTAAGGAGGATTTGAACAACATCAATCCTCAGGACCCAGGTCTACATGACAAGGCGAATGCCAGCTTGCAGGAACTCCATACTCTTGCTCTGAATTACCGCTGCATTCGAGCTAGCCAAGCTGCAAATGAGATGTCTTCAGGTGTTTCTCGATGACTGAAGCATAAATGTCGGCGGTCTTTCCCGTTCACCCAGGACCCCTCTTTCTAAGCTATCCCGGATTTTGGAATTGCGCTTGTACATGTTCTTTTTGGTTTTTACATTCCTTTTTATGATCCTTCTTGGTATGGACCCAAGATTATTTGCCATTGTGTGTGCTATTTTCCACGAGAACATAGACATGCCTGTGAGAGATGCGGGGTAGCCTCCAAGGCATCTTTTTTATGGATTCATCTTTGCACTACTCTCCAAATAGATCGCCAAATTCCCCGGATTGACCGAACAGTTCATGGACCCCGGTTGACGAATTGGAGACCTTTTACTCCATCCGAACACACCCAAACCTAAGGATGGACATATTCCTGCATCTTAGCTGACTTCGTCATTTTGGAATATCTCATGGTGGATACACACATTCTCGGATTTTCTCTTTTGCATCTTTATATGTTGATTTTGCCTGTTTGATTTTATCTTGCACTTACTCTTCGTTTACATGTTTTTACTTATATTTGCTTTATGCCACTTTTGTTTGTTTTACATATATATGTCACAGTCCCTCGGGCATCGGGACCTGTTTTGGACACATGGGATATGAATCCGGCTGTACTGATTATTTGGATGTCTTCCTTTTCATTCTTCTTTCTTGTTTTTCTTTTACATGGTGGAATGGTGGAAATATTTTAGATCTTTGGGAGCGCCATTCGAACTGGCCGAGGGAACAACAACTCTATTGGATTATCTTTAACATTACCTATAGGAGGACTTGTGCTATTTTTTGTTTCTAGGTGTCTTTGCTTTGCTTTATTTACATTTTCCATTTCCTTCCCTGTTGCTTTTCACTGATTTTATGACGAATAAGCGACGAATGACTTGTAACGGCCTGTCACGCCCTTTTTTTTTTTACTTCTCAGAACAGACGAACCAAGACAGATATAGTTTGACCTTCCTCCGTTTCTCTCATATGCGTTTTTCCATTCCATTTCTGTATTGCTTTTTACGAAGAAAATAGGAGCAGTATTCAGCTGATCTTCCGTTTTCCCTTTTCTCGATTACAAAAATCGTGCTAGTTCGTGTGTTATTTCTTGAGCTTATCCCAGTTTTTCATGTGTGACACTAGCTGGGATCCATCCATTTATTCTTCAAATTAATTTCTTTATCCCTTCGTTACTGCACATCTTGCTTGCATTACTCCAATGGAGTCGAACAGCTCAGAGAAAAATTAGGTGGCTCTTCAATGTAGCAAGACGATACCATTTTGCTACGAATGTCTTCGCAGATACACGTGTTGCTGGCTTCTGATCTGAAGGTCAAACAATTTACTTGCCCCATTGACCTCGATGCATCGAGTATCCTCTATTTTATTCAAATGATCGCATCTAGTGGAAGGGGTATCAGCCGTCATAACCCCGCTGTCATACGTGTCTTGTTATCTATTTTGTGTCCTTAAGCCACCCCCCCCCCCCCCCCCAAAGAAAAAAAAAAGAAAAAATATATATATATATATATATATAAAACAAAACAACACAACTCACTCCTCCATCCCCTCAAACTCCGCATTTAAAAACCTTACAAAGGCATCCCCTGCCTGCTCAGTCTCCAATCCCTTTTGACCCCTCGAATGTCCCCCGCCTAGATACGCTCGGTTCATCCCCACCCACTGCCTTCGCAGCCTCTGTAGGCGCGGGAGAGCAAGAATGCCTCCTGCACCGGTTAATTCATCTGTTGGTGTAGACGCAAGGGCGGCGGCTGGTATGAACACGGGGGTTTGAGCGCCAGGTACTGATATGGCTATCCCGTCCCCAAGGGAGTGTTTGGCGGTTTCGGCTGCAGTCGCTACAGTAGCCGCGGAGGCGGAGGGGTTTTCAAGGGTGAATGTTCGGAGCGCAGATATTATTCCCGATGTACACTTTTCAAGCGCATGGAGGGCACTAGGGTCTGTTGTTGCGGGTTGGATTGTAGCCTGGTGGGGGACTATTTTGGGCCGGGGGAGGGATGTGCGGGTGCTGGTTCCTGTTGTGGTGATGGAGGGTGTGTTTGTGGACGACTCTGAGGTGAGGGTCGATGTGGTGGACGGGACTGTGTCCGTTGCAGACTTCTCCTTGGATACAGGTATGCCTGTTAAGGCGGTCCAGATGTCCTCAGCCGGTGGAGTAGCGTCACACCATGGTACGGTAAAGAGTGGCTTGTCCCAGCGGCTGTGGGTTGTAGGTTCTTCGTAGCGGAATATGAGGTTTTGCAGAAGTTCGGGGGGGTATGGTTCCTCGTCGTCACTTATGGTGAGAGCCTCCATGTCCGCCTCCGTCTCAGTCCCCTTGTTTACGGGGCTTCCACCTTCTTCTTCCGCATCCTTTCCTGCCTTCTTTTTTATTTCCCGCTTCCGTATCCGAGACTCATTATTTTTAATGCACTGGTCAATCGGCGTCCCAACGTGAACCTAAAATTCCGCGTGTGGCAAACAATATTATCAGTATGTGGTTATAAGATATTGTGATATCAATACCCGATAAATGAACCGTTCCACCCTTCATCGCAGGCAGAGGGTTCGGTAAGGCAAAAGGAAAGGTGGTGGAGCTCCAAGACATACCACACAACAGGTCGTCTCCGCCGCCTTACTCTCGCACCACAGCTGGTACCTCCATCCCTTAATATAATTCATCCCGTCCACAATGACAAAAGTATCCTTGCTAAGCGCCCGCTTCACCCGCCCGTACACCACTGCCCGGGCCTCTTTCTCTGACTTTGCAGTATCATACACCGTTCGCGGATGGGACTCATCGTGCGATCCAACGACGTGGAATTTATATCGTCCTTTAGAGGTAGTTGTAGTCGTAAGGGAATCCTGGATTGACGAGAGGAGCGTGGAGATTTGTTCTGCCCGGTAGGAAATGCCGGAGCAAGGATAGCCGGTTAAGATTATGAGCTGGGAGGGAGATTTAGAATGTGGAAAAGAAGCTTGAGAGGTGTGAGCCTACTTACAGGCATTATTGTTTATTTCATGAATCGTGGATGAAGAAATGCGGAAGAAATTGTGAGGAGGGAGGATCCTTGGTGTATGTATTGCTGGTGATGCAAATGTATAAACTAGCGCCATGGAGGGGTTTGGAGGGGCAAAACATCGCGGGTATAGAAATGCAATTATAATGTCAGAATTTAAATAAAATAGACAAGTCACAGTACGAAAGAATACTAGAATGTCTATTAAAATTGGTTATATGATGACGGACACAATGCCTAGAAAAGAACAATTTCTGAAAAGGTGTGCAAAAGATATACAGAAATTCCTGCATTTTTGAATTACTTCGAGCAATTAAACAATCTATAATTCTATGGCTTTTGTATATTTAATTCTCCACAAGGAGTCATGGTGTCATTGCTTGTCCAGCTCTTCCTCTTTCCACCTCAATTCATATCCAAACACAGTACGCCTAAGCGTCTCATCCTACAAGACAAATAGAAAGATATTAGCATAGCTCCCTCCCTCACCCTGACTGCCCAAATATAAAAGATGGAAACTTACCCCAGGATCCTCCTCAAACATAAGTCTCTCCATCATCCTCTCAAACACTTTCGTAACCACAAACCCACTCTCCTCCGCGCGCGGAAAAAATGCCACGATCTTCTCAAACAGCCATGGCTGATACGGTGTGAAAACCACAAACGCCACCGCATCCCGAGTCCTTTTCAGCGTCTGTTTGACACTCGTAATCAACTGCACATGCTGCGGATGATTATATATCACGTCTGCCAAAATCAACAAATCAAACCCACGACGACCATCGACACCAAGCCCAGCATCGTCGGGCAGATGTCTCAACACCGTCTCCGGATCCGTGCCCCATTTAAATCCTTCAACCCTCAGCGGCGACGACTTTGGACTACTCCCATCCGTTCCCCCTAAAGATAATAACGACTCGCAGGCCTGTGCGTTGATGCGCATATTTTCGACGAGATCGAAATCTGGGTAATCGGTCACGACGGCTGTGCGGGCGCCGAGGATTGCGCAGACGAGACTGGGCAGACCAGCACCGGCGCCTAGTTCTAGTATATCTCTCCCCTCGACCCATTCGCGCGCCTTGTCCTCGAGGTAATCTGCGCTTGTTTTCCCTGCATTCCAGAGTAGGAAGCCCTCAATTGCGAACCGATTAGCTGAGGTAGATTTGAGGGCGATTTTCAAGGGAGGAGAGCCTGATTGATAGGTTACTAGTATATAGATATATAGATGAGCTCTAAAGAAATATTTGTACCCAAAGCGGATGACTGCCCACGAGTCGTAGTTTTATTGTTTGGCCGGAGCGCATGGTATATTCTTCAAAAGTTGCTTCCTTGGGTGGGGGTAAGAATCCCTCCGGATCCTGGAAGATGTCTCCGAATTCAATGTCTGATTCATTCTCTGAATTTGAATCCATAGCTAGCAGTGGGTATACTAGTTCCGCAGGTATTTAAGTGGTAAAAAGAGTGTTTTGTGTGGTAGTACATAAATAATGAATTGATTATTTTTCACCTCAACCCCCCCCGCAACAAAACAAAAGGCCTACATGACTAAGCAATGGGATGATAGCTTGCTGCAACAGGGGATGTATAATAGAAAACAGAGGAGAACGTAATGAAGAGAGAGATAATTATGTTATATATTGTAAATAAAAGCCAATGCCAACACCCTTAATATATAATCCCGCTGAAATCGATCACCCTTAGGACATTCAAAAATTAACCATCCCTTATCGAAACGCCAGGGCCCAAACCTCTCCAAAGAGCCCAGATATACCTTGTACTATACTATACATGTATAAGTTCTAAAGTATCTGTTTATAAGGAGATTCCCTCGAGGTCTCGCGCGATAAGCGCCATCTGTGCCCTCTTTGCAGCTTCTGCGACGAGGTTTAAATCCCTTAGGAATGCCGCTGTCCCCTGTGCATCGTAATGCGAGGTGTGCTGCGATGCGACTTGGTGCGCTCGTTGCTGAGAGGCTGTATTGACCGGTGCTGTATGGCTTATGTGGTGGAAGCTGGTCGAAGAGGAGTGTACTTCGCCATGTTGGTAAGGTTGGAGGGACTGCTGCTGCTGGGAGGCCATTGCGATATAGCTTGTGAGATTCAACCGCAAGAGGGGGTTGTTGTGAAGAATGTTGAGTTGTGCCGGAAAGGAGTAGATTTAGTAGATGACTCGTTTTATGACGCAGTAAGCAGTAGATATACAGAGGCCGGCAAGAAGATCACTGGTCAACGAATTCGAGGGATCCAGCATTTGGGTTTAGGGTTGGTGGGAGGGATGTCAAGAAAGCGTGTTCTCACGAGGGTTGAACGTTATCTCAGCTACAGCAACTCTAGGGTACATACTCTGCGAAGGATGGGAAATGCAGAACGTCGCGATTACGCAGAAGATCAGAGCTTTGAGCGGGGATATCGAAGAGGAAGACTGGGCGTTAGAGAGAAAGAGGCACGATGAGGGAGGTAGGGATGGATTGAGGGATTGAGGGGGTGAACATCGCTCGCGGCTCGGTAGAATGGGATGGAGGGGAATAAGTTACCGGTGAGCTAGAGCGGTACAGGCCCATAACAACGCCAAGAGTGATTCTGTCACACTATTTGCTGCACTTTGGCAGTAGAAATGTCGGATCAAATATATCTCCGGAATTCTTACCGCTCGATACAGCCTTCGGCCCGTGTTAGTTACGCCCATGGCGTCATACAATCTGGGGCATTGCGGCTAGCGGTGCACGTGATCACTCTAATTTGCGTTCCCTTTTGAGCAAATATTGTCGGCTACTGGGGCAAAAGAGCTCAATCACCACCAGCGCACTGCTGGTAGAAGGGCCGATCAACCGCGGGACCCCCAACAAATATCAGACCTCCATCTTCTTGTTTCTGTGGATAGGCTAGGAGAACGCATCTATGAGCTTTGGTCATCAGCAGTGCTAAGGGGAACATGTTTGTCCATGGAGAGACATGAGTGTATTCGGGAAAAGGACTTCCCAAGAACACCTAGGGGATTTTATTCGACGCAACCGTCATTCCACATTGATCTACTCATGAACTAACTGGAGATTCTACCTTTAGTAAACAAGTATTTTTTTTTGGGGGGGGGGGAGTGGACTGTACTCAGAACCCACAGAGGGTGATATATGACTATGAAACGAGAGAGGGGACCTTATGGGTATCTAACGAAAACAGAGAGTGGGAAAATGAAAAGAAAGAAAAAGAAAATTTGAGTTGAGGTGGACGACAAATATGGGACCTGCCACATTCAATTTTCACCCGACCTCTTTTATATCCCCACGGATCACCCAATGATCATGCCTCATCATATCTCTCGCAAAATTTCATCCAGGACCCGTTCAAGAGAATCGTTGTTGTTGCTATTGTCGTGCCTATCGGCTATGTCAGGCATCTTCACATCACCATCCGCATCCATATATCGCTTATGTTTGGAAAAATGGCCGCTTTCATGTTCGAGAAAGTGAAGAAGATATTCCCCGTTGCATTGGGATTGGGTTTGCGATTGCGATTGCGGTTGGCGTTGGATGCCCGCGGCATTATTTCGCTCGAGGTCGAGTAGATCGTTGACATATGAAAACCATATCCCAAAACCACCGCTGCGATCGCTAGCCTCAAATAAAATATACGAGGCGAGGCAATACTCGTTCAAGAATCGTACCGGATATGGCAATTGGTTTGTTGGGATTGCCAGAAGTTGTGGCATGAAGGGTGTGCGGATGCGTGACCGTATTTGAGCTTTGGGCTGAATTCGACTTCAAGAGATGAATGAAAAATGAGGCAAGAAGGTATTTAAATTGAGCTTTTTTTTTTTTTTTTTGATAGCTATTATTGTGGGAATGAGGTTTTCAAATGATCTATACCTTACCACGACGTACTTATATCGATTCCACCGGTGGAAGCTGTTCTGGCTCACGGGGAGAGACTTACCGGCCTTCTGCGCGGTAATTCCCCAAACTCCGTTTCATGAGTTCTACCGTGATGGTTTGTGGCTTTGGGCTCATTTTTACCTTGCTGCCAGTTTACAAGCTCTTTTCTTCGAATGATGCTGAATTTTCCCTTTCTCGTGTTCTTCAATCTTTTGCTCGCCTGGGTAATTCCTGAAGACTATATATATATATATAACCTTTCAGTATCTTGTAATGAGATTCTCAACATGTCAACTAATAAAGATAACTTCATTATCTATCTCTCCTTGCAATTACTTGACTTCTTTTGAGACTAACCCGGAATCGAGGTAATCCTTTTTCTTATGGTAGAGGTGTTGTTTCATAGCTAAAAACATAGCCATTCATTGTTCCTCAATGACCTTTCTTCTCAGGAGCTTATTAGTACACTGCCAAAAATTGAGGCACAAAGAACTGTGCCAGAATCTCAGTAAATACACAAGGCTAGTACCCTGAATATCAATTTTGTCAAGTTAACAAATTGGAGTATCCCTTTGGAGCTACAAAATCCTTTATATATCGCTATCCCGGGTATCTACAGTACATGTACAGAGTACAGCACGTACAATCGCTTGGTTTCCTGTTCATCTAAATACGCTAAGGAGATCAATCATTGTATGAAAGCAAGCTGTGTATCGGATTTGCACAGCGCCTTTGTTAATTAGCCGCTATTGCAATGAGAAAATAATGGAGCACATCTATCTATATACAATATGGCTTTGCAACCGACCAAGGGTATGTTTCCGGGTGTTTTGAGCACTTCCAGAATACTTTACACCCCTGATAAGGGCATCTACCCAGGATGTCAAGCGCTCTTTCAAAATCAGGATCTATCAACCGCCACGCCGCTGGGCACCATGTGTATCGCATGAAGAAATGGCAGGCCTTCCCAAGCCCTTAAGGGCCTTCATATTTTCAACTTTGCTGTGGCTCTACCATGAAATGTAGGTCCTCTGAGTGAGGCGTATATGGGGATAGCGCGGTTAGCCACATTTCCCCCTTTGTAGTTTGCTAAATGAAAGGGAATAGGCCACGGCCATCTCCCGTAAGAAGTATGTGAAACCTTTTTAACTTCCTTGGAAGAATAAGATTCCCGAGGAGATTCCCAGTGGGCAATCCATAAGTAAAAACATTGCATCCTCGTTTACAACTGTGGTTGTAGTGCAAAGCGTTCGTTGCCCTGCGTTCCCGGCCCCTTTGTCATGCACGCACTTATCCGGAACTAAAAAGAATCGCATTCGTAGAGTATCACACGCAGGACAGTCCCATCATCGAGCTTCAACCCATATAATTATCAAAAGGTCTCATTCTGCCAATCTGCCTTTATCTTCCTTGTCACCTTCAACAATGGATACATACTATCGTCGTGCCCCCACGGATCAACTCTCCTTGGAAGTAAACTACTCCCGAGACAGATACTGGCTCCCTTTAAACCTTTGATGTTTGCGTACATGTCTGCTGGCGGCCTCTAGGAAGAGAATAGATAGATTTGGAAGTCATCTCTACTTGCCCTCAAGAAGTCTGGATTCCTCATTTCCCGTCGCGTATTCTGACCTCTAACCTGATCCTCACATCCCCTCCTGTTTTTGAATCCACTGCCATCCATAATTTCATTGCAGATCTCAAGAACAAATCCCGTCGAAAATATACAACTGCGCACAAACTCACCGTTATATTATACGGTGGAATTCATGCCTAAATACCGTATTCCCCTCGACAAAACGACGAATACTGAGTACGAAGCAATGGCATCCGGCCCATAATTCGCAACTGGAGAAGCTGATCCATGATGGACTGATTTCATGACTATCGACTATCGGTTGCGAGAGATAGACGGGTATCGCGGATAACGAGATCCCCCACCCCTTTTTTTTCTTTCCGTATTAGCCGACAATGTATCTGATGCGGCCCTGTATGTTTTCGGCGTTCGAAGAGTTATGCGTGTGGCAAACGATGGATACACATGCGAGATTGTATGGGCGCCCGCAGCACCTTGAACTACTATGCATAGAATGGCGTTAAAAGACGGAGAATCCGGGAGAGGAAATTGAATAAATATCAACCCTTTTTCACAGATCCTTCGATAACGAAGTTTCATCGCCTGAGGCGAGACGCAAGCTCGCTTTCTTGATGCTCTAATGAACGAGATGACACGTAGAAATTCCACCCCGATGTACACCATCAGTGTGGCCGCTGGTAAAATATTGAGAATAATTTGTCATCATTACCCATTTGAGGCAAAAGGTTCCAGTGTCCAGAGAGGAATTGACCACATACAAAACAAAGCAAAATAGGAAATAGCCAGATGCTTCGTCAGTCTCAGGTGTGTGTATCCATAACGAGCACCATCTGGCTTCCGTACATAATGGTGTGACTAATCCTTTGAAGTAGAATGATCATGTCGGGTTTGATAAATCAAGAATCTCGACGGCGAATGTAGGTATGTGGCGCTAGAGATAATTTTGGAAACTGCTAGCTTCGACCGGCAACATACTGATTGATGCAGCACGGTGGTGAATGCGTCACCGGCATCTAAGGGCTTGATTTATCTGCGAGACAACTTGGATAATATCCGTTGGAACACGGCTTTCAACTTTTGAGGTTGGCAAAGGTCAAAGGGGCCCACTCGACCAGTACCAATAATGGGTATATAGGGCATGTGTTGCCCGGCTCCGAACGTGCATGATAGTCAGTTAGTTTTCATGATGTTCCTTCCGTCGCTCAGGGCGCTTGCCATGACTTCATTTCCTTCTTCAGCACCAGGTCGGGTTGGAAGACTGCAGAGAGCTGCATTCATATGTGTTCATCTTTGTACCCAAGTTATAAGGCTTATAGGAAGGTTGGGCAGGATTGTTACTTCGTTGAGCAGCTTAATGAAACACTGCTGTACAAGTGCCACGAAGAAGTAAAGATAAGAAGAGGGTGACGAGGCTGTGCCTGCCACCCCACCTTCATATCTGATGGCTGCTAGGTTTTCTTTGGAAATACATAGGGCCAAGAAATATGAAATCATAGGAGAACTTTCCGCTACCGGCCATCTTGTCATTGGTCACTCTCTCTCGATAGCTGTATGGCTTCTAAGCCTCAGCTGGTGAGCTCTGACACAAAACGAATAGTAACTTCAGGTATTTTCACGACTCAGAATAGACCAGAAACCACAAATGGCCAGATTTTCGATTGGACGTTGGGCGCTTTACTCCTTCACTTTGCACACGGCTCTGATCGAATAATGCAAACATCACAAGGCGATCGAAATTGAATATTTTGGGTGGGCTGTTGTTTAAGAACCCCGCCATTCGTCGGATTGGTCATATAGAAACACGGGTACGAAGGAAAGCCCTGATACGGCGAAATGTGGGAGGTCACTCGAGCCGGCCAGGCTAATAATTTGCCATGCGGCGGCGTTTATTGACATGGGTGCTAGAGACATTTAAACCAGGCCTTTGTTGTCCAAATGAAAGAAAAGTCAATGGCTCCGGCCATGAAATATTTTAATTTTGCTTCATTAAACCAGTATATTTTTCATCTCCATTTCACCAAAATCTCAGGGCGCATACCCAAAACCACACTAATCTCAATTTGGGAATTGTTAAGAATGTTCGATTTTTTCGAGAAGCTCAGGCATGAATTGTCAAAATGACCTTAATGAGAATAATGGTTTCATGTGGAGTTTGACCTGGTGGACTTATCAGAGCCATTTTGTGAGCACACGCTGCTTCCAGCGTTGTCATCCTTTTCAAGGATGGGAACTGGATTGGGAGGATGATAGTGTCGTGTGGACCTTCTCACTAGCATACGCTGCGTAAATTAACTAACGAACCAATAAAAATCGATCTTGAGCTGCAAGGCTGAGGGCGATGAAGGAGCAACGAGAAGAATAGTCACAGGATAGGCACAGGATAGGCACACAGGCCCTTGAAGCGCGAGATCACTCTATCTGCTGCCAAGAAAATAGAGAGTCAACGCCGTTCTGCTGATGGGGAGCTCAATGCAGGAAATAATCGTTTCATGGCTTCCACCACATGCGGATGTAAACGACGGGAGCAGGTAACGTGGAATGTGGGAAGATCAGTTTATTAATTTGACCAGGAAAGGTTATGCGAATGGTTTGCAATAGAGTTATTCATTTGATTTGTTGACTAGTGTCATCTTCGAGCAGAACAATGACACGGAAACCTGGGCCACAAAGTGGCGTAAAATGTTGATGATATTTCATGCAAAGCATGCCTAGATGCTTTGCATGTTTCGCAAGGGGAACGTTCGTACGCAGCGTATGCTTTGCCAATTGGAATATTCTAGGCTGAATCTCGAACCTTCTCAGCAAGTGAATCGAGTTGCTGCACGGAGGGAACTGAGGAGGTATTCTTTCTAGTGGTTCAGAGTAGGCCAATTGTTGGAACTCAGCATGCATACATGGAACGTCGGCCACTGTATAGCCGTTCCTTCTCGTATTAGGAATGTCCAAGGTGGCTGGCCTCCAGGTCACCTTGATACGGGTAGAAACACGGATCACTAGAACAGCCAGCTTCTTGGGATGCGGGGTGGAGGGGTAAAAGAAGGGGGTAGGTACTTGGGGGGGGGTGGGGAGTGCATTAAGCAGCGTATTTACTTCACCCCGCAATTGTCCATCAAGATGGTCCCCATGTATTTTGGCACTAAGCTGGAACTACTCCACGAAACCAGTGGAACACCAAAATCCCGGTGACATGATCACAGTCGCAACATGCGCAACTCACCAATTGGGGAAACTATATCCTGATCTCACCAAGGGAGCAGCTCCAGCAAACGAGGGTTGTCGCTAGTGGAAAGATTTCCGTTGCGGAAGCGCAATTGGTCCACTTTGGTGGCTGTTCGCGATCGAGAGGGTCTCAAGCCTGAATATCAGATTTTAACATGGCAAGTGCACGGATAGATCCCTGGAAGATAGCACAGGATGAAGATGGTCTCTCGGATGCAGCACGATGAACCACATGCGCAGTAGTTAACTATTTAGCCCCAAGAGAGTCAGGAACCAAAGCAAGCAAGCTTCACGATAGATCCCCCCTGTTGGCCATTCTTGGGGCCAAGCTACGGCAAGGGAAAAGACAAGGGAAGCAGGGGGAAGTGGAATGTTGAACTGGAAGAAAAGGGGAGAGAAGGATGATGAATGGTAAGTTAATCAACGATGGCGATGGCAAAATTCGGAGGTTTCACTGCTGCAGAGCCGCAACACAGAGCCGCGTCTCACGTCATGTTGTTCTTCTTTGTTGTGGTTGAACTTTTGAAGGCACAAAAAAGTCGCACCAAGGAGCCGCACCAAGACCAAAGGGCGCCGTATTTCCCCCAAGGATACTCAGCAGTGCCAATGAGACGGCGGGGGGGAACTTGCCTGCATTCTGTTGGCTGGGAGTTGTATGGCGTACTTTAGCGTTGGAATGCAACACTTTTTCGAAGTCCAGCACATCAGATCGCCTCCCTGGATGCGATGTCAGAGCTGAATACGATGTCCTTTCCAATCGGTTGTACCCACTGGAATCTCATTATTGAACAACATTTCGACAGCTTTAAGGAGACACGCGACTCAGACAGCCCTCCCTCGATTTACGCAGGAAATCTGAGGGAAATCTGAGCTGGAATGATTTAGCTCGCCTAGATCGGACCTAGGAAATCATCCGGATATTAGGCAGTCATTATTTATTAACAGATGAGCCACTCCGCTGCACCTGTTAGAATCCGCGCAAGGGGCGGTCTGATAATCCCGATCATTCAGGTAAGTTGTCGAGTTAAGCGGCTCAAACGCAGCACTCCTCTGCTGCAAGTGTGTTTTCCCAGGAACAAGTTCCCACCGCACCAACTTGTCGTCGATTCGCCTTTTTTCCAGGTCTTTATCCCACTTCATGGTCTTGGTCAACGCTTCGCCACACCTACGATTAGGGCCATTCCAACAAGCCCCTTGGAACTTCCTGGTGACCAATTCTGGGAACTTTAAATAAAATGAAAAAATACGTCGGCGACAACCTTGGAACATTTAACCATGCTCCGGGAGTGTTCTTTGGAAATCTCACCCATACTAATTTCTCGCAGAGCCTCATTTAGCGGGAAAGTGTTTGCACAAATCCCCAAGACTGATCAGCTTGAATCCGTCAGGGAGAATTGACAAATAAAAGCGTCGGAAATCGGCTCTTCGTACTACTGCGACTGTCATAATATTCCCCAGCCTTATGTGGCCCCGTCACGTTTGAGATCTTTTTAAAATAAGGTGCCAACTTGATTGAAATGGGGGATTATTGATTCAGAATTTCAGCCTCATCTGTAGAATAATATAAATCCGCCACTGCACTTGTTTCGTTGGAGCTTCCGGTAGTGACTTGTACTTGTTTATCTTCTCTCTCTCTTCCAGCTCTTGGAGTTTACTGCTTCCCTGACTAGCGGTTCCACTGGTTTTGGCACAACCGGTTGATCAGGGTAAAAAAGTATTGCTTCAGAATGCTCATATAATTGAAAATTTCATCCTGTTTGGGTCCAAGGGGGCTATCGTGTGGGAAGCAACATTATCACGTTGCCCTTTTTCTTTTCTACTCGGTTTCTTGATACTGACGAGCCGCTGCTCCCTCTTTGTGCCCTTGGACCTTGTCTACTTATATCATGCCGACCACTACGATTGATGATATCCCTTTTGATTTATGGTATCAAATTGCCTCTTGTCTCGACCCTCAAGATTACATCAACCTGAGCTTTGCCAACCGGAAATTATATTCTCTACTGAAAAGCGATTTTACAGCGCGGAACGCAGCACAAGTGAGTTCATAATATTGAACAATAAATACATATCTGTACCACACTTATTCCCGAATTAGTATAGACTGACACTTTCACGAAGCTTTCTATCTCCCATACACGAGAAGGGAAATTAGCATTAGAGGGAAAAATCACCTATGTTGAGGCCCTCAGGAGAACGTATGACGTACGTGAGGCCGTGGCCAATGCACAACCTTACTCAGCATGTTTGGTCGCGTATGGGGAAGCATTTCTGTTTAACCAAGGCGTATTATGTTATTTGGATAGGGGCGAGATCCGCACGCTGGATGTGCACGGAGCGGCTCGGGAAGAGCAAGTCGTCAATATTGGGGCTGTGTTACGACGAGCCTGCACGGTATCACCGGATTTTAGCCAAGAGGTGGAATTCTCACTGTTAAATTATAGCCACGGCATCGTTGCAGGCTTGTGTGAGATGGAAGGGTCTCAAGCGTGGCTAATTGTCCTTGACATTCGCGCAAAATGTACCCGAAATAACGGTAGACTGCTTCTCCTGCAGCAGCTCGAATCCTCCCGAAGAATATTTGTCCGCCACAATGAGAAGGTCTTATTTTACGGAACTCATTCCGAGTTCGCAGGGCATGGCCACCACGAATGGGTCATTCATGGTTGGGACTTGACGCAGAGGAAGCCCCTAGCAGAGCGACCCGTGCAACTGGAAAATTTCGTCGGATCTGAAATCGGATCTTCAATATGCTTTGAAATACATGACAACCACTTTTACGCCATTTCGAACGAAACCGGTTTTGAAGACGAAGAAATCGATTGGACTTCGTACTATATTTGCCTTCGGTTTCCGGTAGAAACCCCTCACAATGTCGAATGGCGTCGGTTGTGGCGTCGACAACATCGCGAAGGTCCAATCCACGACACGTGGACAAACATCTCTCTTCGAACGGACGACGCAACAAATCAACTATTGATTGTAGAGAGTAGAAGAGAATGGCGTCGAGCTGGCAGTGAGCATTATAGGACATACTATATGCAACCCCTTTCGTGTTTCATAACAGATCCTGCGGATAAGAAGGACGGCGTGGGCCAGCCGAAGGATTGGCAAACGGGAAGCGAACCCCATTCGAGCCATGAGTCCCCCAGCCCTGGATTTCCTGGGTATTTGCCAGTTCCTGTTCTGCCAAATGATCCATTAGCTTTAGCTCTCGATGACCGCAATAAACCCAATTATGAGCCTCCCAAAAAGCGCCTTCGCCGATATTACCATCCGGAATATGATGACCACGAGAATTCTTTGCCTAATCGCAGAGACTTCATTCTTGCAAAGACAAAATATCGAACGTACAATCATTGTGCATCAGCTTTTATTGACCTGGTCAATGATAATTCCCAATCAAATCAACCGAGGGACAACTTACGGCTTCGTATAGGTTCCCGGAAACGCAAATGCCCTATTGGCGAGGACGGCCTTTTGTATCCGTCAGAACTTGATGAGGAAAACAAACCAATACCGGACAGTGATGAACATTTTGAATCTCGCGGGATCAAGCTGTGGCCTCCTCCAGATTCCCACCCGGAACTTCTGTCGCTGCTCTGCCCTCCCAAGCGGTGCGGGAGTGTAGAAGCCGCCTCCGATGAACGGTCTATCATCTACTCGACAGATCCTTCCACGGCTGATGGTAGACGGCCAATAATTTTGATCAATTTCGATCCCACAATACGGCTCGACAACATAAAACGGCTCTCCGTGAAACTAAATGTGGAAGAGTCATCCCTCCCGGTTGAAATTGACAGGGAAGATACAAGACTTAGCAAAGGAAAACGAAAAGCTAGCATTGATATTGAAAGCAATAGATTGGCTCCTGGGCCATCCACGCCATCCGCGCTGCTTTCTATTCCATGGTTCAGGACGGAGGAAGCGATGTATTTGCATATTAACCGGAGTTACTGGCTGCGCTGATATAGTAATACCCGGCATGTTTGTTCTCAACATCTTGTTCCTCTCTCTCTTTGCCTGGCGTTTATGCTGGGCTGTTAGTTTTCATATTGTGAGGGTTTCTGCTTTTAGGCTACCGGCGTTCCCTAGACCTGACTTTTGTATCTCTGAACCCCTGTTACTGCACAAGGGCAGGGAACCTTTAGTCGCTTCCCTTCTTCTTCTACCCGTTGTTTAATAGTACATATAGTTAGTTACTCCTTATATCCTTAGCTGAGCAGCTCCCTGGTTCTTCGAAACCGTTCAAACTGACATTTTGATAACTATGGGAGCCGCAAAATATATGTATGATGCTGGCCAATGAACCTTCAAATGGCGGGGATCCCATTCTTTGCTCCTGGAACTGCTAGAATTGGCGGATTGAGCAGTTTTATTAAGGTTAAGTGAAACAATAACCACCGTTTTGAGCGTCGGATAAATGTCCGGCGATCTCAAAGAGATTTTTGTCATATCAATGGTTAGAACGTCACCCAAAAACTTATACAGAAAAATCAAAATCACCAAATTTAACTACCACCGCAACATAGGAAATTTCCCATTCAAAGCTTTCCTGCGTCCACCACCACACCACACCACACCCCATCGGCTTTATACGCATATTAGATCGCATGCCACGATATCACATGACCTGACAAAAGTCTCGGCTGAGTCATCAGCAATCCACCCACCAGTCGCTCCCAAATAGCTATGACTCTATGTCCATGGATCGTATTCCCGAGGTCAATCCCCTTTACAACTCCAATTGCAAGAATATTTGTTCCTAGTCGTTTCAATCGTATACCTCACCACCGTAAATATCTTACAATGGCTCCAGTCACTCTTCACCTCCGTGCGGAGGACAAGATCCTTGAACATCGGTACGTGCTCTATGCTATACTTCCCCGCCGCCCTACTATAGCCAAGAAGCCTATACAAAAATTCATCATACTTCTCTAATCACACTCATAGATCTGCTCTCACCCCTCAAACCACCCGCGCGCTTGTAGATGCCGGCTACAATGTCAAGGTCGAGCGCTCTTCCACCTCTGCTCTGCGCAAGAGGATCTTCCCCGATGCGGAGTTTGAACAGGCTGGTGCGACACTGGTGCCAGAAGGTTCATGGGTTGACGCACCGCTTGACGATATCATTCTGGGCCTGAAGGAGCTTGATGAGACGAAGGATTTCCCACTTAAACATGCTCATGTCACATTTGCGCATTGCTATAAGGGCCAAGGAGGGTGGGAGAAGGCATTGGGAAGATGGAGCCGTGGGAATGGAGTGTTGTATGATTTGGAGTTCTTGCAGGTGAGATATATACACCATATACACACGTATATATGAACATATTGCTGCTGGTTTGTTGAATAGCGAAGTGGGAGTCATTCGAGGGTTATTCAATTGGAGAAAGAATATGTCAGCTAATTTTGGATAACTTTGGAAATGATCGCAGGATGATAATGGGAGACGGATTGCTGCATTTGGTGAGCAAATTACATCTCCGAATATTCTTTTTAGAAGAACAGGGCTAATGTGCTCATAGGATATCATGCCGGCTTTGCTGGTGCTGCTCTCTCTCTGAAGACCTGGGCTTGGCAGCTTCAGCATCCTGATACTCCCCTTCCCGGTGTAGATCATTTTACTGACGGTAGGGGATATTATCTTAGCGAGCAAGAAATGGTTGACCAAATCCGAGAGGATGTTAATCAGGGAGTGAAGATTGCCGGCCGCAAACCCAGAGTTCTTGTCATTGGTGCTTTGGGTCGCTGTGGAAGGTTTGTCCGCTTCAAATCATGACACATTTGGCATGGCTATGTGGCTGACAGGGGTGAGGATAGGGGTGCGGTTGATGCTTGTATTAAAGCCGGATGTGAAGATGTGCTCCGCTGGGATATGGCCGAAACTGCCAAGGGAGGCCCATTCCAAGAAATTGTAGAGTCTGATATGTGAGTTTTCACGTTCTCCGAGGTTGGATTTTTTTCCATATGAATGCTAACACCCCCCCCCCCCCCCCCTAGCTTTGTGAACTGCATCTACTTGAATGAAAAGATCGCCCCATTCGTTGACATGGAGAGCCTGAAGAGCCCCAACAGAAAACTCTCTGTTGTATGCGACGTGGTACGTTTTCTTTGGCTTATCCGCTCTCCGCATATGTAGCCACTAACGATCAATTTGAATAGAGCTGTGATACAACAAACCCGAATAACCCAATAGTAAGTCCCACCCCCTTGGATTATCGCTCTAGAAGTTTTATGAGGCTAACAGTCGACCCCTTCTAGCCAATCTACAACATAAATACCGTAAGCCCCTCTATTTCCCCCTTCCCGGAATCAAATCACCGAAAGAGCAAAAGGAGAAGAGAGAAAAAGACACACAAAAGTAAAGGAAAGGGAAATAGTAAATTCGAGTCTAATCCAACCTCACACAGACCTTCGACAAACCAACCGCCCCCCTCCCTCTTTCTAACCCACCCCTCAGCGTAATCTGTATGTCTTGTCTCACCTCACCCCCTCTTCCCATCTCCCACTCACCCAACCACCCTACCACCTCACCACCCCATTCCATTCCGAAACTAACCACTCAAAACCCTTCCCCCGTTCTGAAAATTCAGCAATCGATCACCTTCCCAGCCTTCTCCCCGCAGAGTCCTCGGATGCCTTCTCATCCGATCTCCTCCCTTGCATGCTGGAGATCAAGAACCGTAATTCGCACCCTGTCTGGCAGCGGGCGGAGAAACTCTTCAGAGAGAAGGTCAAGACTTTACCTGAGGCATTGCAGAAGGCTGAGTAGGAGAGAGAAAAAAAAAAAAAAAAAAGAGGTGCGCATGAGAGACAAGCGGTGGTGTCTATCACTTGATTGATTTGATGGAAAGGAGGGATGGTAAACTCTGCATTCCCCTTCTTTGAAAGAATAAGAGGCTGGATTTTTGAAATAATGTATCATTTGAAACAGAGCGGCCATGGGAGTGAAATAAAGAGAATAGAGGTTAAGAAGAAGTGAGTGGGCTATTTTACGTTTCTCAGGGATTATTCTACCGTTCATATATAGAGCTAGCTAGCTCTAATATGCCCCCATCTATTTTGGCATATATGGAAACAAAAATTGGATACTTAACTTTTTTTCAGCTTGAAAACTGGAACCAAATCAAAGGCCAAAGCAAGGAGGAATAGAAGGGTTCTAAAGTAATCTACTAATTAAGGGTTGATATCCATCCATCTAATTTGAAATTGAATTGCCACGTCCTAGTTGTCCTACATACCAATATTGGGGATCCCAGTTCAATCCCAATGCCTCCTAGTAAGGAAATAAGCCAGAAAAGAAAAGAAAGAAAAGAAAGAAAGAAAAGAAAGAAAACCATGAACTAGCCAATATCATAATCTAAAATGATACGTAAATGCCGTACTATTTCACGAGAGAGCGTCAGAAGGGCCTTCATATGATCAGATCAGGGATGTTGCTGTATACAAAATGTCCGTCCGAATGCGAAGAAAGGGGACAACAACCATGTTGCGGCCATGCCATAATAATCGACCAATACCTATCTATCAGCACGAATCGATATCACTCACCGCTGGGGGGCCTTTGGTGTAGGGGAATTCCGCGGCGGTAGGACGACAGACAACATGGGCATGTTGGTACCACGAATATCATTCGAACCGGGGTGGGAAGAATTGCGTATACAACATACATGTATGTAAGATAGTAAGATAAATGATAAAGTAAAATTGTACATCCCTTTCAAAATTGTTATTAGTAGGATTCGCAATTATATAAGTGGAGTAGGTAGGATAAGGCTATGCGCCCAGGTATATGCGATGTGTTATGTTTATGTACGCCCCAATTTTTGATAAAATAACTATAACTATGCGATATGCTATGTTGCTAAACCGATAAGATGTTGACTTTCCTATTGATGTTATGCAAATACGTAGAATGAAGAGAGGATGGGGATAAAACAAGCTGGGTAGTTAAAGGGAAGGGTGGTAGGTAAAGAAACAAATATAAAAGAATGACCTCTAGTTTAATTTAACATAGTTTGCTGTTGATGCCAAAAAGAAAAAGTAAAAAAAATAAAAATTAGTACCACCTCGTTTCACTATAGGGAGGAAAGTAACAAAGGAAAGTGTTAAATATATGGCGGTCATACCTGGAAACTGCCCCGTCTTTCCATTAACCCTCCCCGTCCACCAATCATTCTCATTGTTACTCCGTTCTATAACCTCAATCACTTCGCCGGCAGAAAAGCTCAGATCCCCATACGCCTGTGCCTCGTAATCATATAACGCTGTCACGGTCTCTATAGGCGGGGACGATCCCGCGAGCCGGGCCGGCTTGGGTGGAGGCGGTGGCTTCTTTGCCTTTGCAGCCGCAGCCAACGAACTGCTGCCGCCGATAAGTGTAGATGCGGTGTGGGCGGAGTAGGGTGGTGGTGGGTTGTTCTCTGAGGTATCCGTCGTGCGGCGCGATGGGTGTGCCTTTTGTTCCGCAGCGAGCTTATCCTTTCCGCCTGGAAGGAATCTGGAACCCGGTCGACGGCCGCCGGTAGTCTTGAAGTGGACGATTGAAAGCTCCTCCGTACGCTCCTTGACGTCGCCTCGTTTTAGTTCAAAAGCCTCCTCGACGTCTGAAGTTAGGTCGAAATAACCGATGTTCATCCCTTGCATTTGTTCGTGAAGGGTGTAGAAGACATTAAGTTGCATATAGTAGAATGATTGGAAGAGTGGTTTGATTAGCTCCGCTTCTAGGTGGAAGAGTTGTGGGAGCTCCTTTTTCAGAAGGTCATTGTAGTAGTTGAACTCTGCAGTCGCTTGTTCGACATCATTCTCAGCCTTGTACAGGGCCTTTTCGTCTTTTAACGACTTGTCCTTCTTATCCTGAAGCTTTTTTAATGTGGCGCGGTGCCGATCGTAATCCAGTTGTTTGTGTTGTCGTTTTACTGCTACCTTGCGAATGATCTTAATGATCTCCAGGAGCTCCTGGGCGGGGTGGACCACTCGGGAATTTATCAATTCCAATTCAGGCTCTAGGGTTGTCTGCAGTTCGCGGACGATCGAAGCATATTCGTCGCAGGCCTCGATTCCTGCCAGGTTCCCTTCAGGCATCGCAGATTCTGGATCTGAGGCTCGACCGGAGATAGGCTTGTAGAGTTCTTTGATAGCTTCTGAGAATTGGATCTGGTGATTAAGCATGCCTAAAGAGGAGACAAGGGTTAGTAATTGCGCAACCAGCACCGCAGAATTATCGTAGGATACTTGGATGTGAGGTGGAGTGGGGCCCGGGGAAACGGAAGGCCGGGGAGGGGCATGTTTTTCTTTAAGATGACACTTGGGATACCATTGATGGCGTCGAAGTACTTCTTTGATTCATCGTGCAGCTTCTTCGTCTCCTTCTCTAACTCCTGAAATCTCCGTTCAGCATCGATGTAGACGGCATCCTTGGTGTTCTCTCCAACATTGAAGCGAGCTTTGAAGGTCTGTGGCGCCCGCGCGACGGATTTCTGGAGCCCCTTGAGACTCATTGTCTAGGAGGTCCCCCACCTGAAGCGGAAACGGGGGGATTTGACGGCAGCGCCGGAGTATACGTCACGAATGCTGGGGACTAAGCGGTGACAAGTTGGAAGTGAAAATACAAGATACTCTGGAGAGGGGGCAAACAAATGGAGAAATGGAGAATTAAGCCTGTAGCGGGTACGGCGGAAGAACAGAGTTATGTATCTAGAGTTGATGGCTGCTATTTTGGGCCTCTTTATTTGCAGAGTCGATGTTACAACAGAAGACAGCTGCCGCACAGCGCAGTGTAAAAACCTGAGGTAGTTTGTTGTCGTTGAAGTTGAAGCTGAACTTGGTGGTTGTTGCTGGACTTTATGCCCGGTGGAAGTTTCTCGGCGCGGATGTGCCTTATGTAAGACCGATCTGGGTATTGCCGTATTGGATTTAGCGCGAATAGCCCATCTTGCCCAAATACGGCTAAATTATATTGCCAAGCCTCAACGCTAGTTAATTTTCAGTTAGCGTAAGAGCTCCAGCCACACAGATGACAGCAGCCAAGACCTGCCGTGTGACGTTCGACGCTGTGATTGGCTTAATCCAGATCTGATTTGCTACCAATGACGATTAGCGTGAGGCTGAGCATCGGTCGGGTCGCATGAAGCTTCACAACATACATACACATACAGCACTTTTGGGCTTGGTGTCGGGTGAGTGGTGTTGTTATGGATTCATATTTTCATGGCCTGGAGGCAGCAGAATTCAAGACGGGGGAACATACGAAGAGTCCTTACTTCTATTCGGGTTGTGGAACAATAACTGCATTTTTTCAGGGGGAAGGGGATTGATTGGCCCTTAAAAAGAGAAGGCCGTTGTCTTCTTGGCGGGCAACAATCTGGCAGATCAATCAGCTTGATTTCTCTTCGTACGCTGCGTAGATTCTTTGAACATTGAAGAACTACATCAAGCATTCAGTTACAAAACGGGATACTCGTTCTTCGTATGGAAAGCCTCCTACTATGTATAGTAAGTACATTTGGTTCCATATGCCTCTTTTTGTCAACGTCACTATTAGCTATAGGTAAGGCTTCTTCACAACCCCTTTCATCCTCTATTTAATCGGAAAAGACATGTATACTGACTGGTGGATCAAAGATCAATTCAATTATAGATAAACTGCCGCCGTGATAAACTTACTCTAGGTTTACAGTACCGTGCGGCTATCCATTCTCCCCTTGATTCATGCCTCCCATGTTCATATCTTATCCAACTACATTACACTGCCTACACTTTCTTGTAGGACAGATTATGCAGCTTGAGGTATTTGACAGCTAAGATTTGCTTGCTTCCTGGTGTTACATCGAGGGAAGAATCGCAAAATTACAGATCGAGGGGACGCCTATGATCCTGCACCCAGGAACCTGTACTCGTCGCTTCTAGTGATGGGCAAGTCTTTTATATTTATTCTCTCATCAACCAGGAGAAACGGAGCACGATAACAACCCCAAAGACCTCATTAACTTTGATTATAAACGTTAAACATTTAAGCAACTACGGGTCAGAAAAATTTACGATAATCAAGGACTGCACTTCTCAAATAAAACATTCTCTGTGGCCTTTACAGAAATTTTCAAGGCTAGAAATGTTCCAAATATTCCGAAACGACTGATCACGACTACCTGTCCCGAAATTCCCGATTTTGAAAGGTTCTTCTCTAACTGAAATAAAGCTTTTGCGCTTTTATCTTCATTTGCTGGAAACTCATGAGAAGCTTGTCCTTTATAGTATTATTAATATTATTATTAGTTGAAAAGTTTGGGTGAATTCAGAGGGCCTCAGATATCTCTCTACCTTGGGTACATCTATGTACTGTACATGGGGGGTGCAGAACTGAATCCTACAATTGTTTGTCCTAGCGTTTGATTATTGAACGTGCATCCCCTAGATCGGGTCAGCAAGAAGTTGTACGCGGAATACCAATGTAGTGGAAATAAGTTATATCTTGATTTTCATCTCTTTTTTTTGGGTTTAGAAGGGGGGAACAGCGGGTAGGTAATCCGTACAAATGTATGTCCATGTAGTATATGTGATAGTATTTTGACGGGAAACAGCTTTATTTATTTAATTTATTTATTTTGAGTGTAAACGAAACATAGATCTATCAATGGTTTGCTTACTCCCTCGCGATTTTCTCTCAATCCGTTGGTATTCGCGCATCAAACCCCTCCAGCTGGTATATATTCGCTCTTATTCCATAACTTAACTTTTAACTTGGGATAAAAACAGGGTTACCCTGGATTTTGGTCGCTGATTTCTTGATTTGCTACAAACGCTGCTATTTTTAATTCATAACTACATCATGCTCTAATAACAAGCGTAGCTGTGTTAGTTAAAATATGTGGAGTGGGTGGAGGCATCGGACGCTTTTGAGCTTTGGTTAGTTACTAAATAAATACCTAGGTAGCCTTTACTAATGTCATTACATACCCCTGCTCAGACACCACTGCATAACCATCCACATACCGCCTCAGGAAGCGCAGCAAAAATCGGGTTTTAAGTCAACATAAAGTGGGTTGGTGATTAATATGCGATTATTGATATGCATGATACCAAAAATAGAACCCCCGTTGAAAAGTGGACGTGGTTTCTTACGGGAGACTGGGAACTCCCGAGCCTGGTTGAAACAGGCCTCCACGGACTCCGACCAGGGATGGCCGTTGCGGGCGAGCGTCGGGGAAATGCTCCGTAAGAAAGAACAAGAAGGACACTTAGAAAAGTGAAGGTGCAACGCAAGCAGCCATTCAGCTGAAACGTCAAATAAAGCGCTGTGGCTTGTTATTTTGGTATATAAGGAACATGGAGTAGTATGGTATGCGTCCGATGCACTCTTCTTTCCCCCGGAGCGCAATTTTATGATTTCCCGCATGCCAAAAAAAAAGGACGCGGAATAGAAACAGCACAACAAAGGAGGGAAGCCCTTATATTCGATCAAAACAGACCTCATTTTAAAAAGATCTTTAAACGTGACGGGGCCTAACGCACAATGGCGTTCCTCTCTGAGGCCATATCAACTCTAAGGAGCTTTCTAGCTACCGACGAAATCATTGAGCCTACCTCCGACCAGTATGCCTCGGAGACGAATTTCTGGTCCGTGTACAATAACCCCAAACCACAACTGGTCCTACGACCAAAGTCGCTTCCCGCACTCCAGAGAACAGTCGAGTATCTCTGTGCCTCAGACCTAGATTTCGCAGTCCGGTCCGGTGGTAACAATACAGCTGGCACGAAGGATGTTCAACTGAGTATGAGTGCTTTTGATGCTTTTGAATTCGATCGGGGCAGTGAGACGGTAACTATTGGTGCTGGCCAGACGTGGGGAGAGGTCGATAGGAAGATGGAAGAGGAGGCCCCAGGATACACAGGTTCGGCCCTATAAACGCGTCTGTCCTCGTGCTATTAAAATGATAGTTTTATTAACTACTCTCCTTCCCCCTTGTTTCGTCTCGCAGTTTTGAGCACCAGGGTGCCTTTCGTTGGAGTTGCGGGCTCCCTTCTCGTCGGCGGGATGTCATGGTTTTCCGGGGAGTATGGTCTTTGCTCAGATCCGCAAAACCTTCTTGATGCCCATGTGGTGCTGCCGGATGGTAGGATGATATGGGCTTCAACGGAGCCAGAGCTCCTCTGGGCACTTCGCGGCGGAGGGGGGAACTTTGGAGGTAAGCGAACTTAAATATTTCCCCTCTAGTCATCCGAAATGTTTCAGCGTTTGATAAGACTCTGGGTACCCAGTTGTTTCCGCCTTCAAACTCAAGGTGTACCGCTGCCCACAGAAGATCCTCGCGGGAACGATTGCGTTTCCAAAAACCGCAATAAAAGCTGTATCTAAGGGGGCATCCGATTTTGTGAAAAGATTGACCGATCCAAAACTTGCGGCACACGTCGTGGTTATGAACCTCGACCCCCCTACGGGCTCAGACGCCATTCCGCAGCCTAGCATAGCAATCAATATATTCGATGCCCATGGGGAAGAGCATGGGAGGAGTGAATTGGGTTTCAAATGGGCCTTCGACATTGAAGGTGCAGTAGACATGACCAAGGAAATGACTATTCGTGAAGTAAATGATTCTACAGGTATGTATATATACCTTAACTATGTCACAGACAATTTGCATCGACTCTGACACACTCATTGCTCCTTTTCAGCCTCGCTTCGGATGGCAGCGGGAAATACCATCATGCTGTCTTCACCACTAGTCGGCTCTGAATCTATTGATCCCGACTTCGTCGTCCGAATGGCAGAATTCTACAAGAAGGCAGTAGAAACGAACAGAGCTTTGGGATCTGGTAGTTTGATCGTTCTGGAAATCTTAGGCAAAGTGAGTGTGGCCGCTCGCTTGTTTAAACATCTCTGTTTAGGCCCGATGTTGATGCCTTTCCACAGGGTACTCTAACTTCTGCTGGAGGAGCCGCCATGACAGCGTGGCCTCGTACGAAGCCACAGCATGTTCTTCAGTTCGCTTTGATGCATCCTCCCGAAGCAGACTGTCCCGCTGAGGTGGTTTCGGGACTTTTAGAAAAGGCTCCCACGCAGATATGTCCTGCTCATAAACCCAGCGAATATTGGCCCGCCTTTATCCAGGAGTTCCAGGATTTGAGCCAGGTGAGTTTACTTTTCGCCCAACCGGTGCCACAAATTTTCCTTTTTCCTTTCTTGCTTCCTCTTTCTTCACGTCTTCTTTTCACAATCTTGAGGTAAAGTCAGAGCTGACGATAGCTTATATGATAGATCTTCGGGCCGAACTATGACCGACTCCGTCATGTTAAAACAACATATGACCCCAAAGGTAGATTGAATAAGGGGCTTTTTATTCCTCCGTTTTGACCATCCGGCAAGACAATAATGTCAGCCATACTACGCTGCGTAGTATGCATTTCGTCGTATTCGTATTATTATTGGTGAATGAATGGGTAGGGCGTAGTTGCTTGGATTCAACATGTAATAAATTGGCCAGCTTTTCAGTGTCCTCAATATCCATGACATTCCTTTTTGTTCAACCACCTGTAGTTTACTTGTAACTAACAAAAAATCGTATATTCTTCTCGTTCGGGCTAAGCGGAGTTGTTAAGGTTCACTCCGGTCACGTGTTATAATTCTCCGCTTTTTCGGGGCAAAATTTGCCAACTGAATTAGTCAGCGCCGCCTTTAGTTAACTATCAAATCGAGGATTTCCCAGCTTCAGCTTTCGCCCCAACTTAACCATCCCACAACAATCCCACACGCCTTTTCCTTCCATCATTATGTCGAATTTGGCACCCTCCGCATTTCGACAGGCACTCCGTGCATGTCCACGCCGACGTGCCTCTGTCCGGCCAGCTGTTCCCGGAATAGCGGCAACGGCAGCCAGACGGTGCTATGCGTCTGAATCGAAGCCAGCCAGAGCTCAGGCCCATGTGGACTTGGACGTGGATGTCGCCATGAAAACTGGCCAGAAGTCGTTCGTCGAACAAACTGGTGTCCGGCCACAGGGTACCACCGTGCTGGGCACGGCGGCGAGCGGCGATGGCCTGACGGATCCATCGAGTGGTATTTTGAAGCAAGCTACCGTCCTAGAGCAAGGCAATCGGCCTATATACCTCGATATGCAAGCCACAACACCTACAGACCCACGTGTGCTTGACGCGATGCTCCCTTTCCTCACGGGCTTTTACGGCAATCCGCATTCGAGGACACATGCGTACGGATGGGAGACCGAAAAGGCCACGGAACAGGCCAGAGAGCATGTTGCTAGCCTGATTGGTGCGGATCCGAAGGAAATCATCTTCACCAGTGGCGCGACGGAAAGTAACAATATGAGCATTAAGGGTGTTGCGAAGTTCTTCGGCCGGTCGGGAAAGAAGAAGCACCTCATCACATCACAGACAGAGCACAAATGTGTTCTGGATAGCTGTCGACACCTCCAAGATGAAGGGTTCGAAGTGACATACCTTCCTGTGCAGAGCAATGGATTAATAAATTTGAAAGATCTTGAGGCTGCCATCCGTCCCGAAACGGCGTTGGTGAGCATCATGACGGTGAACAATGAGATTGGCGTTATACAGCCCGTGAAAGAAATCGGAGCTCTTTGCCGGTCGAAAAAGGTGTTCTTCCACACCGACGCTGCGCAAGCCGTTGGCAAAATCCCCATCAATGTTAATGAATGGAATGTCGATCTCCTTTCAATTTCTGGCCACAAGATCTATGGGCCGAAAGGCATTGGAGCTTGTTATGTGAGGAGACGGCCGAGAGTTCGTCTCGACCCCATCATTACGGGTGGTGGCCAAGAGAGAGGACTCCGGAGCGGGACGTTGGCTCCCCATCTTGCCGTTGGGATTGGAGAGGCGTGCCGCATTGCAAAGGAAGAAATGGAGGTAAGAGATAATTCCTTTTCGTTTTCTGTTACTTTTGGAATGCGGAAGAAGCGGCATTTGGTTTTCCTTCAACTTTATCGTTTTCTCTTATTTGTTTCTTCGCACCTCGAATGATTATATGCTTAATATATGCATGGCTTTCTGAGAGTGGTTGGTTGTAGCTGCACGGCTTTTGCTGTGTTTACCGACTATCTTTGATCTACATAGCAGGGGTTATGACGTTGATTCGGTGATTTTGATTATTTTTACTCTATCCATATATGTCTGTTTACTTTATCTACTATGGATTGCTTTGCTAATTCCGCCAAAAAAATCTAGTATGATGCGAAACGCATCAAAGCTCTGTCCAAACGGCTTTTGGACGGCCTCCTCGCAATGGAGCATACCACCTTAAACGGTGATCCCGAAGAACACTATCCCGGCTGTGTCAACGTATCCTTCGCGTACGTCGAGGGTGAGTCCCTCCTGATGGCTCTCAAGGATATCGCATTGTCCTCTGGTAGTGCGTGCACCTCCGCCTCACTGGAGCCCAGCTATGTTCTCCGGGCGCTTGGAAACAGCGACGAGAGCGCGCACAGCAGTATCCGGTTCGGCATCGGACGATTCACGACAGAGCGCGAGATCGACTATGTACTGCAGGCTGTTAGAGAGCGCGTGTCGTTCCTACGGGAGCTTAGCCCCCTATGGGAACTAGTGCAGGAGGGGGTGGACCTAAACACGATCGAATGGAGCCAGCATTAAAAAAACACACGCTGGTATTTTAACCGGCCCGGGTTTTTATTACCTGATTTTGATACCAGAATATCCTCCGCTCAATCTCTGCGACGAAGAGTTTTTACTTTTTCAATTTTCCCACCATGACTGCCTTGTGTTTATACCAGCCTAATTTTACCTCTTATGGCCGGGTATTTTTCATGAGATATCGAACCACTTAAACCACCTAACCATTAACCACCTAGCAACCCTCATACCCGTCCATCATTCGCAAGCCATTTGTTGACTGATTTTCTTTCCTTCCCTCTTTGCTCAGCTACTTGTCCGATTACCATGTTATCATGTTCTTGTGGGGCGTTTTCCACGAATCTGGGTTTCTTTTAAACAACCTGATCATTTTCTGTATATCCATTTTTTCTTTTGTATTATTATTATTATATCAGGCAGTTCGCTTTACTCCTTTTTGTTGCTCAACAAAAAAAAAAAAAACGAAATGGGTAGTAGGATGGACAAAATGCTAAGTTATGAGAAAAAGAAAAAAGAAAAACAAAAAATCATTTATGATATCAGTTCACGTATTCTCTCTACTCAAAACCAGACATTATATTATTATATATTTTAGTACAGTTGACCACGACCATCCACCATCTATCCTCTCGCGCATGATGAGGCGGACGAAGCCATAAAACAAGTAGAATTAATGTCCTTGCATAGTATTCGGCAAATGATTGTCCCCCGCATCTAGTATATTCGAGAAACAGACGGACGGGTTTTCATCTAGCGTTACGGAGGCGTATAAAAAAAAAAAAAAAAAAAAAAAAAAAAAAAAAAAAAAAAAACTAGCTTACTTCTGAGTGTTTGTCATTGCTTCGAATTAACGACCGGCAGTGATGCAACAGGGCAGGATTAATTCCAAATAGTATGTCATAGTTGTTGTATGCTTGGAACAGGGAAAAGAGCACGTGATTGTAACTAGTATTTATTTATTTTAGAGTAACTAATCGGTTCTCGGTGTATATTATTATTATTTAATAATATTATTTACTATTTATTCTCGTCTTTTTATTTATTAAGTGTAACTATTCATTATTCATTCGTCAAGTATGTACTCCGGAGAGAGAGAGTACGGAGTAACATGAGCGAATCGCTGCAGGATAATAAAATATTAATATAACGGAGTAGTTACGCTGCTAATTAAATACTCCTCCTCCTCGGGTTCGGGTTCGGATCAAAACCATTGCCAATAATAATAGGCCAAGCTAGCCGGGTAAGTTATCCTTTCCACGCCGCTTGAACTGCAAATTAATATCCAGTGGCTTAGATGGAGCCGTTTCTGCTGTTTGCTATTGCCCTTTGCACGAAACCCGGGATCATCAGGGGCCAAACCAGACGCCTGCACACAATCTTTGCCAGGTCTAACCGCATTTCTGCCGCCAGGGATAGGCATAGGATAGGCATGGGATGGGGCATATGGGGATGGGATGGGGATGATGGGATGGATGGCTGCTACGGCGCCGTCTATGTTCCTCTATGCGAGCCATCCCCGAGCTCTGGCCGAGGGATGAGACGGGGGTCGGTTATATAATGGTATTTTGATAGTTAACTATCTCTTCAGAGAGAAATATATCCCTGAGATTTGTTAAGGGGAAAAAAAATAAAAAATAGAAAAAAATAGTTAATAAGCTCTTGGTGGCGACAGGATTATATAAAAATTCTTTTATCGTCGCATATTATTAGCTTTTTTTCGGTCCCGGAAACCCCCATACAAAATATATCCTAGGTTTATAAAAGTGTCTCTTTTTACCTGTTTAACTACTCCGTACATTATCTCTTCTTATCTCTTCCTATCTGATTTTTCTCGTGTTCTCCTCCTATTCTCTTTTTCTCTTGTTCTCTGGTGATTTAAATCTCCGCCCCGCCTGCCGCCGCCGCCGCCCGTGCTGAACCCAACCCCCCCCCCCGCCCTCGGCCACATATCACAGACATACTTATTTATACGTATATATATATATATATATATATATATATATATATATATATCACATATATTTATTTATTTGTATAATATCTCTCGTTTTGCCTCTTCCTCTTCCTCTTCCGCTGGCATCTGGCATCGGCCATCTATCTCTTCTCCGTCCTACCCCTCGCCACCTTAACTAGTCCTACTCTTGACACATCTCCTAGGATTGTCAGATATGCTTGCGCCCCTCCCCTCACTCGAGGACTACGGCATCTCCCCCGTCACAGGCTTCCTCCCAGAAGAAACCCCGCTGCAGAGGCTACCAGACCCTTACTATGCAAAATGGGAGTCCATTGTCACCAATCTCCAGGCCTTGCTGCTCAGCCATCGGTTGCGGCCTACCATTGATAACATGCCAATTCTCTCGACCGCGAAACTGAAATCTGAACCGGAATGGCGGAGAGCGTATGTTTTGTTGGCGTTCATGCTGCATGCCTATATCTGGGGTGGTGATTCTCCGGCTGAGGTACGTATTAAAAAAAAAAAAAAAAAATATCCGCGGCGCCTTTTACCACACTTGTATATATATTTTTCCAGAGAAAGGGAATTGGGGTTGGTTTCACAGCATACACATTGGCGAACATCAAAAAACTAACTAATAATGACGCATCTATCTTCCAGATAATCCCCCAATCCATCTCAATCCCCCTCCTCAAAATCTCCGCACACCACGAACTTCCCCCCGTGGCCACATACTCCAGCCTATGCCTCTGGAACTACAAGCCCATTTTCCCCGAAGAACCGGCCGACAACATCGAAAACATTACTTCGCTCTTCACCTTCACTGGCTCCCTCGACGAACAATGGTTCTATCTAGTCTCCATCGCCATGGAATCCCACGGCGCCTCCACCATCCCCCTAATGCTCAACGCCATCGCCGCTGCCCGCCAAAATAACACACAGCTAGTCATTGAATGCCTACGGACATTCGCCCAACGTATCGACGAGATCTCAGACATCCTGCAGCGCATGTACGAGAACTGCGACCCCCACGTCTTCTACCACCGCATCCGCCCCTTCCTGGCCGGCAGTCGAAACATGAGCGACGCAGGCCTCCCGGACGGCATCATCTACGATGACGGCACCGGCTCCCAAACCCGCCACTACTACAGCGGCGGCTCCAACGCCCAAAGCTCCCTAATCCAATTCTTCGACATAGTCCTCAACATCGAGCACCGCCCTACGGGCGAAATGCGGAACAAGAACCCCGATCGGGAGGAGCTCGGCTCCTCCCCCCCAGGGTTGGACGAAGGCAGCAGCCAGGCCCCGCCCAACAAGCGCCACAACTTCATCATGGAGATGCGCTCGTACATGCCGGGCCCGCACAGACGCTTCCTCGAACACGTCGCCAGCGTCGCTAATATCCGCGACTACGTCCTGAAACACAGCGCCGACAGCGCCCTCTGCGCCGCCTACGATTCCTGCCTGGCCGTCCTCCGCGCTATGCGCGACAAACACATCCAGATGGTCTCGCGGTACATCATCATCAAAGCGCGCGAGGCGCGCGTACACCACGACAGATCTGCCAGTAGTCCGCGTGCGGCCCCTGGCGGCGCCGGAAAGGCCCGCGCGGTCAACTTGGCCCGTCCCGTGGCTGCGACTGGGGATGGCGTGGTTGTTGCGCCGGCCTCGGGGAGTGGAGGCGGAAGCAAGAGCCTGCGGGGAACAGGCGGGACTGCGCTGATTCCGTTCCTGAAGCAGGCGCGCGATGAAACAGGGGAGCCGGCTGTGGGGTTGCTGGTGAAGGAGTTGGCGAAGCACGGGCCTGCAAGGGCGACTAGGAGGTAACCCAAAATGAACCAGATGGGCTTTTGCAGCATATAAATAAATAGAACTAAAGTCTGTTGAGACTTGCGGGGTCAAGAGCAACAGACGAGAATGAGGATGAAAGCTGATGTTGGGGTCATCGGCACCGTGCGTCACTGCTGGTGGGTGACATTGGATTGGATTGGATTTTTGATGGTTGTAAATGATGAGCACTTTGTTTTTGTTTTGGATGTTCTTCTTTTCCCCTTTCCCCCCCCCCCCTTTTTTTTTTTCTGATATAGACGTTACATTTGTCTCATGTCCATGTACGCTGCATCATCCGCCTCCCTCACTTTTTGTATAATGCTTGGATACGTGTCATTATGGATGGTTTGTATATATTACCCGTCCTCTCTCCTCCATCCTAGTTTTTGGTTGGATTGGTAGGTCTGGTGTCTTTTGATATGTCTCGCTACTTACTTGTCGATAGCTCCGGACAGATGTGGCTCATCCCCCTACCCAGGTGTATTTTTCTCTTCTTTTTTTTTATAAAAAAGTTCTTGTTGGGCTTTCACATCTTTACGTCTCAGGTGAAAGCTACTACTTACCACCAATGAATGAATACAGAAACGAATCATGATTTGGCCTATCATGATTTTCTACATCATCACCACACAGAATATGCCTGTCCCGTCTTTTTGATTCTAAGATTTAAGTGGGCAATGGAAGAGAGCAGTTTGCCAACACTCCCAATAGATCTTTATTTACAATAAAGAATAAGGGTAGCGAATTCGAAGGGGGCTTGGGTATATGTACATGGGTAGGGAGCGAATTCTCTTCCTATGACAAGCTGTTTTTATTTTTATTACCCTCCGTCCCCTCCTATTTATCCGCGGCCCCGTTAGAGACGGCATTCCGCAGGGGAAGGGAAGAGAGAACGCCAACCTTCTCATCATCTCATATAGGAGGAGTCTGATTTCACAGCATATACTGCACCACTTCAGGCCTGGAGGAGTGCCCCGCACCATCGATCCAGACCTTACTTAATATTCGCTCGCTACCTGCGCGAGATCAATCTCAGCCTCCAGCAGCTGCTCCCGCTCCCCCGTCACCGGCCCAGCAAGATACCACCCCCCGCCAGCCGTCACCATATCCGTCTCCCCCAGATTCTCCCGCAGCCACCTTACGACAGCTCTCATCAACACATAATCCGCCGCCGAGATCATAAACACCTGCGCCGCCAGCGCATGCTTCTTCATCAGCGCGCCTATCTGCGCCAAATCCGCCACCGCCTCAAGGCCCGCAATGGTAGAGAGCGCCGGCCACGCGCCGGCAGGCATGCACATGCTGCTGCTGCTTCTCCGCAATCAGCGCCTCGCCGCGCCCCGTTCATGGTATGCCCCCAGCAACACAGGCCGCCCAGGCCATACCCCATACCGGGCCTCGGTCTCGTAGCAGCGCAGCGTCGAGAGCCGTCGCGCCCTGCGCCCAGACACAGCGCTCCGCGCAGGTGGGCGGGTTGGGGTTTGCGGTACACGCCGAGGATGGGGTGCCGTTGCTGTCAATGTTGACTTGGGCATTGAAGAGGGCGTAGCCGCCCGATGCGCGCTCTGAGATGGCCAGGCTGATTGTTATGCATACCGATAAACATCGCCGCAAATATAACAATCTATTTTGGCCAGATGCGCAAGTTCCCCAATGGCTTTTGAGGTCTTACAGTCGAGTAAGGCGGCTGGACCCTTGGAGTTAGTTGTTCGTGGGTTCGTTCCCGCCTGGAAAGTGAGAATTCATCATATTTGAAGGTTAAACTAAGCTGGCATCAGGACGAAGGACATGTATGTGCTTGGTAGAGAATGCCGATGATAGAGTCTAGTTAAGTATTTTATTCCTGCTTTTATAACCTACCATCTAGGTCTTGATGTTTGGCATGTGTTAAATACATGAATGTTTGCAATAACTATTCCAAAGGCTTTTCTTCGAATCTGTTCCGACCACGCACCTTTCTTTTTATAGCGGCGGCGTATTCACATGACGGGGAAACCATAACGTTCAACGTATATCATTCTGTCAAATTTGGAAAGAATTCATCTACAACAACTTAAAACTACTGATAACCCCAGCTGGATATCATGACATGGCCCAGGTCGGAAAAAAAAAAAGCCATGAGAAAAAGAAACAAGAAAACAAGATCCCTACTAAATCCACCGTATTTCACCAAAAAAAAGAAAAACCCGAAAACACCTCTACTTCTACCCCGTCTGCTCCCCCTTATCCGCCCACCGATTCTCCATCTCCCGCTCCGTTTCCTTCTGCTGCGACTTCCCCTCCGCATGCATCTGCTTAAACTTCCTCCTCTCAGCCTCAGCCTGCGCTCTCTCCTGGTCACTGCCGCCGAACCCAGGACCGGAGAGGAACTCGCCGACTTTGCCCGTTACACGGTCTCCGGCGCCTTCTCCCCATTTTGCCGCCTGTCTGCGTGCCTCCTGCTCCTCGCCCTCTTTGTTCTGGCGCTCGCCGGCTTTGCGGAGGTTTTCGTTGCCGAGTGCGGCGCCGACGGATTGTTTGGCGGAGCCGACGGTTTGGTTATATTGGCCGCTTGGTTGGGATTGGGTCTGGGTGGGTGGGCGTGAGATGTTAGATATATTCTGTAGACAAATGGGGTGAAGGTTCTTACTTCGTTCTTGGTCTCTTTGTCATCGGTGGGGTTGCTTCCTGTTACTTTGTTCACGGCATTCTTGACAACGTTCGACGCCTGTCCTAGGTAGGTGGAATTGGTTTCCTGGGGCTGGGGATTATTGGTGTTGGAAGACATGGTGTTGGGTAGTAAATGTATATATATATGTTGACGATATATGTAAGTTGTTTTCGGATCTCGGAACTGATAGAAGATGTGAATGACTGTCCTGATGTTGTTGGTTAAGAAAATACTCTAGACTTTAAGAGACATCAGGCAGATTTATATACCCAATCTATCCCAGCTACGTAACCCCATCTATCCAAAAAAACCAAGTTCTAATGGGAGTAAATACCCCTATGATATCATCCGATAAAAACATGGCCGCAATTACGCTTCGGTGATGTCATCGGGCGTTCCATTGGCGCCAAGCGCGACCCTGCCCCTGACACCCGCGCGGCAAAAAATTCCCAGGTACACCCGCGCGCTGCAGCACTGGTCGGCCGTTTTTTCAACTGTTGATGCGTTGCGACGTTAGAGGAGTTTTTCTGAATATCTGCAAACCAATCGCAGGTCGTTGCAAGGCTCATCCATTAATTAACACCGAGGGGAGCGCCATTGGTATGTTTTGACGGGCCAAGAAACAACTGGAGATGAGAATCGGAAATAGTCGCTGGTTACTCCAGGCCCATTGCAACTTGTTCTTTTGACAGTATGTTCTATTATTAATTACCCAAAGGTCTATTCCGACAAAAAAAGTCCCCAAAAAATCTGGAGTCTATATATATATATATATATATACAGGGAAAGGAAAAACGTAGAAACACAGACAAGATGATTAAAATTTCCCGATCAATAGCTGCACACCCATTCCCCTGGCGGTCCAGTATACAGTCTTCCAGAGATTCACAACGTCCAACGTGCTCGTGAACGTGTCGACAAAGCCGAACGGAAGCATAGATGGAATCCAGCCTGTTCAAGCAAGGCAGCCAAAAAAAGTTAGCATACTTGTATATATACCAAACATGAAAATCGAAGCAAAATTTGAGTGACGATGGAACCACAGCGGAAGAAATGTGGAGTGGAAAAAAAAAAAAAAAAGCAAAAGGGGGAGAGACGGAAATCCTCACCTTGCGCCAACTCCAACGCCCACCCATGCAATTGATACTGCGATCCAGTCCCGCGCTTCAACCAGTTCTGGTCACCGGGATAATATTCCGTCGCCTCAAGCTCTCCGGGCAAAAACCTCCGCTCCACGCCTTGCAGTATGGTAAAGTAATCTTCTGCGAGGTGAACGCCCGAGTGGCCCTCAGAGCCCAGCGGCGTGCCGTAGAAGATGAGATATTCGGTAATCGACGCGTGCAGTATGAGCATTGCGCCCATTGCGTTGCCGTGGTTGCTGGAGTGGAGAGAAGAAGGTTAGAAGAAGTTCGCACGCGCGCGTCGCGGAAAAAAGAAAAGAAAAACGAAAGATTTTCTCTTTTCCTCATCGAATTCCTCTCCCCCTCTCCCGTCACTCAGGATATAGGGGGCGACTGTGCACGCCCCCGAAAAGCTCACCTGAAAACCCAACGGGCCGGATCCGTATCGAACGGCAACACATGCTTCTCCCCATACTCCTGACGCAGCGCCAGGTTGAGATCCGTCATTAACTCAGTAACATTGTTCGGGTGGCGTTCAATTGACGCCTTGGAAAGCTCCTGGAGCCTCTGCGGGTCGAAGATGTAGAATCGCGGGAGGGCCTGGTCGAGCTTGTAGAGCCCGACGAGGAGGAGGGGGAGGAAGGCGAGGAAGCGCATCTTTTGGTATTTCCCAGATTGGATATGTATAGCTTGTCGCGACGCCCGTGACTGTTAATTATTAATTATTAAGGGATTGAAATACGGATTAGACGAAAAGGAGTAAATGCAAAAAATAAAAATAAAAAATAAAAAATAAAAAAAAATAAAATTCAAGGAATTTCCCTGAAAAACCTGCTTTCTAATCCGGGTCGGGGCGTCCGGGGTCGAACCACGCGTCAAGGCGCGAAAAAGGGGCTTTTTATTTATTTATTTATTTATTTCTGTCGCAACACCCAGCAGCTACTCTACTGTGTCCCGGACTACAAATCGAGATACACTATCATAAAACTTGCAAGGGGGCGATTCTACATGCGCGAAACAAAATACTTCCTCACCAAAATGTAAAGCTTTTTGAATGTAGAAGAAAGAAAAAAAATAACTGATATTTTAAACTTTCGGGTGGATCGGGAGATCCAAGAGATCTATCTAGATATTGGGGTACAGCAGTATGAACGCGAGCTGGCTTCCATGTCTCATTTTTTCGTGTTCATATTAGCAGCCATTTGAACAGGTGTGTGTTGTGAATCGTAGTCGCGCCGTATCGTACATAGATGTAGAATGCTCCCTGATCTGATTGATTGCTTAGACTAGAAACGTGCGTGTGAATCTCGCTAGATAGATCGATGGGTAGGTAGCTAGCTAGCTATGTACATGTAACATACACACATACATTCATCTAGGTATCTCGCTGACAACTCCAAAACTTCTATGTTCATGATAAAATAGATAAACCACCCCTCGATCCTAACTAATTCACACGCGCGATGGGGGATACTTGCCCACTACTCTCCATCCTCGATAACCAACCCCATCCCCAACCCCGCCTTCCTCGCTAGCGCTCTCTTCAAAAACGCCTCCCGCGCCAGTCCCCTCGTCAGCCGCGCCCACGTCTCAACACTCACTCGCCCCTTCACCAACCCATCCTGCAGCGCATATATGGCACGCTGGATGCCCCGCTCATCAGCGATGAGGTCATATAGCTGCTTCCCAACAACAGTAGGCGCAACGAGGACGTCGTCAATGGGAGGAAGGCCGGTAGCCTCTTGACGCTCCGCTACTGTTGCTGTTGCCGTTGCCGCTGCTGTACTAGCTGCCGACGGCTCGGTAGATGAGACATTTGCATCTGTCGGGGGGTTGGTAGATAAGCGCGATTTCGCATCTGCAATGACGCCGTCGGCACGTTGTAGGGATTGTTGAAGGATGGATGTGTTGGATTGGAGGGTCGAGTGGAAGGAGTTTAGGGCGGATATTTCAGATTGAAGAGTGGTAATGGCGGCTTGGAGGGCTTGGGATTGTGTATGTAGTGGTTGAAGACGGGAGGTTGTCTGGGAGATGGTTGATTGGAGGGTTTGGGTAAGGGTTTGGGAAAGGGTGCGGAGAAGGGCGTCCTTTTCTGGATTTGGCGGGATAGGCGGTGCAGCTGGTGGTGTAGATAAGGGGGGAAGCTCGAGTTCGAATAGTGAGTTGAGGGGGTCGCGTGCTTCGGCCTTCTTCGCGGCTGAGGATGGTGGCTGCGGCGGGTGAGCGTGATGCGGCATTGGAGAAGGTCCATATGATGGTGCGGGAATGGGACGGGGTAGAGGCTGGCCCTGCGCAGCGGTCTGAGTTTGGGGCTGCATATATGGACCTTGGGGGGGAAGTGGTTGCTGCTGGTGTTGGTAGGAGAATGCCTGGGGGATATGTGGTGGGGCTGTCATATTCTGTCCAGGAACCGGGCTGACAGGCCCGACGGGTGTTGGTCGGTATCCGGCTTGTTGGTAGCCTTGTTTCGGCGGTAACGGTGGGGTTTGGGGTTTCATCTGCGCTTGCGATATGGGCTGTCTCAAACTACTAGATCGCTGCGGAGCATGATAGATTCCATTATTGTTTGACATTTGGTCATGATTCAGTTGTTGCGACGAAGATCTTTGATGACGAATATCACAGGGGAGCGGGGGTAGGGGCGGTGGTTGGTTGTATTTTTGCGCGGATTGGTCCCGATGCCTTTCTGGCTCCACCACTTGGCCTGGTTTCGGAGGTAACTGGGGAGGAGCCTGACTCTGTTGTACGGGTGGGGGGGATGGGCTTACAGCCTTAGCAAGCTCTCGTGGTAAGGGAGGAACGGCAGGGGGCGTGGCTTTTTGGTGCGGGGGGATAGGTCGTATATTCTGGTGCTGCTTTGATATCACGGGAGGCTCCTTCGCAAAGATGTCCCTGAGGATATACAAGAAATCAACGATCGTTGACCGCTAGTTTAAATTTGAAGTCAGTACAGGCCTTTCCCCGGTATCATATAGATACTGATACCATGCTTCACCATAAAAACCCTCTCTTGACGAAACTAAAGCCATTCGCCAGTATTAGAAAAGCACGCCACTCACATCCCATGCCTCCGACCAGTGTGCCAGATAATGGTGATACACCCTTCCCTCCCCACTAACATGTTGACCGGGGCGAACTAGCATATCCGGCGTCGGGGTGACATACACCATCGGCGGTTCACGCGGGTACGCCTTGGGCACCCAGATGGTTATCGGAAATCGATACACAGCTCCGCGAAATGTGACGGGTAGCGTTCCTGCCACGTGTAGGAGCAAAGCGGGTACGCCATTCTCATATGCTATTCATACAACAGAAACTTCGTTAGCTTTAAGCCGTAAAATATGGGAAAACTGCGAGCTAGTTTCGCGCGGCGAGGATGTAGGAGGGCTAGGGAGGAGAGGGATGGATAAAGCTAACTATAGACATCCGTTCGGGGAGCGAAGCCAGGGTATTGAGCCAGTAGATTTACTACGTCGTTGTATATTCTGTTTGGGTCTCGATATGTTTGATTAGGGCCGTACTCGGGCTGTTGAGAACGCGGAGAGGCGGGGCTTAGTGGTTAGCCAGCAATCAAATTTCTGGTGGTTTTGCTGCAGGAGGAGCCATGAATCACACAAACTTACGTTCGTTAGTACTCGATATAGCCAAGTTAATGTCTTCTGTGGCACTGTTGCCATGATTGTGGTGCAGGAGAAAGCCCAACAGACATGGCGCACCTCTTTTAGTGGAGATGGTTAGGGTTGGTGGTGGTGAGCGGCGGGGATGAACGATGAAGATGATGAAGATGATGATGATCAAAGCGCCGAGAGTTTTTGCTGCCGGGCTTAGCGCAAGAACTAACAAACAACCTTGATTAAATAATAAAGGGAAACTTGGAACAATGCTGGATGCACGGTGAATACTTTTGATATTGTTCTCAACTATCAAGATTTTATTTTTGTTGCAGACTAGTAGGCTGTAGACAGTTGAAGAATGCATACTACTCGTGGCTAGATAAATGGAAAAAAGACACACAGTAATAACTCCATAAATGCACAATACCTAAAGAGGGGGATATCAAACAACAACGGCGAGGAGTAATTTATCCTCCAATCAGAAGCACGCAATAATAAGTAGAAAAAGGAGAGTTTGGACAAAGCATGGATACTACTAAATGATGAGCCACTGAGAACAAAACCTTGCTTTCCCTCGATATAGCAATCAGCTATGAAAAAGCACAATAGTCAAGCGAACCCATGTACATACATACATTACGTGTGTGCGCGGATAAAATATAAACAAAGTGAGAGAATGGATGTATTCCGATATACAGGAGCCGCTCCATTCAAGCTTTAACGCTAACATCAAGATCGGTATATAAGCGGTCAAGTTGGTCGGGTGAGAGAGTCGTGGCAACAGAGCCTCCGGATCGAAGTGTCGCCTGGTTCTGAGAAAAGCTGCCGGGGTGCCTGGTCGCGGAGCTGGTGCTATTGCTACGTTCGCTTGACCAGAGGTACTGATGCGGGCCGGAATTTAGAGTTTCGAAACTGCTTTTCGTCGCTGCTGCAGCCCACAGCGATGAAAGGGGGAGGAAAACGGCCACGAGCGTGAGAAGGTTGGAGTTCATTTCGTAGCCTGGAAACGGATATTGGATGATTGAGAAAATGGCTACACCCAGAACAAAAATAAAACGCGTTTAGTATCCATTGGGCATTCTGCGTGAATAGGCGGGGAAAGATCATTTACCTGGAATCACCATCGTTTGACAGGACATGATGAACATCACCTGCATCGCTCCGAATCTTGTCATGCCCAGTCGCCTGCGAGTAACGAGGGCATACCCCAATTTGGCGACAAAGATAGCGCTGAAGAAACATGTGCTCATGGTAATGGTGATGTTCGAGGCACTCTGGAGCCAGATAAAAGGGGCAAAATTCGAGGCATTCATAATGGCAATGCAATTCTCAACCATCAAGCCCATTCGGAATCCAATAGCCAGCAGTGCGATAACGAGAGACACACCCAGGAGCAGGTATCGTTGAATTTCCGGAAGGGTCGCGCACACGACTTGAGTTTGGATGACCAGGGACGTTTCCATGCAAATCACCAGAATAGTAGTGAAGACGATTCCCAAGATGGAATCCGCGTAGGCACTGCCAGGGACTCGAGAATAATCCCCGCTGAAGAAGGCATAGGGGTTGTTGAATCCCGTAGTGAAGTAGATGGTCATGCAGAGCAGGCGGGCGAAGTTCATAATCAGTGCAGATATGTTGAGGGAGAAGACAGGCAACCGACGTTTCTCCGACTGTGTCAGGAGAGCCAACATGATGATCGCAATGACAGACGCCCCGAGCTGAGAGGCGTAGTTGATGCAGACTCTAGTTCCGTACTGCACGAAATCATCCAGGTCATGGATCGATACGTTGAAAGGGGTCATGTCGGCCTGGTGGAAGACCACGTTCTGGTCGAACGGATCGAATGAAGACGCCATTACCGAGATACGCTGATATCACTCTTGAGCAACGCGTAGGAGTTAACGGATGGGGAATGAATCTATGAAGCCGAGAACCGAGGGAGCTGATGATCTGATCAACTTATCAACTTAATAGGAGGGAGACAAGCGAGAGAGATGATAGAGAGACACGAACGAGAACAGGGTTGAGTATGAGATATGACATGAACAAATAAGAAAGAGAAGTTGCTGCTACTCGGTAGAGATATTTATATACAATCAGGCATGCTCTCCATCACCACAAGGAGTGAAAGGCAGCCACAACAATGCTAGAGACAGAGGCAGCAGGGCATTGAGCACGTCGGGCATAATATAGCCGGCAACAAACAACCGACGAGGACTATTGTGCCTAGGCCTTGTGTGTATATCTACACGAGGCATTGAGATGGAGAGAACAATCTGCATGAGTGAAGGGAGAGACAGCAGAGAAGGTTCTTCAGGAGGAGTAATACAAACAGGGAGAATACACCACCCGGCCCGGTGGCTTTGAACACAAGTTAAAAAATAAAAATAATAAAAATAAAAATAGCGTTTCGGCAAGGGTGTTAATATACCTGGAGGCTCCACCCTGAAGCCGTTGGAGATGGATCAATCAATCGCCAAATAAGAGACCAGAAGAAGAATCGTGGGATGTAGGGCGGATGTGAAGCTCGCAGGACAATATCAACGCTATCAATGATTGCGGGCGAAGAACAATAGGATGGACGGGACGGGAAGTATGAAGAAGTGACTGCACGGAATCTATCACTCCAATCCAGCTCAGACATACAAACGGCGGAATGAGAGCAACTCTAATTTGTCTCGGCCAGACAGATTGGAAAGAAGATATAAAGCATTTTAAATCTCGAGATTAAAAGTAGTACATAAATATAAGATATAAGGGAGGGAGATTAAGGGAAGAAGCAATGCAACGGCCTGTCCCCCCCCAAGATCCGCTTGGGCTCTGGTGAACAGTTCAGAGAAACATTTTGACAGACCGAGATTTGCGGATACAACTTGGCTGGCTCCAGCAGCAACTGTGCGATCCTAGGGAATTGCATCGTAGGCACAGCATGAGCATGTCCAAGAGGATCGTGAGAAAGCAAAGCATATCATCGTCAATCGCTCATGCTCATGTCCTGAACACACACACACACACACACACACACATATCTCTGCATACACACCGCAACTCGGACCCTGAGCAATGTGACCACAGTTTGATATGCGACTGACAGATTGCATATAGCATATAGCCCTTGTCCGAGTAGAAGTGATGGAAGCAGAAAGCAGAGCACTGTCTTTTACCATGGTCAGCAGCCTTATTATGCTTGTCATCTCAAGGCATTATGATGCAGTATTGGATACGACCCCGGCCAAGCCAGTCAAGGCTACTGTGTCCATTTGCATTGCAAAAAGAAAGAAGGTGTATAGAGCTGTGGTTCATGGTTCATTCTCATTCATTTCTTTGTTCTTCTCATATTTCCAGAATGTAGAAGAATGCAACTGTGTGTGTGTGTGTGTGTGTGTGTGTGGGCTGTTGGGATGTCTTGGGGGTATCACAGCATCAATTCAATAGGGTTAATCAAGCTGTTATACCCAGGTAAATATGGAATGCAGAACAAGGAGGAGAGGATCTTTTCTCAGCCTGACTGGGAGAAGCATTTATCGGGCTGAACACTGAGGATACACTGCAGCAACTAAATATGCAATGCGGTATGACTGCATTGTTGTAGAAGGAGAATCGAGAGCAAGGAGGAGGAGAGAGAAGAAGAGAAAGAAGACGATCCCTTGAAACAATTAGTTAACTATTATAATGAGCTAACTTTAACTAAATATTTAAAATATTTAACCACCGGAATAAAGCATTGATTGATTACCCAAAGAAGAAAATAAACACTTGAATCAAACAACATCCGCAACACTCCCACATCCATCCCCGCATTCCACACCCTCCTCCACACCAAAACACACTTCTTACATCCCCGTACTATCAATACCCTCGTTACATCCTCCTCCCTCCCACCGCATCGTACACACCGCCCGCCGCAATGTCGTCCAGCACGACAGCCACTACCACCAGCACCGCCAACACCAACACCTATACCCCTCCCCCTCTCCCCGCTCCCTTCACAAATTCCCCCGCCACCCTCCTCGCCCAGGGCGCCGAAGGCCGCCTCTACAGAACCAATTTCCTCACCCCCTCCACTCCCGCCGCTCTCAAAATCCGCCCCGCTAAACCATACCGACACCCCATCCTCGACCGCAGATTGACCCGCCAGCGCATCCTGCAAGAGGCGCGATGTCTGGTAAAGTTGGCGCGCGAGGAGGTTCCTGTCCCCGGCTTGCTGGCGCTAGATGTTGGTGTGGGTGATATTGGTGCTTCTGCTTCTGAGGGGGGAAGCATTACGAATGTCAAAGATAGTGATCAGAATGATAATAAAGCTGGCTGGTTCGCATGGTTATTGATGGAGTGGGTGGAGGGCATTGTTGTCAGACAGGCGGTTGACCAGTGGGAGAAATGGTTGAAATCGCAAGAGGGGAAGGTTGCTGGTGGTGCTGGTGGTGCTGGTGGTGCTGGTGGTGCTGATGCTAAAAGTGCGGATCTCATCGAACAGAGCAAAGAGGATATCTGCGCGCTGCTGCGGAGGATCGGGCTTGTCGTTGGTGCCATGCATAAGGCCGGTATTGTCCATGGGGATTTAACTACGAGCAACCTCATGCTTAGACCCATTGCGTCTGTCGATGCGCTGGCAGGAGAGGACGACGACGCTGCCACCGCCGCCTCCGTTCCTTTGAGTACATCTATCAGGCAAGACGCGGAGTTACAGACTATTACTACTCTGGATAACAAACCGTCGCTGGAAGGGGAGATTGTGCTTATTGATTTTGGCCTGGCGGGACAGAGTGTTCAGGATGAGGATCGGGCTGTCGATCTATATGTGCTGGAACGAGCGTTTGGGAGCTCGCATCCGAGAACCGAGCCGTTCTTCCACGAGGTGCTTAAGGGATATGCTGAGAGCTATAAAGCGGCGAATGTGGTGCTGAAGAAACTGGAACAGGTCAGGTTGCGCGGGCGGAAGAGGAGCATGGTCGGGTAAATAAAAGAAAGATCAGGGTAGGGCAGATTTCTTCTAGGCGGCAACGCGCATCACGACATCATATTCATTACTTCGTTTTATTTTTTTAATTTATTTTTTAACTTGTTTTCCCAGAAGAAGAGCAGCCCGAAGAGGGGAATAATAATTTAAAAAAGGAAAAAAGATAACTCAAAACCAAAATGTCCCTAAGTTACATGTTTCGCCATGCTGAACGAACCACCGCGGAGACTTGCATGAGGCGGTTGGGAGTTATTTATTTACACAAGAGAAAGAAAAGGAAGGACAGAAGAGACAACAACGCTCAGCGCTTGGAAACCAAACACTCTTCCCACTACACAATATTTAATACAATTTACTCACTCACCCTCGCGAATACATTCTCCTACCTCCGCTAGCGCAAAATAGCCCTTATTTTCAATCACGCCGCGATCCTTCACCACAGCGGTATACTTCACAACCCACTGCGGCACAATATCGCCCTCCAACCCACCATCATCCGCCGTTGCGCTGGCCGCCAGGATCCCCGCCCCCGTCTCCCCGCGCGCAAGGAGGTCTCGCGTCGTACCCGGCGGGAGGATGTCAGTGCAATCATTATGCGTCAGCAGCTTAATATTTTCCTTCTTCGCAAACACAATCAATGGTTTCGGCACGACGCAGCAATCCTTGACGTTAATCTGGTCGACCGCGGGCCGAACCTTGGTGTGCGGGAGGAACTTCGCTAGCCGCTCGCTGTCAAACTCTGAGAGGCCCAGCTGGGATATCATGCCTTCTTCCTTGAGGCATTCGAGGACCCGCCATGTTTGGATTATGCCGTCCATTTCTGGTCCGGTGCTTGGTCGCGCCGCCTCGTTGTTGCCGTTGGCATCGCCATCTGATATTTCCTCTTCGCTCGAGTCGTCTGCATCGAACGATATGCCGGGGAACGAGACGATAAGCAGGTCTATGGAGTTGACGTGTAGTGTCTTCAGGACGAGGTCAATTGCTTCCCGGGTATGCGCGCAGCGGCGCGAGGTTGGGATCCCCGGCAGGTAGAAGAGCTTGACGGTGATGTCATACTGGTCGCGGTCTTCGGTCAGGCCTGGTTCTGAGAAATCGATCGCGGGCACGTAGAGGGTATCTCCTTGTTTAGAGGTCCAGGTGGTATAATCGCTGTATGAGAGTTTCTGTGGAACGTCGTGGATGTCGTGCGAGGGGCCGTTGGAGTGTGAGGGTTCGATATGTTGGGCTGCGACGAAGTTGGAGCGGAGGGCGTCCAATAATTCGACGTTTGATTTATCGCTGGTCAGTCTTGGGATGACAGATGGGCCGCCACTCATAATATTCCTATAGAGAGATAAGAGGCCAATGTTAGATTTTCTATTTTAATTTATTCTCTTTTCTGAGAGTGTTTGAATGGCTGGCATGGAAGCGGGGTTGCGCGCTTACGATGTTGAGAGTATGAGCTTCATGGTTGCGCCTCGAATTCTCTAAGACTATGGGACGGCCAAATATACGGGAATACTAATGACGGGCAGCAGTCAATGAAGGAAATTGATATATTATCAGGTTCTGTAATTAATTTGATAGAAATGGCCTATATATTTGCAGACGATAAGTTATTTATAGGATGTTGCGCCTGTCCTCGACCGGAGAATGTTCCTATTATTAATAATGGAAGGGCTGCAAGCTTTTTTTTTTCGGCGGGGCAATATTTAGTTAAATAGCACGCGGCGTAACTAGTTAACTAAGATAGGGCAGAAAAAAATAAAAGAAAACATCGCATCCCCACCAACCACCAACCACCAACCACCAACCACCACCACCACCACCACGACGACGCGCCAGGCATTCTCCGCCGTCGAGAGGATGGCAATCAAGTGAGTTGCCCAGAATACGCTTCTTCTTTTGATCCTCAGAAACAGAGTGAACTGATGGATATCCCCTCCCTTTCTCCAGCTACCTAATACTGCTCTCGAGACAGGGCAAAGTGGTGAGTCCCCGTTCCCGTCGTCCACAGTCCACAGTCCCTTTCTCGTCGCCCACCACAGTCCTCACACCCACACACACCCACACACACATATATCATCATTCCATTATTACCACTTCAAAACAAAAGCTGACCACTGCAATTATTTCCTCCTTTTCTCCATTTTACATAAGAGACTGGCGAAATGGTTCACTACCCTGTCTCCTAAGGACAAGGCCAAAATCATCAAAGATGTCACACAGCTAGTTCTCTCACGCCGCACCCGCATGTGCAACTTCCTCGAATATAAAGGTGCGGGACAATAAATAATTAACTCCTATATCACTTCGCTACAGCCAGCCAGCCAACCAGCCAACCAGCCAGCCTCTCTGAAAAGAAAGGGAAAAAAAAGCCAAAAGATGAACTGCCCGTTTTAATTAACACCCTTGAATCTTTCTTATAACAGACACCAAAGTCGTCTACCGCCGCTATGCATCCCTCTTCTTCATCGCCGGCTGCTCGTCCGACGACAATGAGCTAATCACTCTCGAAATCGTCCATCGCTACGTCGAACAGATGGACAAGTATTATGGCAACGTCTGCGAGCTGGATATCATTTTCAATTTCCAAAAGGCTTATTTCATCCTGGACGAGTTGCTGTTGGCTGGGGAGATGCAGGAGAGTAGCAAGAAGAATGTGCTGAGGTGTATTTCGCAACAGGATAGCTTGGAAGATATGGAGGTGAGTGAAGCGGCGGGCGTCCCTATTCCTTTCCCGCCATGAATAATGTGAACATTCTGTTACATGCATTGCATCCTTTTACGCGGGAAGGAGGCCCGGCAGTATTGTCTGGTTTTTGTTTCCCTTGTTTTTTCGGGCTATTATTTTCTTCTTTTTGGAGACTCCTTGATTATCTCACTCTTCTTCTCCATTGTGAATCTGGTGTCATGGTCGTCAAGTTTGCTCCATTTAGCCGTGCTAACGATTTCGTCTTCCCCCTTATCCGCAACCCAGGTCGAGCAGGATATTGTTACGAAAATTATGTAGCACGTTCATTTATACGCTCAACTTTCCATCGTCGTTGTTTTTAGCGAGTCCTCATATACGCGCCCTGGATCCTGTTTTGTTGTTTATATCCCCCCTGGTCATGTTTCACTGGAGTTCGGAATTGGTCTATTATTTGCTGGGATTTCTCACGTATATCTAATATATGCACAGAAGCACCTTTTTTTTTCTTTTTTTCAAACTATTATTCGTTCTCCAGACATTTGAATTGCTAATCACCTTTAATTGAACCTTACAGGAGTCTGAAGCTGAACTAGCTGGACTGAGAGCACTTGGGTTTTAGAGATTTCCAATTGCGGAATGATGTTCAATGTTGCATCATCATGTTCACCGGGGAGTTATGTCTATTCATCAGTTCAATGCGTCTGGTCTAACATGCAGGTATCTTCTGGGTGGAGTTATGGTGTTTCAGGCATTCTATTCGGCCGTGGCGTTCTCCACTTATGTGGTCGGGCTGCCGATGATGTCATCTAAATATCTCCATTTCATTCAACAGGGGTTGGGAAGGGGACTCCAATTGTGTACGAAGCTCTGTCTCCTTTCGGATATCGTTTCGTGGTCCTTTGTATAATAGAGGATGGAACTGGGCAGCTGTCAACTTTCCTAACTTCTAGGCACCACATCTGAGCTCGGCGCAGTTTCACTGACTGTCTGACTGTCTGCTTGTCTGCTTGTCTGCTTGTCCCTTGGTCTCCCCTCTTCTTCTGCCCCATTACTTCCCTGTCTCCCTCGCTTTCCCAGTGTAAACTCCTCCAAGACCTTGCTTTGCCTGCACCTGTGGCGGTTGATTGACGATTGGCGCCAATTGCCGTATGGGGAAATAGCGCCACCACCTCGGTTCTAGAGCAATCACGTGATCTATCCGGTTCGCAACATCGGTCGGCCTCAATCCAAAACAGCGACAATGACAGCAAGAATCCAGCGTCATTCGCATCCATCATATCAACATCTATCTCTAGTGAACCGCCATTATGGCTAACCGTTTCATATCTATTGCCCGCTAGACGTCCACCGTTTGGCTACGTCGGTCCCCTAAGAGTTGTCCTTGCACCCAGCCTGGAACGCGCTTATCGTTGCTTCGACTGGCTCACGCAGGCTAATCCACCTACGTCACCTCAGCTTCACACGTCAGCTTCCAGCGCAAAACGAGCCTGAATCATTCTCCCTCTGTTCTCAAGATATCTTGATCTGCTACTTTTTTCGATTATTGGAGACTGTTATCCCTAACAGCCCAGTTCCCTTGCACCCGGCCATCTCGGGCTCAAGACCATCAATCGTCTCCTGATCATCAGACCACCTTGCGACATCATCCACATCAAGACATCTACAACAATGAAGGTCCGAAGGAGCCACCCTCGGGATACCTGCCTCTAGATTGTTTTTGTTGCTGATGAGAATTAATTTCTGTATAGTTCCTCCCACTGAGTGAGTTTGAAGACGTGACAAGTTCCCTTAACTTTGACACCGAAGACTGCCACGTCGTTGGAGGATGCGATCTGTATACCACAAAAGCCGCTGGAGGGGATAAAAAGTTGTACAAGAATATTGAAAACTCGCTCGAGTCGCAATATGAGTCCCTCTTGCGCCTCTCGGCCTCTCTCTCTCCTCCCAATGCCTCGCATGCGGCGCAATCGCTGAACCTATCTCGTTCGAGTCCGTTTGGGCCGTTGAGTGAACATTCAAGTCGACGAACATTTGCGTACCTCATCGCGACACTCAATGCCAGCCACCCCGATTACGACTTCTCGCATCTCCTCCGTCCCTCCGACTTCCGCCGCGAAAGAAGCCTGAAACGCGTGATGAATACCATCGATACCACGTTGTTCAACCTTCGGCCGCGCCTAGAGAGGGACGTCACTCCCCCAACGCCTACCACATCCTCCGGTCCACATCCAACCGCAACAACGCACTCTTGGGGACCTCGCATGTGGAAAATATTGGATGATCAAATGTCATTGAAGGAGTGCGCCATATTCTGCTATGCGCCCGAGGAAGACCCATATGACGGTGAAGATGGCGCCATCTGGAGCCTGAACTACTTCTTTTTCAATAAAACTCGGAAACGCGTCTGTTATCTCTACCTTCGTGGAATCAGTATTCTCAGCCAGCCACAGGACGGGACAACGACGCCATTGTTGGCTGGAAAGCGATACGGCGACGACGGATTCTCAACGCCCGATTACGGTGCGCGGAAACGTGCCCGGTACTGGTTGGGTGATCGTGCATCGCTCAGAATAAGCGATTCGAGTAGTGATGAGGATGAATCACCCGCAGCATCCGCAAGGCCGAGCCGGCCGGTTGTTGACCAATATGATAATTATCTACTTAGCGATGAAGAAACACGCTCGATATCTCACAGCAAGAGCTCGGTTCGCGCGATGAGTGAAGAAATCGCGGATGCCATGGAGGTTTAAGTGAAGGTTGAAATATTCCCTTCCAGCTTGACAGCCCAACTCACGTCACGCGTATTATTTTGTTCAACAAATATGTGGCATGGTAGCTCTCTACTTGCCATTGATTGAGGCGGCGTGATGCTACTTGTCGAGGTTTCTATATCGTCCTAGACCTCAACATGGAGGGTGGGGGAAGACATCGCGAAACGGTTTCCACGTACTAGGATGTGGACATCTTTATGTCCATTTCTTTACTTTTGCTTTGACTTTTGTCTATGGTGCCATTTGATTTAAGCTGAGGAGTCCGAAGGCCTTTCGTTGGATCCGGCGTTCTATGGCTTCTTTGGCTTAGTCCCTTTTTTTCCGTGAATGATAACGATACCAGCCCTCACTTGCAGTTTTCTCTATAGTTCACGTCTCTACTCTCCTATTATATATTGTAATGTACATACTAATCTGGTTATGGAGGCTTGGGCGGGGGTCTGGCATGGGCGGTTCGCTGGATTTTTCCATTCTGGGGCTGGAGGCATATTGCATTCGTTGTTTGCTTGTTTTGATGCTTTTTACTTGTCGTATTTTTACTATTTTCTACTAATTCCTCTCATTCTTTTCCCTTACTTCTTCCAACTAACTTTCGAGGAAGTTTCTCCGGTGAATCGGCCAATTCACAAATGCTTGGAAGGTGCATTAGATTAAATGTCAAGTTTACTGCTCAATAATATGGAAATGTGTCCGGCATGGTCCTACACCCTTCAGATATCACGGCTGGATTTCTTTCGTACTCCTGAGCTGCCATTGTCACGTGGTGTTTCGACCGATGACGTAAGCGCAATCTGCGGGTCACATGTTTCAGTTCAAGACACAGCTTCGATATCAAAACACAGCGGAGGTAGTATATTACTGATTGCAATTCACTAGCGTTCTTGACAAAGATTCTCCATTTTTCCAACGTCTGCGAATACCAATGGCGGACGTAGAAGATAAGGCGAAAGCTGAGAAGCTTGCCGCTGCTAAGAAACGGGTACGTTGTTGTGTTTTGCTCCATTTGTAGTTACTAGCATACTGTGGCATTATCTCTCCTCCCTCCCCGTTTGTTGATGGATAGATCAATTCGTGCGCAATTTTTCACGGTGAAATTTGCAGATTTTGCGCGCGTTTTGTTACACAGTGTTTGGGTTTACAAAACATGTTCTAACTGTTTATTTATTTGGGATAGGTTGCGCAACTCCAAAAACAGCAAGCGAAGGCTAGGAAGAAAGGCGCCGGGACAGGGGAACAAAGTAAAAAGGGAGGAGCTGCGTCGCCGTCGACGACCGAGGCAGAAGTTCCCCCCTCCATCTCTTCTCCTCCGTCAGTCCAGGAAGAAGAACAGCAGCAGCAACAGCAACAACAACAAGAAGACTCTTCCCCCCAAGAACCCTCCATCTCGCCTCGCGCCGCAGAGTCTGAAGAATCCCCAGAGCCAGAACCAGAGCCCGTAAAAGAAACAACCACGAGCGAATCCCCTTCCACACGAACCGCACACGCCCGCAAGCAATCCCTATCCGTTCAATCGAAACTCCGCTCCTCCGACTTCCGCCGCTCCTCCGTCAGCCAACAGACGAGCGTTCAACCGGTTCCCCAATCTACTATTATCAAATCGCCCTCGTTACCACCGCTCAGCCCAGATGGTGACTCTGTACCAGAGGTGTTTAGGAAACAGGCGTTGCGGCTTGAGGAGTTGGAGAGGGAAAATAGGCGGCTTGAGCGGGAGTTAGAGGAGGCTGGGGCGCGGTGGAAGAAGTCAGAGGAGAAGCTGGAGGATCTGAGAGAGGCGAGAGTGGAGTTGGTTGAGGTGCAGGATCGATTGGGGAAGGCGGAGAAGAGGGCGGAGGAAGTGGAGAGGTTGGTGAGTCGTGCCTTTTTTCTATTTTACTACTGCCCAATGGTTTTGTTTTTACTTGTTTTTCGGGACTAACATGTTAATTGTCGCAGAAAGCGGAAATCACAGCGCTACAACGGCAGAATGCGCTGCTGCATAGCAAGTCGCATCGGACGAATAGTGGAGCTACAGGTGGAAATTCAGAGTCACCCCAGTCAGACTTGCGCGCCCAATTGGATTCTAAATCCGCGACGATTGAAGCTATGGAATTGGAAATATCGAACTTGCGCGCCCAGCTCAATTCACAATCTTCGACTTCGTCTGCTAGTCAGGAACAGATATCTGCTTTGGAAGAAAAGCTCGCCCGGAGCGAAGCATCACTCGAGGCAGCTCAACGCGAGCTCACAGACACTAAACACTCGTTGAACCGCGCAGCAGAGAAGGCTGTAAAGGAGGGGGTTGAGAAAACCTCGACAGAGACCCTCATTAAGAATCTACAACGACAACTTCAAGAAGCAGAATACGCGAAGACAGAAGCTGATAAGAAAATCGAGACCCTCGAGAAAAAGTTGCAAGCCCTCGGCAATTTACACAAGGAATCAGAAAACAGAAATAACATCCGTCTCCGCGAACGTGATAAGTTCGAAAAGGACGCAGCAACGCTCAAACGCAAGCTCGTGACGATTGAAAACGAGAACCTACGCCTTCGAGAGGAGCGCGATCGCATGCGGAAGCGCGAGGCCAGTAACACCGGAGACGATGAAGCTATCGACGAACTCGAGGATGAAGAGCGGCAGCGGCTCGAGAGACGCGTGCGCGAGCTTGAGGGTGAAAACTTCGACCTGCGTCGTGGTATTTGGAAAGAGAGGAAACGCGAGCTGTCCGAGGCTGGCCACCAGGGCGACTACGCGGGCGAGGATCGTCCCTTCGACCGCCCGTCGTCTACTGACGCCGGTGCTGCCGCGTTTGATGACATAGATCTCGTTGGCGGGGTACCTGGGAGCGGACCCGAGCACGCGCGCCGCAAAGGGTCGCAGCAGCCGCAGAAACATTCATCGTTCACTACCGTGCTCTCTAGCGGCCTTGCGGCTTTTAGGGGAGACTCGGGTAGTCCAGCGGCTGCAGCCTATGGACAACGTAGCAGGACTGGGTCGACTTGGAGTCATGGCACAGGATTCTCACGGAATCAGCTCTTGTCGGAGAAAATGGGCGACGGTGGTGGTGGTGGTGACGAGGACGATGGGCTATGGGATGACGGGGATATTGATCCGGTTGCGTACGCAGCAGCCCAGGCGGCTGAGGAGAAGAAGATGAGGGGCGAGCGGGTTAAGGAGATTCATGAGACGTTGAAGAATTGGAAGGGGTGGAGGTTGGATTTGGTGGAGTCGAGGTATGGAGCTCAGGGGGCTGGGGTGGGACTTGGGGAGATTTTTGAGGTTTGACATGCCCCTACAAGTTTCCGGTGTTTTGTTGGATGCTGGTTGGTATTGATCACTTAAGATGAGCTGTCATGTTATGTTTAACATCTATTATGCGTTATGTGTTATTACTGGGAATGGCGTGGTATGTTATTTGACTGGGAACGGGCTTCTCTATTAATGGCTCACTGTTTTTATTTATCGTTGCGGCATACTATATTTCTCTCTTGGTGTGTCATTTTCACTACAGCGAATTTTAAAGTCATCATCTTTGGAACTTGCATAGTTTTTCTAACCCTTTCAAATCTCCATTTTCCTTCCTGAAACCTATACTTTTTGAAAATTCTAGTCTCTTAATGCCAACAATCTATCAGCATTGAAGTTTTTTATAAGCTGGACTGTGCTCTCCCATACTATTTTAAACGAGATCGAGTCAGTTAGCTACCTCTGCAGAGTCATATTTGATCGCGAGAAAGGAAAGATAGTCTAACATAAATAAATACCCAGCGGCAAAGAGTAACGCTGTATATATGTTATCGACTGTGACGACGGTCATCTTAGCGTCCATAACGGAATACAACACTCATATGAAATAACGCCATACACCCAAGATTTCGGTAGTGAAAAGGAGGAACCGAACATATAAAAATATAGTAAACAAGCCCAGAGGAAGAACAGCCCATGCAAAAAGGTGCCAGAAGGCAAAGGAAATCGCAAATAATAGATGAATAGAGAACTGGCCAATCCAAAAGACGTACGAACTCCCCATTGAACTCCCCAACCCAGCCACTCACTCATCCTCATCGCCTGCAACCCTCCCATTCAACACCCCTTCCGACCAGCTCCGCCTCTTCTTCAGATTATCCATCGCCCACGTAAAAATCTGGAACAACCAGCCGCCCGCCACTACTACACCCGCCAATACATTCACAAGCCGCACCAGCAGCGCCAGCAGACTGCCCCTCTCCTCACTGACAACCAGCAAGATCGGCTCGATAGTGTATTTGAAGAAGATGCCCGGGACATCGTACTCCGCATCGGGTAGTTCGTGGGAGCGAGAGGTGACGGCGTATTGGTTGGTGAAGATGGTGTTTCCGCGCTGGGAGGGGGTTATCGTTGAAGGGTCTGGGAGGGCCTGGCTGTATGGGTCAACGACGCCGGCGCGCGTGTAGATGGTTGGCACGATAGACATGTAGTATTGGTATTTGTGGAAGTGGGCTGGGGTCGTGGAGATGGTTTTGTCGAGGGGGTTGAGGAGCGTGGAGTAGTGCGGGCCAAAGGAGAGTTCCGTTATCATGTGGGAGAAATTGAAGGCTAGGTTTTTTATATCTTTGTTAGTGGCTTAATCAAACAATAGATGTTCACGGGGACATAGGGACGGGCCTAGGCTGGCTGGTTAAGAAACGTACAATCATGACTCAAATGCTCCCCGAACTCAAAATACCCATGTCCTCTCGCCGTAATATGGAAATCACCCTGCACCTTATTCCCTACCAGACTACCATATATACGACATGAATCCGCATTTTCCCCGCGCTTCAGTTTCGGACCCTTGGGGAATTTGCGCTTGTAGCTCCTCTGCGCCTCGCCCAGCGCATGTCCCACATGCACATCCTCCTCCTGCTCCATCAGGCGCACGGCATCCTCCTCATTCAGCGTCTGATACTCGCGACTACCCCCACTCGACACGACATTTAGCTCCCGATTCCATGCCGCCCAGCTAGTCGGCTGCTTGTCGAGAAGATCTGAAGCGAGGATTCGATCGCCCACTGCGTCTTGCACGTTGACACGCAGTGCGTCGCACGGCATTGCGACGACGATATCTAGATTCATCTGCAGCTCGCGCGAGATGCCCTTCTCAACGCTGAAGTGGTGGTTCTCTACGCCCCTGTACCAGGTGCGGAGTTCGTTTATGGAGAGGAAGGCGCACAGAGCGAAGACAATGATGGTCCATTGGCCACCGCGTACAGTTGAAGAGGTGTATGTGGGCTTTGTTTTGGCTGCAGGTTGGTTGGATTTGAGGTCTTGTTAGTCTTTGGGAATTTGATCGTGGTGCTGGAGATAGAGACTTGGATAGCAAAGGGTGTAGCGAAAAATATCAGTATGCAATTGAGGGGCGACGAAACTTACGAAACGCATCGAAAGTCCTCAGACCAGATCCAATTCCGGGCCTCTCCCCAAATGCATCCTCATCCAGCGTATGCTTCTCAAACCCGTTCATCGCAGCGGCGAAAAAGGTATTATATGGATCTATATAAAGAAAACCACCGGCGCTCTCTTTCACCAACCGAAGCGCGGCATGAAGGGGTATTAAGTTCAATTAAGAGCAGAAAGAAAGAAATCGAATCCCCCACCCCTTGACCAGTCGTTCTCACAATTTGGTGTCATGTAAGAAAATTCAGCTGGGTGAACAGCAAATAACTCGAGGTAGCAGTTGGTTGATAGACCGGAAGTAGCTCACAGCGGCATTCCATTGATCTGGGGGAATGACTAAGCAGGATCCCCGTCAGGCCAGCTTTCCACAATTTGGTGGCGTTGAACTTAATTAAAAATATGATTCCGTTTCCCCTTTTTATATTGGATGGATGGCTGATGCCCATGAGAGTTAAATATATGTAATAAATAGTTAGATCCTATAAACCGTAGCAATCTGAAAACAAATGGGATATATGTCTGATTGCGCTCAAGAATAAGAAGAAACATTGTCATAAATAGGAGACGTAGTAAAAATCTAGCTCAAAGACAAGACTTTAAAAAAAAAAAAAAAAAACCTCAAGAAAAGACGATGAAAAACTAAACACACATAGCCGCATCAATTAAATCAAGCCCGAACCAACAAGACACCGAGGTCAATGTATGTTATATGTACAATGAAATATGGAGTAAAAAAGAAAAGGGAGATCAACAAATGAAGAAGGATAGGAACACGAAAAAAAAGAGAAAAAAAAAAGATAGGTCGAAGAGGTGTTAGACAATAATGAGCATGCGAAGAAAGGAGCTAGAAGGAAAAAATGATATCCTGTACGAAAAGGCTCTTCTCTCCCATAATTGAAAAAAATCGTCTGCTGTGCGAAATAGGTGTATGCTGTATGTCTAAGAAAAAGTGTAAAAAGAACAGGGAAGGAAAGAGGGGATGTAAATGAATATAGGGCAAAGCGAGGACAGTAAGAAATGAACAATACCGGCTGTAGGGACAACCGGGCAAGCCACGAAAAGAAAGGGAATATGATGAAAATTAGCCAGTAAGGCCACGCCGCGATATGATCGAACCGGTAGTCTTCCCAAAAAACAGAAAAGAAATGAGTTGACATGAAAAAGAGAGCCGGACGCGATTAGTGATGATACACGGCAATATAAGCTAGATAACGAAAAGGGGAGAAATGGGGGACGAGGGTCAAAAAATCCAAATGCAAAGTTTCCATTCCCGGGGATAAACAAGCGGGAAAGAAACTTGTTTACTTTGCTATACATCATTAGAGACAAAAATGAGGGAAAAAGCAAGAGCGAATACGGGACATTAATTAAATACAGCGGGCATATCAAGAAACACGCGCAATTTTAGAATGAGTGAGTGGGCGGGTGAGCCTGTCGAAACTGGATACAGAACAAGAAGAGCAAACGCAGAGCGTGGGGTATGAACTGAAAAGAAGTTTGCGAACCGAATATGAAACAGTGCAGGGGGCATTTCGAAGCGTTATAGCAATTAACGAAGTATTCTTCGCCTGCTTTACTCTCTTTTTAGGAACCACAGGTTAAGGGAGCCAGGGCTGAATTTATTGAAGAGTACGAGAGAGGCCGCATCATCACCTTGTTTTCTAGCAGCATCACAATGTTCGGGTCAGTAATTTATCTTGGAGGTGCAGCAAAAGCGGAAGAGACGGGAATTTGAGCTTCAGCTTACCAAGCTGGTTGCCGCTGCCGCTGTTGCAAGATCTGCTTTTCCACTCGTAGCTCTTGTGACACGTGGTAAGGCAGAACCAGTCATCAGATTCCCATTTGACGTCCGTTTTGTTGCACTGTTCGCCGCGGATACATTCGTAGTAGCCGAATTCCTCTTTGGTCCGGTATTTTTAATGGGAGATTGGCTTGGCATGTCTCGTGGTCTTCCCGCACTCTTGGTGCTATGAGATGGAGGATCAGGGAGTGGCCGTATGGTCGACGAAGCGGGTCCGGAAGCCATGCGCTTTCCAGGTGAGTTTATCGGGGCAAGATAGCCTCGTGATCGGGGGATGGACTTTATGCCGGTGATGAACTCGTGGTTCAAAGCGTCATTTGGTGTGAGTCTTCGTGCTGGATCCCATCGTAAACAGCGTGCGATAAAGTCTGGGAAAGCATCATCATCGCACTTCAAGGCTTGCCGGAGATCTTTGGAGCTTGGCCTTCTCCTTCTCCCCTTGGATGAGACTGTCAAGCGAGGTTTCCCAAGAGAGTCGAAGAAAAGTTTTCTCCGTGTACTCTTTTCTATGAGGTGCTTTTCGGGTGGCCCGAACACCTCCATAATACATGCTAGCTGCTCTTGCTCGTTTTCACCAGGGAATATAGGGTAGCCAGTGAATAATTCAGCAAGTATGCAACCTACACTCCACATGTCAATGGGCATACCATACGACATGCCCAATATAACTTCAGGGGAACGGTAAAAGCGGCTCTGAATGTAAGTGTACACTTTCTCATTCTCAAAACAACTGGAGCCAAAGTCTATCACCTTGATTTCTGAATGCATAGGGTGGGCTAGGAGTACATTTTCCGGTTTCAAGTCGCAATGAATGACCTTGTTTTTATGCAAAAGAACTAAAGTGCTGAGCAGCTGCTTTGTAAACCGGCGGATGAGCTTGAGGGAGAATCCCCTAAAATCATGAGCTTTGATAAACTCGTACAGGTTCATTCCCAGAAGTTCAGTCGATATACACAGGTGTCCACGGAAGTAAAAGCTTTGAGTAAAGTTCACAACGCTATGGCGTCGGTGGGGGTCCTGTAGATTTGGTTAGAACAATAAGGGATAGGAAGGACGGAATGTGGATAGGAGAAACCATACCCATTCCTTAAGCTTCTGCAGGATATTTACTTCGACGAGTGCCTGCTGGTGGAATCGCTTTTTATTTCTGATAATCTTCACTGCGACAAGAACGCCAGTTTTATGATCAACGCATCGGACTACCTGACCAAAACTTCCCTTGCCCAGAATATCGACAATTTCATAGCGGTATGCCAGGTGGTCCCCAATGACGATGTTGTAATCGCCACGTTCATCGTCATACCCAAAATTGGCAGCTTGGGCATTCAGATCTCCGACATGTTTTTTCGCCTTGTGCGTACCACAGAAGTAGATATCTTTGAAATCAATAATTTCACCTTTCTCGAAGATATTCAAACTCGCCATCTTGAGAGCCTGGGCAGGTCCAACTCGCTCCTTAGGACTTGCCCTGCGTCGCAATTCTTCCAATTCCTTCGCAGCGGTCTCGAAATCTTTCCGTTTACTACCTAGCTTCCTCATCTCCTCTTCAGCCGATAAGTCGTCACGGTCAAAATTCTGATCTTGAGGACGAAGTTTGGGCGTCGTTGGTTTGGAGCTGGATAGAAGCTTATGTACTGGTGATAATAAGGAGGACGCTGAGGGGTTTGCTGGGCTGTCCGTATCACCAGCATCTGTAGAAGGGCTAGGGTTGAGCGCCAGGCTCTGTTCGCTGCTAATGCTCTGTGTCCGTTGAACCAGACCGTTCGTGACGCTCGACATAGATGCTTTGCGTCTTGAGTGCAAGTATGTGGGTTTAGAGCCGGGGTTTTGCCCAGCTGTTAATAAATTATTCCAAGTAGCTGAGGCCGGAAGTTTTGGAGGAGGCATGCTGCCATATTTAGCCGAATCGCTGCCTGGTTCCTTGATTGTGTGGTATGACTTTGTTCTCTGGTGATCGGAGCTAGGGTTTCGCCGAGTGAACGGCGGTGCACTACTCTCAGATTCGGTATCTATAGTCGTTGGGGGCCCTAAGCTTGACCCCTCAAGCCGTGGTGAAAAGGTAGCAAACTGAGTTTGAGGACGCGGGCCAGTAAGCCTGCTAGCGTTATTCCTAGAGTATTCGCTGGGAAGCTGGGGTGGAACATGAGAGAACTCTCCACTGGTCTTGGGTAATGATGAAGAAACATAGGGCGAAACGCTTCTGTGGTCAGACAGAATATCCAAAGGCTCAAGAGCACTGGAGCTATTCTGGGCCCTGAACCGTATTGGGTCAGTGAGAAGTGCATGGTGTGAACTAGTGCTCCTCGGTTGCGTGGATGGTAGGGGTTCGTGATCGTGGAGATTGTGGGAAAAGAAGCTCGCTTTAGAAGCGGTCATTGGGGTAGTCGGAGTCTTGGCCAGGGTTTGACGGGGTGGAGGTGTACGAGAGATGCGCAGGGTCGTATCCTCGGTATTTTTATCCCGCAAAGATTCAATCTTCGTAGTCATAGGAATGCTTAGGGGCAATAGATTGAGCGGCGGAAGCTTCAATGGCTGGAGATTCTTTCGACCGATATTTGACACAGGTCTAGGCTTAGTATCCATCCGATGGATAATTGGTCTCGTAACATGGAAATCATCCCTTACAGGTCCTTTGCTAGGAGTTTCGATGGCATTAGAATCAGGTCTTGAGTTGTCTTTGTGTAATCCGGTTTCAAAAGGCAAGCTCGATTTTCGAGTATTGGGCACCTGGAGCTCTCCTTCAGTTTTAGGTGACTCGTATGCCTTGGGGATCGCTGGAACTGGAGGAACCTCTTCCTCATCGTTATTAGACGTGTTCTCGGTACGGGGTTTCGGAGTTGGCAACCTAGAAGTCGAAATATTCTGCGAAAGTCTGGGTTGTAACGACCCATTAGAATTTCGAGCAGAATTATAACTAGTGTTGGAGGATAATGAAATCCCCGAGCTATAGGATTTCCGATGAGGGTCAGGAGTGGTCCTTGAAGAGGAAGGAGTAACGCTTTTCCTCGGTATCATGGATGGAGACTGGGCCGAAGAACGAGGTCGGGGAAGCACAATTTCTTGCTGCGTTGGAGGTGTATGTGGCATTGGAGGAGGTTGGGGCATCAATGACATTCGTTTCATACGTCTAGCATCAGTGGGACTGATTGTTCGCGCTCCCAAGCCGGTAGCATGTGGTGGCATAACAGAGATCCGCTTTGATGAGGATGGTGTCGTTGTCCGGTTTAATCCACTTTTAGCTGGAGTTCGAACAGCGTTATTTGATGAAGACCTCAAAGGCACTGACCCCGTAGATGGAATGATAAGACTATCCTTGCTATCCCTAGCTGTCCGGGAAGGTGGCTGTAGCGATTTTGATTTCTGATACCTTGGTGTATTCAAAAACGTCGAGGGTTCGGAAGGCCCACCTGCCCCAAAGTTTTGAGGGGCGAAACTCGCCTGGCCTGGGCGATTTGCATCCGCCATGTTTTTCCTTGCTGATAAACTTGGTCTTCTCCGTGGGGGGCGATCTCCATTGTCGGAAATTAAATTACCTGGTCCAATAGATTTTCTAGGCGGTC